TACTACATAAATTTAGGGAGTTGGCATTCTGTATTTTTTAAAAATCAAATTTGTAAATTTAATCTAAAAATCTAAAATTTCAAACAAATTTTTCCCAGTTTACTTTAATTATTTCTTTATTATTTTTTAGTTTTAAAAAAGTTTAAATCTACTATAAATGTCTTTAAAAGAAGTTTTTTCAAGAAAAGTTTTTGTTGGAGGTCTACCTTTCGATATAACCGAAAATGATCTTCAAAATACATTCATCTGGTTTTTTTTAAATTTTATTTTTCTACTTTATCTATTTAGTTATGGAAAATTTCTCATCGAGTGGGACTCACGTTCTTCTGATAAGAAATATCGTAATTTTTGGATAAAGCTTGTTCCAAATTTTTTATTAATTTTAGGTGGTGGAAATCAACTCACTAGAAAGGGCTATGCTTTTCTTATTTTTGACAAAGAAATCTCAGTTCAACATTTAATAAATGATACATTTCGTGAAGGGCTCCACTATTATTTGAATATTTCAACGGCTGGCTCACATAAAAAAGTTCAAATTCGTCCTTGGCAACTTAGTGATTGTTCCTATATTGAACATCCGTCGGAACAATTGAATCCGCGATACACGGTAAATCTCTAAAAAAAGATTTTTGTCAAAAATTTTAAAGATATTTCTTGGTGCTCTGCCTCGACATATCAAAGCTGATATGCTTGCCACCATTCTTAAGGATCGTTTTGGTCCTGTCTGTTATGCTGGAATTGATACTGATCCAACACTTAACTATCCTCAAGGCGCCGCTCGTATTACATTTCGAATGTACAATTCTTATGTGAATGCAATTAAAAATCGGTACATTACAATTCCGAATGATGGATGCACGAAGCGTGTATGTTTTTTTTATTTTTCTTGTCAGTTTTAATGGTTGTAGGCATAAATAAATATTGTCAGATTTGTGGGAAAATTTTTCCCTTTATTGATTTTGCTCGCTTTTTCAAAAAAAATTCTTTTTCAGTTAGAGATCAAGCCTTACATTATGGATGACCAGCAATGCGATAATTGTCATGGAAAGTTTTGTGCTCGAATTCCAGCAACTCTTTTTTGTCCTGACATTACATGCCTTCAATATTATTGCGAAATTTGTTGGACTTTAATGCACCAATCTACTAATGAAAATTCATTTCTGCGCACTTTACATAAACCTTTTGATAAGCGAATGAATGTTTGAGAGGCAATTTGGTAAAAAACAATTTCCATTTATTTTCAATTAAAATTTTTCATTTTATTTTACAAGATTGTATTTTTTGAGGGCGGACTTTTTTTTCAAAAAAAATGTTTAAAATTTAATTAAATTTTAGTTTTAAATTAAGTCTGCTCTTTCCCTCTTTTTATAATTCAAATGTTTTTAACAATTCTTTTTTTATTTAACCATTATTTTTTGATTTTAGAGTTTCTATATTTGGATTGAAATTTTTATTTAAATAAAAATCAAAATATTTATGCAAGATTAGAAAATAATGGAATATTTAGTATATAAAGTCGCGGGAAAGGGGAAAATTTATTTACGAGAAAAAGAATTTTTTGTAGCTTACAGTGGTGGGAAGGTTGTTAGTGGTGGGAAGGTTGTAAAATACAATGGAATCCCGCCAAGTCAACTTATTTGTTAGTGACTAGACTGGACCGATATATGAATGGATGTGTCGTATTAGCGGGATTCGATTGTAAAATATTAGTAATGACCAGTGCTTCGAAATTTCAATTTTGCTCGTACTCGCCCCATTTTTGCTCGTACCAGGTACGAGTACGAATTTTGGTACGAGCTTCGAAGCACTGGTAATGACCAGATGAAAAAGTTACTTAACTTTATTTTCAATCTGATCTGTTTGGTATGACAAAACAAAGTAATATAAATCATAAAAAACGGCATTAATTGGGCTCTGAATTTAAAGAAAAGAAATTAACTCTCATATTTTTAGATAAATTGATCCAAAAAATCACCAATAGTCCGACCAAAATAGTACGTTTAAAATAAGTCAGGCACTTAAATACAAATAGAATTAAACGAAATCGCGTAATAGAATTTATAATATTCTACTATTCTAGCTTCTTACGTGGACACTTATGAAAGGTTCGAAAAATTAAATGAAAAGGGGAACAAACGAGCAAGAGCCCACGGGCCAATGATTTTTTGAAAATTTCGATTTCTACCCCCAAATATCAAATCTTTTGATTATAATTGTGTAAACTCGAATTATCAAGGCATAGACAATGGAACCTATTATTAGAAGCTAGAATTCAAAGAAATTTTTGTTTTCAGTGTTCTTTGGCGTGATTGCGAAAAGCATTAAAAAGAGAAAATTTACTTTTAATTAAAAAATATATTTAAAGGATAGTCAGCACAAAAATACATAAAATTACTTTTATTCACCAAGAGTGTACCTAGTGGGGAAAGGATATGAGAGCTTGTAACTTCACTATAAATATGAAAAATAAAATGCCAGGAAAATGATAACAAAGTTAAAAGTGCAAAAAATGATTTCAGAATACCAGAAAACCGACCCCTTGGTACGCACTTGGTGTTCAAAGGTTTTTAAAAAATTATCTTGGTAAAGTCATTTGTGCCCTTCACCTCTACACCATCACCAACAACGTATAAATATAGAAAGTCTCTTTACCCTTCACGAATTGGAGCAACAAGGCTTCTTTTGCTTATCTGTGCTTGAAGAAAGCGTTATGTTGTTTTGGCTGTTGATTGGCACTGTTCGGTCAGGTGGAACTTGCCTTAAAATTATATAAAAATTAATCAATAATAATATCATATGTTTTTTCGAGATTTCCTGACATTCGATAAAATAGAGTAATTGTAAGTATGGGAATTTTGGCCCAGAGTTATTTTTTCTAATTCCTTATCATAACTCTTTAAAACTTAATGAGGCAAAAAATTCAAAAGGTCCTAAGTTCTTTATGTTCCAAGTTTTCTATAACAAACTAATCAAACCCAATTAATTTTATCTTTCAGACTATATCATTAATATTATAATAAACCTTGTGCTAACAGAACGGTAGATTTCGGTCAAACTGTTGGTGAACGCAGCTTCCACATTTGTTGAATCCAAAGCACTAGTCTCAATAAAACTAAGCTGATTTCTCTCTGCATAAGCACGTGCCTCTTCGGTTGGTACTGCACGCAGATGGCGTAAATCGCTTTTGTTACCAACCAACATAATAACAATGTTTTGATCAGCATGATCACGCAATTCTAAAATTTATTAAGTTTCGATGCCCAATGGAAAAAGTCTCTCCGAAACGGGGACACGGCCAAAACAACGCGCGGCCATAACAAACAACGCAAAGCCATATCTTGCTTCAAGATTTCCGAATCTTGTCAAAATTTAGTGTTAAACGATTCCTCTCGTCGAGCTAAAGAGATTGGTACCAAAAATTGTTAAGGGCAAGTAATTTTCCAGCTAGTTATGACTTTGCGTTGTTATGCTTACGAAAAACGTATATAATTTTGTAATATTTTTTGGTATCCCATTATGAAAAAATCACCTTTAAGCCACCGATCCACGCTTTCATACGTCACATGCTTGGCAATGTCATAAACAAGAAGAGCGCCAACAGCTCCACGATAGTAAGCTGAAGTAATCGCCCGGTAGCGTTCTTGCCCTGCCGTGTCCCATATCTGCGCTTTTACAGTTTTCCCGTCAACCTATGAAGGATTTTGTATTTTGACCGATAAAAACAAATTATAAAAAAAACCTGAATGCTTCTCGTAGCAAATTCAACACCAATGGTAGATCTCGATTCCAAATTAAACTCATTTCGAGTGAATCGCGAAAGTAAATTAGATTTTCCAACACCGGAATCGCCAATCAAAACAACTATAAAATGATAATTGAGTAACCTTTTAATCCTATTTATAGATCAAATACCCATATTTTTTATTAAATTTAAGAAATTAACCTTTAAATAGATAGTCATACTCGTCTTCGCGTGAAGTCATTTTAACAAAATATGTGTAATATAAATAATAATGATATCTGCAAAGTTTTTCTTAAAAAATTAGAAAAGTTTTATATACAAATAATTAATGTTAAAAAAGACACGAATAAAAAACGCGATTCGTGGAGGTTAGAAAATATATAATTGTTGTATTATATCTATCTATTGATGATGACTGGTTAATAGCGGAATGAAATCGAATCGCAAATCGGTTTAAGTCAGCGGCTGAAGGCTCTGTGTCGCTAAAGGCGAGAGCAAGAGAACGAATTATATTAACGTGGTTGGAATGATTGTTTAGAGAAGAATGAGTTGGAGATAAATAAGAAAAGAAATAGAGTGAATAAAAAAAAGAAAAAAATGTAAAAAAGGCAAACGAAAAAATTTTTTACAATTGACATGAGACAATTTAAAAATGCATGGAAGTTAGAAATTCGAAATTAAAAAAGGCCACCATGAAATTATGGAAATATTTAAAATTTATAGGCTTATTTAAAATAAAATTTGAGAAAGAAAGAATGAGAAAAGGAATCCAAAGAATAGAAATTTTAGTTAGTCTTATTGTTTATTTTGAAAAATGCGGAGCAAGTGGGAGGAAACTAACGCGTTTATCCATCCCCTTACTAAAGTAAAAATTCAATATTGACTTGCCAAAAAAATTAATATTGATTTGGCAAAATCAAAAATTAATTCAGTACACCCTTCTCTTTTTTCTTTACTCACATCACGAAATTTAAAATTAAAAAAATCAAATGGGAAAAAACAAAATTTAAAAATGTATAAAATATTAATAAAAAATAAGTAAAAATAAACAAATTTTTATAGATCACATTTATGCTTATGTTAAAATTAAAAATATCAAAATTTACAACGATTAAAATTTTATACGAGTTTTGTAATAAATCTATAATTAGAAAAAGATTACAAATATCGGTCGGTCATAGGGCTTATAACCAACCGGGTGTAAAAGATTTTTAAATAGGACACTAAAAACTTTCTTTAAACTTAAAAAATACAAACGTCAATAAAAACAAATTGTATGTAAAAGATTCCTTCCTTGGTTTTCCAATTCGAAATCGCTCAAAACTTCGTCAATTTCGTTATCCAAATCTTCACATTCTTCCAACTTAAAATTTTTTAATTAAAATTGACATTTATTTAAAAAAAACCTTTTTGCACAATTGTACCACAATTAAAGCTCCAATAGTCGCTTCTTCGTGATTATCTTGAATGTCAAAATTAATTATATGTACACACTCTCCTGTACTGTTAGAACTTTCATTTGTTTGCAAAAAATCAACAATTTGATCGTAAACTCGTTCTTCCATACAAATTATGACAGAAAAATGTTCTTCAGAGGTTTGGAATTTTTGGGGACATTTCCTAAAATTAATAAAAAATTTATTGATGAATTTAGAAAATTTTTAGTTTGGAAATTTAGATAAAAATATTTTTTTAATTTACTTTATTCTTCTATTTCTATCAAGCATGTTCAAAAGCCCATTTTGTGTATATCTAAAAAATAAATACAATTATACTCTTAGATAATTCTCTTCTAAGAAGGCTATAAACTTACAATTTCGAATCTTTGTTTTTCAAATCCTGATAAATTTCATCATAAGTAATCGAATCAAAATCGTAAATATTTGGTTTGTCAATACTTGGTCCAGGCAGCTTTACATAATTTCCAGAACCAAAACTTTGGACATTAAACCCACGTTGCCTAAAAATAATAAAAATAAAAAATAATTTAGAAAATTAACTTTAGAAAGTAATGTGCTTCCATACTTCTGTTCATATTAGATGAACAACTAACAGCAATTTTGAGTTTGCCACAAGATTTTGCGTTGATAAATGGTTCAAGCATTAAAATAGTTGATTAATTAACTAAAAAATATAAGAGATAAAGAAACTTAAAAACCCAAAAAAGAACAAAAAATACCCACTCTAAAATAAAAATATTCTACATATTGTGTGTTACCAAATTGACATTTTACTAAATTTTATTGGCGAAATTTTGTTTTTAAGTTTAATGACCAAAAATTAATTGACAAAATGAAACAAACTTTTTGTATTTAAAAATTTTTTGAAGGTGTGCTTTTTAAAATTTTTTTTGCAGTTTTCTAGTTTTTTTATCGAGGTTAATTCTTATCAATTAACCTTGTTGGACGAAATTTGAAGTTGGACGAAATTTCAGTAGAATCTTACTTTTTTGCCTGACTGATTAGTTTAGGGCTAGTACGTTGTAGGCTTAAGTATTTTTTAAGTTTAACCCAAGTAAGCGAGTTTTCTAAATTTGTTTTTCGTTTAATAATTAGGATACAGGTACTGCGCTGAAACCCAACACCATGGGTTATTTTAAGCTGCTTCCTTCTAAGGTCTAAATTATAAGTTGACTTATTCATTTTTAACCTATATTTAAAAAAAATTTTCTATTTCAATTCATAATTTTTTCGCATTGCAGAATATTTTACACGATCTCTATTTTATTTTTATTCGATTCGAAGTTACACAATGTCGGTTGACAATACAATTGAGCAACTTCTTGCGAGGGCCATTTTGGACCTTGAATTGGTAAGTTTTCTTATGCAGAAGATATATTCTCTAAATCTTTTCATTGCAGAAGATGAAACATGAAATACGCCAAAATAGCGCTCTTCATCTCGCACGAATTGAAAAACACAATCAGCAGCTTGAGAAAAGACTGGATATTATTGAGGCTAAGGCATGTCTTATGAGTTTTCTATCTCATTCAATTATTTTAGCTCGAAGCGTTGATTAATCGTGATAGCCATGGTGGACATCCTCCTCGAAATTCTATGCAACATTATTCGAGTGGTGCTAGACATTCCTTGCACACTACTACAACTGGGCGTGTTTCTTACTATCCGCGATCACCAAATCTTGCGAATGGTCATCCTCATCATGGAGGTGGAGCTCGACCTACTTCAAAGCGTTTGTCGGCGATTGGTAGTCCTGCGTCTACTGTTGGTTATGGAAGTGGTTGGGTTCCTAGTAGTGCACCTTCTAATGTCGGGAGATCGTCTGGTGGAATTCAGCAACATAAAAATGCTTATGAGCGTAAGCAGTATCAGTCTAAGCAACCATTGGGCACCGGCGGCAACAGAGCGAATCTTGGGGTAATATTTTCTGAATGCTGTACCTTATTTTTAATTTTCTTTTGCAGGAAAAATCGGTTAATAAGACTCCGTGGCCAAGCCGAGGCGGAAATTTCACTGATGATGTCTCTGATGCATCGGACGACGACAACTCTTCACAAACTGGCAGCGAGTCTCCTTATTCTGTGGCAAAGCCGGCATGCAAGCCTGAAGATGAGTGCATTAATAAGGAAAGTGAGGAGGAGGGCGACAATGTTGAGAACGAAGAAGATTCTGAGAAGCTTATTGTTAGTTGTAAACAACAAGGAGTTTTAGAGGGCGATGGTGAAGATGATAATGCTTCGGCAAAAATAGATGGTGGGAGTACTGGTGATTTTGAGGAGAAGGAGAACAACAACAACAATGATGACAACAAGGTTGTAGAATCGTCGGTGGTCGTTACTTCAACTATTGTTACTCCAGGTTTTTAAATTTAGTAATTGTTTTCAAATATAACATTAACCTCTAAATTTTTAAATGTTTTATATTTAAGGTGCTATGATCTCGCCAGTCGTTGGAGGTTTTGGTCGTAGCCGTCGTAATTGAAGTGTTATAATCGAATCGAAATGGATATTTAAAAGACAAGCGTTTATTTTTGCTTGGCATCATTTCTCTTATAATTTACTTTTACGTATATGAGCAATTATTAATTTTATCAAAGATGCAGAATGTTTAATTTTTTATTGAACTTTATAAGCAATATTTGCAAAAGAATTTTTTTCTTTTGGATTTTTAATTTTTGGAATTTTAATTTTATACATTCAGCATCTAATGTTTACGGCGTTTTTGTTAAATATCAGTATTCTTTATGAAGTTTTATTCTGCCGCATAAAAGTTAGTTAATTTAAATTGAATTTTACAATTATGTCATTAAATGTTTGTTTACTTTCATAGTTTACCTTTTCTCTAAATTTCAATTGTTATTTCAAAATTTCTTTTAAACGTACTTTTTGTGCTATTTGTAAATTAAAAATGGAGAAGAGACAACATACAAATGATATTTATGAGAAGACAATGGTTCGTCATGTGGACTCGATGTGTGAGGTGAAAAAGTTAACGTTTTAGGGCGTTCCTTTGAGACGAGTATATTGTATTTTCGTCATTTGTTGTTTAAGTTCTTTGATCTTGGTATTAATAAATTAGGGTATTAATAAATTAAACACTTGTGTTAAAATTGCTATTTTATTTGACATTGCTTTTTTAGATGATTCATGTGAAATGTCTTGGTTCAGCTACTAAGCGAGCACCTCATGGCCAAGAAGCTCATAGGAATGAAATTTTTGATTACCATGATGCGCTGCATAGTGCCGATATGATGTTAGATTTTTATATTTATTTTTTATATTTATATTTTAAAATTTACTTCAGTGGACCAATGGAGGATTTCAATAAATACAATAACGAATTGGACTTAACCAAGGATAAAAAGGCTATAGCTAATGGACAACTTAGACAGCTTCGCGATAGACTTCTTGTAACAAAAATGAAAAACGAAGAATTGAGTGAATTTTCTTTAAAATTTTCTTCTGGGGTGATGGTTTTCAAAATTGATGAAGGTAAGTATTGACGTAATATTTGGTTTTATTTTTCTTTTTTTATTTAGAGATTAAGAACTATCAGGAGGCCACAAAAGAAGTCAAGGATGTTCAGGAAGAGTTGCAAGATCTTGAGAAGAAGGTTTGTAACTTTAAAAAATAATTTTTACAATTTATTGTTTCAGTTAGATGTGAACAGAGCTCATCTCGCACAAGTTAGAAAGACCAAACATGATTTGGAGGCAAGCTTGAAGGATATTGAAAGTGAATTAGCTCAATTTGATAAATAGAATATGTAGTTTATTTTTCATTTGCTTGTGTTTTTAGTAAAATTTCTGCCTTATCTTTTTTAGTAATTCATTAAATGTTTGAGACACTGTATTTTTCAAATTTCATTTTTCTTATAATTATTTTAGACTTATTAATCTTATTGTTACTATTGAGATGGATTCACATCAAAGTGGCGTTAAGAATGTATTAAAGGATTGGCCGGAAAAATACAGAGAGTAAGTTTTTTTATTATTAGTTAATTGTAGGTGATTAACGTTGGTTATGAGTTTGAGGTTGGGCTTTATGCAAAAACGCGTCTTTGAAGTGGTTTAAATGCACGATCATAACCCAGTCTAGATTCTATAAGCTCTGGTTTCGTTTCGTGTTTTAATGATTATTGTAGTACTTTATTTGCTAACATCAGTAGATTTTTTACCCAACTAAAATTAATCACATTTTAGTATTTATGCTCGTGTTTTGCATGGTGTTTCCTCTGAGTACCCAGGTGTGGCTTGGTCAAGATATGAAGAATTTACTTATTTGATTCCTAGGTATTTTGATTTGTAGTTTTAGTTTGAAAAGTTTTTAATTCTAAAAAAATTTTTAATTTAAAATTATTTTTAATTTAATATTTAATCTAAAAGCTGAATAATGCTTGACTAATGGTGTATTGTTTTTTACACCCCCTTTTTCCGTGAACATTATACTGGTTTGTTTCTATTTGAAATGTCCTTTACGCAAACTCAAAATTCGGGAACCTGTCAAACATAGGTGACCTGTAGGAAAATTTCATTAAATTATTAAATTCGGATATCTGTTAGGGATTAGAATAAATTTACATATTTTTAATCCATTATATATTTTTCTTTCAGTTCTATTTTTTGCTCACTGTCATGTTATAGACTTACTAAATCGTTGCAATCCAAGTTTATTTATTATTCTATATTTTAATTTCTAGTGATTTTAGATTTGACACTCATAATGGACTAAGTCCTGGTCACAATGTTAGATTCTTAGTGAAGGTTGATCCTGTTGGTGATAAAGATTTTACAGTCAAAGTTAATTTTAATGTTAATTTTTTATCATTTGCTTAAGGCTTATATGAACACAACTAAAAATGATTCACATCTCCCAACAGATTCACGTGTAAGTTTTATTAATTTTAAATCTGGTAGAAAAAACATTTCCTTAATTTTAGTTTTTCAAAGTGAATTGTGTTTTATCCGATGAATTTCCTCAACGATGCTTTAGTAAGGAACTCGGAGAAGTTTTTCTCCCACCTCGAGGTTTAAACGCTACTCCAATTCCAAATGTGGTATATGAGGCATTCGTCGATTGCAAACTATTTATCCGAAATGATGATGGTTCAAGAGTTAGTGCAGCCACTCAAGTTGAAATTCGTCCTGAATTGGTCAAACTTATCCGTGTTAAACCACTGCAAAGCAAATTGTAAAATTTTTATAACTTTAAATTTAATTAAATATTTCAGGTACGGCGAGCGTCGTCTCATCCCTCCTCTGTTTCGTCCCCGTTCATCCTTTCGTCCTACCGAATAAATCCAACGTTTCAATTACATTTTCCTTAAATTATTTTTTGTTTCGTTATTTGACAATATAGTTTTGAAATTATCAGGGACAGGACAACGGATTTGTTCTGTGGGACGAAACAACGATTTTTTCGTGTTGACAAAATGCCTTTTATTCAGGTACAGTGAGCATGTCGACATTCTTCGAATTTGTGTATATTTTAAGAATAGATTATTTAATTTATTTAATAATTTTTATAGCCATGGAATACAAAAAAAGTTGAGAGTGGAGAAATTAAACCGCAACTTATTTATTGGGACTATGGAGAAGAAGGAATTGTTCATTTTTATAAACAAAACCAAAACAAACCTCCTTTTCCGACAAGAGCGCTTTCAAAAGTTCGCCTTTGGTACTTTGAAAACAACCGTGTTATTCGTGCACGTTGGCCAAGGACTCAAGTCAAAATTACTTTGGGAATGGAGAGAATGATTTGGGAAAGTATTTCAGTTGATATCCGTTTACGTTATCCTCCATTAAATGAAGGGCAATTTTTCTTTGGTTGGATTATTTATAATGGTAATTTTATATTTAAAAATTGTAATTTAAGATTTTTAGAATTCATTTCGTGTTATTATGTTCAGAATTATCGTTTATCGAAGGAAGGAGAGGCTACACAAAGTCAACTAGAGAAACGGATTGTTATTGATAGCGGAAATCCAGTAAATGAGGTTGGGGTGTTTTGTTTTTATATGCCCTTATTACTCATGAACATTACTGTTTCTTTCCATTTAAAACTTCCTTTGCATAGAAAATAATTTTAATTTAATTATTTTAGTATTTTGTCCGAATTCGCGAGTCACCATTGTTCAAAAATTTGTATATTTGTGATCCATTTGAAAATATTTTAATTGCTGATCCTAAATTGTTTGTAATTTATTTTTTTAATCTGATTATTAAATTATTAAGTATTTTGCGAAATGTTTCTTTGGATGCCCATAGAGAGAAGGGATGTCCTGTATGGGTTAGACTTGAACCAGAACATGAGCGTTTGGCGCATTTTTCCATTTCAGAATTAAATAAAAGTATTGGAGAATTTTCTGCTTCTGAGAAGATGATGAGCTATCCAAATGTAAATATTTAATATTCTTACGACCAAAATTTTATTTTTTTTCATTTAGATATTTGGAATTGGTCTAATAGTTGATTTAGAAACAAATGCTATATTTTCTGAAAATCACCCGCAAAAGCGTATTTTTCTCTCCAATCCAGACATTTTTAATATAAAAATGGGACACTTCTTCTATTTTTCTGCTGCTTATTGGCCACTAAAACAAGTTTATCTAATTGGAAATTATCAACTTATTTCAGAAGAACGACGTAAACCAATTGACACTTATTATCTGGGGAACAAGCTTATTGTGAGATTTTTTGCGGAAATAATTTGGATTTAATCCTATGTTTTTTAACATTTTTATTTTTAGTTCGAGGATTATTTTCGTTGTTATATTTTCCAAATGGATGATACTCACATGAGCAGAAATTTTGGACCAATTTCTGATTCAATGGGTTTGATTACCAGGAAAACAAAAACCGAAGAAGAAGATTGGCCCACTGAAGGGCATGGCTATGTTTGTTTTAACCCTGATTGGCAAGCCGGACGTTCATCTCAATTTATTCTTTATTCATTGGAATTAGACAGAACAGCGGTTCTAAAACTTTTATTTTTTTTCTTTATTTTGTTTTTATATTACAGAAATGTGTTACTAGTTCTTATATACAACAGAAAGAATTAAAATGGTGGCAACATCAACATAAAGATGCCCATGAACTTTGTCGATGTGATGAAATTTGGCATTTGCTTTATTCGATTAAACAAAAATCAGAAGAATTTTTTGATGAAGAAAAAAGAGAAAATTTAAAAAATACATTGAAAGTGTATCAAAATGAAACTTGTCTCAACTAAAAGATTGACTTTGGGATTATTGGTGGATTTTTTTTCTTGCTTTTTTGTTGACTTACTCTGTGAGACTTCATTTGTTTAGATTATGTTAATCATTATTTTTTATATTCAATCGAATTTTTGTTTTGTATTTCCCTTCAATTTTGCACCACTCACAACACATTTTGACTTGTTAATTGTTGTGAATTTTAACAAAATGTTCTAACTTAGAGGGTATTTTTAGTGGTTAAACACAAATTGATTTCCCTTTTTATTAGAGCATTTACTGTACAATATAAATATTTCTGAATAAAGAAAGCATTTTATTCATTTTTAGACAACAATTGTTTTATAAAATTATATTTTTTTTATTATTTCTTGATTTTTTTGTTAGTAATTTTTAATTACTTTCAGTAGTATATTTATTTTTTATAATTGTTAAAACACATTCTACCATTTTCAAGGTGTTATTTAATTAATATTATCGATTTATTCTTCCCCAAAACTTAATCGATATTACTGCAGTTGTTTTTAAATATTGAAGGAATTTTAAATGTGAAAATTCCTTTTAAAAATTGTTTTTTTATTTCAGATTTGTTCTTTTTTTACAAATTTATTGTCATAAAATTAAAAATGGCTAGCGGTGATGGACAGCAGTCAAGCAGCAATCCAATGTTCAATCAGTTACTTGCATTTGCTACAGAAGCACAGGGCGATAGGCCAGCAGATCCTAGTGTTTCTCAAATGTCTGAAGAGGTTTAAAATGTTTTTTTTATTTTAAAGTATTTTTCTAGAATCGGGTTTGGTTGGAAAATGCATTAGAACACATTTCTGAAGATACCGATCCTGTCAAAAAATTAAAAAGATGGATGCAGAGATTGGAGGAAATTGAAGAACCGAATGAAAATAATTCGGCCGATATTAATGATATTTTGGATGAAATAGGTTTTTTAAAATTATTTTTGTAAATTGAGTATTTTAACAGGTGATTTGGTATGTGACATTGATTTGGCACTTATTTTTTGTAATATTGGTGGACTAGCTTTGGTGAAGAAATTTCTGGTAAATTTTTAGAAATTTTATTTCTTTGAACTTTTTGAGATAAAAGTCAGAAATCTTATTTTATGTTTCATTTAAACTCAAATTTTTCAGAAAAAATTCCGTTCGATTCAACAATCTATTGTAAATATATTTTTGTAAAGTCTACATCCTACTAATTCGATTGATTTTTTTTTAAATTGAGCTTTTAAAAAATCAAATTGCCCATCTATTGATTTAGCTGCCTAATTTTGGAATCATAATTTATATAATCTATTAAATTTTTTTTACTTTTTAAGGCAAAAGATTGTGATTTTGTTAGTGCTCCTTTTACACATTTAATTGGTGTATTGGCACAATATAATAATAAAGTACAACAATTATTTTTGAAAGAATCCTTTTTAGAAGAATGTTTAAAGATTATTGGAAATGAATCTAAAACTGTGGTTGGAATTTTTATTTCATTTTTTTTCTAAATATTTTTTAGGAATATAGACACAAAAGTGTTGGTGCCATTTCTGCTATGGTGAAAAGTTATTTGCCTGCTTTAATGTAAATTTAAAAATTATTTTCAAAATATTTTTTATTTTTTAAAGTCGTTATGTCCAGTTGGATGGCCCAGATAAATTATTTGATTGTTTTAATAAAGCTTTGGAAAATTGTGATATAAATGGAATGGATAAATTAGTACATCGTTGTGCTGTAGCTGCTGTTGCAATAAAAAATAGTTTTTCTACTGAAGGTATTTAAATTTGTTTAAATTTTAATTTAAACAAAATTAAGTTTTAAATATTGACTCAAATTTTCGAAAAATATCATTAGCGCCCGGATTGATGCGTGCAAAGATTGAAGAAAGGGGAGAAGATGATTTTAAAGAAACAATTGAATTTTTAAAAGAATAGAACTAAAAAAAGTCCTTGTTTAAATATTTTTCTGAATTTGTTAGAAAAAAATTTCTTTTTAAATAAATATTTTATTCGCGTCAATTTGTGTTGAAATTTATTATTAAAATTTTATCCATAAAATATAGCGCTTGCGATAGTTTGTGGCACAACTGGTATATTGACTAATATAAGGATTTGAATATTTTTTCTTTTATAAATATAATGACCGAAAATTGCCACTCGAGTTTAGGTAAGGATTATGTTGGTTACCTATACCTAAGTCTATTTTTCACGTTATTTCAACTTTTTTAAGTAAGTTGAAATCAACTTTCTTAAGTCAACTTTCTTAAGTAAAAAAGTCTTAAGTGAAGACAAGTTGCTATAAAAACGCAAAGAAATGTTACGAATGTTAGATTTCTCCAACTCATTCAATTCATCATGTCGCAAAGTCCAGCGGTCTCCGGCAGCACCATCGCCGCACGGGTTGGACGTCGACGACGCAAGGAGAAGGATGCGAAATATCATGAATTCCGGAGCTTTCCAACTTTTCGCGCATTCTCTGATTGGTGGGAGAAGGATGAAGGACGAAACTGGAAGGTCAACTCTCGCCAGCCACATCCACGAGGAAGTGTGGAATATTGGCGATGCAAGGCAAGATTATTTGTAAAAAACTTTTAAACAAAAAATCCAATTCCTTATCCCTTTTCAGTTCCAAATAGATGGTTGCTATGTTTGTCCTGCTCGTCTTCGAATCATCATTGGATTTGATGATAGTGTTGTCCTCTATCGTGGGTCAAATTTTTCACATCAACATGAAAGGAAAATTGTGTGTTTACAAACATTACACAAAAAATATTTTTTTGTTTTTTCAGATCAAAGATGTCGATATTATCAATCAGGCTATTCCAATGGATCCATTTGCTGAAAAGATTGGCCGTTCTTTCTTTGTGGATGCTCCTCAAATAGCGCCTGAGAATGAAAATGATTTTCAGATGCAACTTGTTCTGATGAATATTGAAGAAATAATGGTTCCAGTTAGGGAATTAACTGGGACAGATGAGGGTAATGTTCTAAATACACCACAAATGGTTGTTAGAACCCCAACACAGCCAGCTGAAGAAGAAGATGATGATGATGAAATTGAGTTTTTTGGTTCTGATGAGCTTGTAAGAAGCAAATATTGCTTTAGCGACATCTAATTTTTTTTTAAATTCAGCTTCCCCGAGAAGTTCGTGCCACTGGTTTCCGTGTCACAGCATCGCAATCTTCGGTACAAACAGCTCAGGTTCAACCAACACAAACACAACAAGAAGTCCAACAACAACAAACTCCAAAACAAACAACCGAAGTGGTTGTGAAGGAAGTCCAAAAACCAAAAGAAGGAGAGGAACAAAAACCCAAAGAAGTAAAGGAAGCCATTGAAGTAAAGGAAGCAGTAAAAGAAGAAGTAAAGAAGTCAGGCACCACAACTTCAACTGAAGTGAAAACTCCAAAAGATGTGAAGACTGCAAAAACAAAACTTACTCCACCAAAATTTAGTGGAGCAACAAGTGGATTTGCTGTGGTAAGTTGTTGGGGAAAGTAATTTTTGTTTTTAAATTCTTTTATTTAAAAAGGCAAGACTTCATACAGCTTCCCAAACAGAGACTAGAAGAACAGTAAATGATGATCCAAGGACACAGAGTGATGAAGATATTTCAACACCGAATGTGAAGAAAACTGCAAATTTGGTGTCTTCTACTACGAAGAATGGAGTGACGAGTGGATCTGCTAATGTAAGAGAAATTTTGTAAAAAAATTTCTTTAAATTTGTTTAAATTCTAGGCTAGACCGACAACACCTCCAATATCAGAAGAAGAAAGGACAAACACTAATAGCAACAATGAAGGGAATAGTGGTAGTAATACGAGGACGGGGAATGCTTCTGGTAATTCTACAAACTCGAATGTTTCTGTTGGCTCTAATAATAATTCGAATGCTTGATAAATAAATAGAGAATAGTATGTATGTATATATTGTTTTTGTATGTATATATTTTTGTTGTATGATAAAAAGATAAATTTAAAAGCAAATATTTTTTAAAAATAAATAATGTGTAAGCAAGAAGGAATAATCACATTTATGAAGATAATATTTTTTGTACAAAATAAACAATCAACAAGGCAATGTACAATATCTAAATAAATTGTTAAAGACTAACAAGATTAATTAAAGTCTTACCTAAAGAAAGGTCCTTTACAAAAAAGGGGGTCCTTAGCAATACATTCACGAGATTCAAAACCAATTACTTGCCCATCTTTGCAGGGTTGACTACTTGCAAAATGCTTGAAATAATTTTAATTTTCTTAGAATTCTTTTCTTTTTTTACTTGACAAGTTCCATTCCAGGCAGACCAAATTTCCGAATTATTTTCATTTTTAATTCCAAATTGTTTGTGGTGTTTATTTAACTAGAAAAATAAAATTAGGTATTTTTTAATTAATTAAAATTAATTAAACTATTAATTCCTTTTGTTTGTCAATATTTTCTATCATTTCATGTGAAGGTGGAGGGGTAATTCCGGGAGGTTTAGGCTCTTCTTCATTGTTATTTTTGTTGTTAAAATTTTCAGAAGGAGGAGGAGGAGACGGCAATGATAATTCTTTTGTAAAAAATTAATTTAAAAAGGTCTACATACCGTATATACTCTATTAATTACCCTGGGTAAGTATTTCAATCTCTCGCTGGAGGGGGTAACTAATAGAGGGGGGGGGGGCGGGGTAATTACTTGAGGGAGGGTAATCAATAGAGTAATTAATACGGTATATCATTTCTCTCTACCATTAATTTGTTTTTCATTAATTTTTTGTTCTTCATCAATATTTGTTGGACAATAATCAACTTGAGTTAAAGACCCTCTACATTTTCTTAAATCTAAACATTTCCGTCTTCTAATTCTTCTTTCTCCAGGAATATTGCAAGGCGTCCACGGCCCCCAAAGACTAAAATACCCTTCAGAACCTTCAAAACGTTCTTCAGCAGAATGTTCTGCTAAAGGTTCTGATAATTCTAAAGGAATAAATTCCGGCTGTTTTTGTTCTTTTATTGTTGAAGGAATTAATGGAGGTGTTGTTGTAGAAGGAGGGGGAGGTGGAGGAGGGGGAGTAGAAGGGGGAGAAGAAGAATAAATTAAAGGTAATGATTGTTGAATATTATTTTTTGGAATTAATTTGTGAATTTTTGGAGGTAAAGTATTGGAAATTGTTGGTATTGTTGTTGAAGAAGGAGAAAAAATAATTTTATTTAAATCTGGCTAAAATTAAATAAATATTTTATTGAAAATTTATTTTTTTCTCAAAATTTTACTTTTGGTTGTTGATCTTTAATTAATTTTAAATGTAATCTTTTTGTTGATTCTGGCCCTTTTCTGTTTAAATTTGTTGGTTTAATTAAATTATTTGATTTAGATAGTGGTAGCAAATCATCAGAAGAATTTATGAGAATTTTTTCTTGAAAAGAACCGTCTGAGGCACGTTCCTAAATATAAAAATAAATTATTTTAATTTTATATAAAAATAAAAAAATATTTTTATTTGTTAAAATTTTTTAAATATAAATTGTTTGAATTTAAAAAAAATTAGAGAAAAATAATGAGGATATTATGTATATGTATGAACACTAATTTATTTTTAGTAGTGCCAATATTATCCCTTAACACACCACAGTAAATATACCGTAAAACTTTGAATAATTATTCTGGGTAATTAATGTTACGATCTTCCGTTGGAGGGAGTAATTAAGAGAGGGTAACTATATGAGGTTTGAAATTTGAATTTTAGGGCATTTGATGGGGGCAATTAATGTTTCAATCTATCGCTGGAGAGGGTAATTAATAGAAATGGAGTAATTATTTGAGGGAGGGCAATTAATACAGGATATATGGTAAATAATGTATTTTATTTTATTGAAAAAGAATTATTATTAAAAATAATTAATTAATTAATTTTACAATATTTTTAGCTCCATATTGTCTTTGTAAAGGTTGTTGTTGTTGAATAATTAAATTATTATCATTTTGTTCTAAATTATTATTTTCTTCTTTTTGAGGTAAATAAACTTTGGGTATTAATATTTGTTGTTGTTTTTGTTGATTATTGTTCTCTTCTTCTGGTAAAACAAAAACAGAAGAAGAATTGGTTAATTTATTTTTATTTTCTGAAAAAGAATTCTTCTGATTATTTAATTCTTCTTTTTGTTTTTCTGATTCTTCTGATATTTTTGTTGTTCTTACAGTATTTATTTCGGGAATTAAAATACTTTAAATAAAAATTTTAAATTTAAAAATTAAATATTATTTTACTTATTTTGTTCCTCATTTTTATTATTTTCTTGAATAAATAAATTATTTTTATTTTCTTCTGTACTAGATAAAGGTAAAGAAGTTGTAGTTAATAATGTTGGAGAAGAGGAGGAAGAAGAGGAGGAAGTAGTTGGGGAGGAAGTAGAAGAAGTAGAAGAAGTAAATATTAAATCTAAAATTTCAATTAAATTATTTTTAAATTTACTAACTACACCTTTTGTTGTAATTTCATCTTGTTGTATTAATGCAGATGTACTTGTTATTGCAGAATCTTGTGATTGTGCTAATTCTAATTGATGATCATTTCCTATAAAATTTTTATGAATTTTTTAAATATGTTTAAATAAAAAAAATTCCGAAAATATTTATCTAGTTAATCAAACATTTCTCTTGCAAAGTATTGAAAAAGTAAGAAATACGATAATTGATAAAAAAAAGACTATAGAAAAATTCAAGAAAGTAGGGTGGGGAGTATATTCATAGAAATCTTCAAAAATTAATATTTATTTAAACCCCCCTCCCCCCTCAATCCACTTCATTACCTTTACTGCAGGCATTATGAAAGAAAACAACTTTTTGGTCATCCTCTTCAGGTGGCTGAAAATCATCGGGAGCAGTTATTGCAGATTCCGTATTTGTAATACATTCCCCTTCCTCATAAAAATACATTGCCGACAAACAATTAAATTCTTTTTCCTTCATACATTCACTAACACATTCAGCCAATGTTGGGACTGTTGTTGTTGATTGTGCATACCCCCTCAATATATAATTATCTACTCTAATAAATTGTTTGGAAGCACATTCCATTGAAACATCTTCTGATAAGCAAAACTTTTCGATTAAACGATAACCCTCCAATGATTGCCTAAATAATTCTCCGTCTGGAAATGTTGTGTGTCTAAATAAACGACATTCCTGGACTTCACTTCGATAAATGAGGAGAGAACCTTTAATTAAAATTATTTGTGTATTTTTAAATTGTAATTGGGGAGATTTATTTAGGAGGAAATTAAAAATTATTTTAAAATATTTTAATTTTTGAAAATTTAAGTAAAAAAAGATACGAATTTAATTTTCGTTAAGAATCAAAAGATTATTTTTTAAAAAATTTTGTATTAAACCAAATTTCTCTAAATTTATTTATTCAAAAACTAACAAAGTAATGTCCGTCCATTCTGATCTCTATTATTTTTACAAAATTCAATACATTGTTGTTCATTAATTCCTCTAATTATTGAGGAAGGTTTTATATTCTCTTGAATATTTATATTATCTAAATAAATAAATAAATATTTAATTTAAAATTAAAAATTATGTAGATTACCGCTGACAAAGAAAGCACTTGCTGAACCCTCACATAATGCTGAAAAATTAATAAATTTATATGTATATTATACTTCAATAGGGTTATCAACTACTTCCTAGAACCAAAATACTGTTAGGTTTTTGAAATTAAAAAAAAAACAATAAAGTCCCCAACCTCCAAAAAATATATAAAAATTAAAGTTAAAATAAAATTTTGTGTTAATTAATGATTTTATTATATTCGTTAATTACTCGAGATATGTAAATATTTTGAAAAATTTTTTATTTTCAACTTACCAACTTCTACAGGCGATTTTGAATAATTACTTGGTTTATTATCATTTTTTGTTTGAAATAAATTTTTGTCATCGGCAAAAGTAAAATTCAAAAGAAACAAAAAAAGAAGGGAAAGTAAGGGTAATTGAAGTAGTAAGTTTTTAATAATCATTTTATTTTCAAAAAAAAATCTTTTTAAATTTTAAATAAAAATATTAAATTAAAAAAAGAGAAAGGTTTATTTTGTATTTTAAAGATTTTTTTTTGTTTAAATTCGGGAAGCTTTTTAGTACTAGAAAATAAAATGGGAAAAAGAATAGGGTCATCACTTTCCTTTTTCTTCGGTAAATAAATAAATATCTACCTATATCCTTTTTGTAATTTAATTTCGAGATTAAAATATTTTAGAATTTTTAAGTAAAAATTATTTTAAAATAAAATTAATTAAACTAAACTAATTATATAAATGCAATCCAAAAATATAAGAGAATTTAATATTCGAATTAAGTTCTGTTATATCTCATAATAAATTAGTTAATTGTAAAAAACTAATTAAAAACAAACAATTTTTTAATTTAAAAATATTTTTATCTAATTTATAATTTTTTTCTTTTAAATTTATATTTTCTTTTTTTTATACACGCTACTAACTGTTTTCTGGTTCTAAATTTATTTTAATAATAATATGTAAATCCTTTCAATTTTTTCTTTTAATTATTTACAAAGAAATTTGACTAAAATATTTAATATTTATTCAATTTTTTATTTAAATTTGAAAGGGAAGGAAGGAGGTGGGGGGGAGGGGGGGGGGGGAAGTTAAGAATTAGAAACAATAAATATTAAAATTAATTTTAAACAGAATTTATTTTAATTAATTTTTATTTTTAAAAAGAAAAGTGAAAGTGGATTAGTATATTATTTAATTAAAAAAATATTTATTTATTTAATCAAAAACTAAATAAAAGGTAAAAATATTTATTTATGTTTTCATTTATTAAAATATCGCCGTAAGTTAATTTCCGTAATTTTTCATTTCTCACATTAAAAATAAAGAAAATCCGGGTCGTTTATTTATTTTTACGTAGAAAAAATAAAAAAAGAAAGGTAGGTAATCCTATTTTTGAACTGGTTTTTACTTTTTTTTAATATAAAAATTTATTGGAAAAAAAGAAAAGCTAAGAGAGATTTTGGGAAATTAAAAGAATTAAAATTAAAAATAAATTTTTTGAAGTTAAAAAAATATCGGGTATTTAAATTAATTTGAAAGAAGGCAAGAAGTAATTGAAAAATAAAATATTTAAATTTAAAAATCCGGGTCTTTTATTTATTATAAAAATTTTAGAAGTTATTAATAATTTAAGAAAAATATTTCTATCTCTTTTCCTTTCCTTTGGACAATCAACAGTTATACTTTAATTTAGGCATATTATAGCCATAATAACATTGCTGATGGACCAAAGAAAATTTGAGAGAAATTTAAAAAGAAAAATAAAAGATTAATTAATTAAATATTTTTTTACTAATTTAAAACAATATATTTTTATTATTTTTCCAAAAAAAAATTATTTTTTCATTTTTTTCTGTTTTAGGCAAATGATTGATTTTAAAATAAAGAAACGACTGGAAGAATTAATACAAAAAAAGAAATAAAAAGAAAATGGCCCTTTAAAGGATGAATAAATATTTTTAGAAAAAAGGCCTTAAAAATATATTTCTTTTAATTTATGCGCTAAAGTTTAAATAAAAGAAAGGGAGAAGAAGTAAGTAAGTAACGCCTCTTTTTTACTAAAACAAAAATTTGTAGGATTGATGGGGACAAAAATCTGTTAGGCACGAGCGCAACAAAAATAAAAGAATGGGTGGGTGGGCAGTATTTAATATAAAATAATTTTATTTAAAATTTTAAAATTAAAATGAGGAGTTAATAGAAGAGATTTAATTAAATTTGGGGATGAAAGTTGAGAAAGAAATATTTTGTTTAAATTAGTAATTTCCAAAAGACTGTGAACTTTTCGAATTTTCTTTCTATACAAAGAAATTCCTCTATTTTTATAACCCTAGCTCGGTAATAGGTTTCATTTAATACGAATTTCAGGCTTAATTTTAAATATTAAAGTAGAAAGAAAACAGGGGAAGTTTGTGAAGAGATAACCAAAAAATTTAATTAAAATTAAAGGTTGTCTTGTTAATTTAAATTTGACAAAAAAATTATTTCCAATAATTAAATATTTTAGTTATAAATAGTATAATATTATTAATTTTTACTATTTTTTTTAAATTAGCAACATTAATTTAACTTTTATTTTTTAAACAAAAATATTTTTATTTATTTACATTCTTTTAAACAATTTTAGCATTTAACTTTAAAAAATCCTATTTTTTCTTTCATTTATTTGGTCAAAAATTCTTTGCAGATGTCCAACAACTTTTATTTTAGCTTTTCTTTTTTTTAAATTTAAACACTGATCTAAATCTACAAATATATACACAAACTTTTCTTTATTTTTTTAAAATTCTTTTCTTGGCTGTTTTTTGTATATATTTTAAATTAAAAAACTTTTCTTTTCTCCTTGTTGCTTTTTATTATTAAGAAAGGGGGGTTATCGTATAAATAAATCTAAAAGAAAGATTATCTAAAAGTTATTTGTTCTTAATATCTTTTTTTGACAACATTATTTGGAATAAATATAAAAAATAAATTAGTGTATTAAGGAGATAAATTAAGAAATATTTTCATGTTTTTAAGATCAAATTTTTATTTAAATGCTTAAGGAACTAAGGAGGGTATAATGAAAATAATTTTTTGACTACAAAAATTTCCTCCTGTGGCACTAGAAAAGAGTATCCTGGCTATAATTAAATGTTTTTAATTTTGTTAACCATAGGAGTAAATTTTAAATTACAATCTCGAATAACAACTGGTACTTGAGGAGTATCTCCCCACAAGTCCGCAATTGTTTTTTCTTCTCCTTCCCTCTTATTTCTCTCATAAAGATTAAAAATGATTGACAGACAAAATTTGAAATTTTTAAGCATGGAAATAAAAACTAGGGTTACCCGTTACCCGGAGCAGGGAATTCCCCGGGATACTGCCAAAGTTCGAAATAGACCCATTGAAGTCTTTTAGGATCAAGATTTGAACTATATTTAAGGTTGTCGGTTTCACTCAATCGAACTGAAATTTCGGTTCGATTCATTGTTTCAATAACTTAAGGATTCGGTTTTTTAAAAATTTGTAATAAAAACACAAAAAGTTTTCAAAAAATTTTACTTTTTCAACCTTTACTGAAATATTAAAACAAACAAATAAAATGAGAACAGAAATGTCCAAAACATTTTAATTTCAACTTTTAATTTATCAACAAAAAAATATTGAGAAAATCTGGACATTTCTGTTAAAACCTACATTTACATTCATTTTTAAAAATAATCTTTTCCTTTTCTATTTTCAACACTCATCGGTATGTTCGATAAGGTTTGTCATGATTACCCCAATATTCTGGATCAGGTGCATCATCTGGTGGAATACCCAATTCTTCGTCTGTATATTCATATGGATAAGGAATATATTCGTGTCCCTAAAAAATTAAAGTTTTTTAATTAAACAATTTCCCTTTCAAATATTCCCAACATTTAATTATTACAATCATTAAAATTTTCAGAATTAATTAAAGCAAAACTTTTTTTAAAAAAAAAATTATTTTCCAATTTTTAATTAAAGTTATATTTAAATATTAAACATACAAGTAGCATAGAATGATTCCAATAAAGATGATATAATAACCAAGCCCTTAAAAATATTATTTTTAACAAAACTTGAAAAAAATATATTTTTTTGTATTTTTATTTTAAATTTTACGAAATTTTCTTTTTCCTAATCTTTTCAATTATTTAAAGTAAACAAAAATATCATATTTATGACAACCCCAAAAATTTGTTTCAAATTTTTAAAAATAAAATAAAAAGCAAACCACATTAAAGAAGCAACAATTTTCGAAGCAAATCGATCCAAAAAAGGAGGTTTATAAATATATTCGTCTCGATAATTAAATCTTTAAAAATTAAAAAAATAAATTTAAAAAATAAATAAATAACTCAGGAAAATCTTTAGGATTTTCACCAAAACGAGGAGAACATTTATAATATTTATCCATTGTGCCCCACAATTCGGGATCATCTTAAAAATTAAAATTTCTTTTTTTTTAATTTAAAGAATTTAGAAAATAATTTTTGGTTACTCAAAGTCTACAAATTACAGATTTATCAGCAATTTTAATTAAAAAATTTTTATATGTTAATTAGACTCGTTGGTAATACCAAGACTGGTATTATTGTACATAATAGTCAATTTTTCCTTTTCAATTTCACCCTATTTCCCTGTGAAAAATTGAAATCAAATTTTAAAAATTTAGAACAAGTGAAAAATTTGCGACTTAATGAATAACCCCAATTAAGCGACGATTTCGATGTATGGCTGGAGCTTGGACATGAGTGAAATTGGGGAAGGAATAAAGATTAACCATAAAGTATATACAATTACCCCCCTATTTTCTCTCAAAACTATAACATTACTTTATCTCCAAATAAATTAACCTTGATGTCCAATTTGTAATTTTCTCATAGGAAATTCTGGACCTTCTGGATTCTTTTCCCATCGAAATTTTATTTTATTAGCTTTTTTATATTTCTCATAATCTTCTTTATCCTTTAATTATTAAAATTAAAAAAATAAATATATTTTTTAAAATTTAAACCTTTGTAAAATAATGATAGAAAAGTTGACGTTTTGACAAAATTTGAGAGGAAAATGCAGGTTTCCATATTAATAAATTTTGGAAATTTTTAAATGGCGGTAGAATTACACAATTTTTTATACGATTCATTTATCTAAAAATAATTAAATGTAAAATTAAAAAATAAATAAAAATTAGAAATATTATTGGAGACTCTAATTGACATTTTGGAAAATAAATACATTTGGCCAAGAAAAAAAATTATAAATGCCAAAAATAAATATAATTTTTGATTACGGTAATGACTGGGATTTGAACGATTCCCCGAAAATGGATTGGGAGTTTGGATTTATTACTACACTTTTCATTCGAGACCTACGGACATTTAGTCCTAATTAGCTTATCCTGTTATGTATTGTGTCCTTATAGCTGGATCAATGAACCTTCGGTAAAACACTCTGATTTTTGAATCAACTTGTTACTATCGAAATTAGCTTTAAAATCAGACTAATTTGTATCCAAAAATTTTTGTTTGAAATTCGAAGGGAAATAATCAAACAGCATTTTTATCAAGATTATATCTATTAAAAACAACCCACACTTTATACATATATCTTCAATATATTTAACAATAATATTTACATTATATACACATATTATCACAATTTTTGGGGGAAAACATAAAGAATATATTTACACATAATTGCCAAGATATTATTATTCATTCGTCTTCAACCTTGCCTATATCAATTGAACAGGAATCTTGATGATTTTGTGATCCTTCACGTCAACAATCTTAAAGATGGCAGGAATTCCTCCATCAGGCAATGGCCCTTCAGTCATCTAAAAGTACATATTTTTTTATGTAAAAAATATTTTTTTGTATCTCTCACCGGTGCAGCAACAACTTCGATTAGGTCAGATTTGGGTGCAGAAGGCATTCTTATTATTTGCACAAGTGATTTCCCTCCTGGCTCTATTGTTCGGAAGACGGGTATCACTCGGTATATATTTGCATCGGTACTTTTGATCTAAAAAAAATAATTTTGACAAAAAATATTCCAAAGTTTTCTCACTTTGATTGCAGCTGGAACATCACTTTCATTGATCAATTCAACGGATGCCTGCTGCTCGACATTGTATTTGACATTGTTGTAGTTGATTTCTTCTGGTACGGCCTTGACAACTAAAAACCAAAAAGAATTCCCTACATTTTCAATATTTCTCCTACCAAATTCGCCAGGTTTAAATTTCTTGTCGAATTCACCCATTTTGCTCTGCAGAGATGGAGGTGGTTTATCAAGAAAAGAATCTCCTCCAGTCGTTGTAGTTCCTTTCTTTGATCCTTTGCGGTCCTTACCCGACTGAAGCAATTCATCGGTAGGAACCTCCATGACCTTCGCACTCTCCAAGTCTGAACTTTTAAAATTAATAAAGAAATGTTTTTTCTAAATATACCGTCATGTTCTCCACTTTCCAATGATTTTGGAACATCCCGTCGCATAACCGTTTGGTCTCCGAGCTGTTTTTTTGACTTTTTCTTCTTAACACTTTGCATAGATGACGGTGGTTTGAGATTCTCCGTCGTGTCCCATGCAAGTTTGGCCTTCTTCTTGCCCTTTTGTCTTTTACCGGGGTTTCTAGGGCTATTCTTCTCATCCATATTAGGGGCTGATGGAATTTTTCCTGGAGTGCTGCCGTCTAGTGGAGAAGCTGCGCCTTTGGCTGGAGTCGTTGGCGGAACTGTAGGTTTGGCAGGTTTTGGTGGTGGAGGTAATTTCAGAATATCTTCTTTACTCCTTGTTGGATCCTTCCTTTCTTTTGGATCTTTCTTTTCCTTCCAATCTTTCACTTCTAATACATACGTAGGAAGAGTAGCGTTGGTATTCTTCTTTTTGGAACATCCAACGAGCAGAAGCGACCCACATAATGTTCCGACTGTAGCCGCAAAGGAAACAGCTGATATAAGCACTTGAAGCAGATGAAGAACAATCATTGTCAAGTGAAGCTGTTAAATTAATTAATCATTTAAAGTAAAAGATAAGACCGAAACTTACTTAGCCAAAATAGGAGCGAAACAATTGACGGAGAATGGAGAATATGATAGCTTTAATTTGAAGTCCTTTCTTTTATAGACAAGACTTACCTATGCAATTATTTTCAGAAAAAACATCAAAAACTTAAAATATTTAGAATTGTTTCCATAAATTATTTTATCTTTCATTCTCCATTTGACCACAGAATAATAATAAGTCGGTGATCCCTGAATGGTGATTTGGATAATGGGGATTTTTGATGACATATTTTAGATAATGGAGATATTTATGATAACCTCAACCTTGTTCTTGTAACTCATTCTCGACTTATCAGTAATGCTTTTCCAGGTCTAAAAAAGGGTAATTTCCTAAATAATATGCATGTTATATACAAAGGTTATTAAAAGCCAAAATGAGTCAAAATTTTGAACAAAAAATGTGACAACTTGAAAAAAATTTTATCTTAAAAGCTACCTATCTGTTTATTTTGAAATTATCTCATCGAATGTAATTCGCAAAAGTAGTTTTCTAATAATAAACTTTCTAATAATAAATTCCACCCCTATTAAAAATTCAAGTTTTCTAGTTAAAATCTGTTTCACATTTGCCATGAATTATTGCAAGCCATTGACCAAAAGGACAAAATGCTGTAGTATTAGCTCAAAAATGGCAATTTATTTTTCACTTTAAACTCCACAGAAGTTCATACAGGAAAAGGAAATAAGTAAAATAAGGAAATTTAAAGAGGAAGTATATTTATTGCAATCCTCCCTCCTCTTTATTTTCGTTTATTTTAGAGTCAGTCGGCAATTTATTTATTATTATCAACCAGCAGCGAAAGTCATTTTGGTGTTGGGTGATTATTAACTTTTTTAGTTTTAGAATTTTCCTTAAATAAAAATTTTATTTTTACATGTTCTTTTCATAATATAATTTTTCTTTTGAGTAAAATATTATCAAGACAAGTCGTAATTCTAAGAATTTATCCTCATACTTTTCTAACTCGTTCTGAAAAAATACTTAAAGACAAAAACAAAATTCTTTTATAAATATAACCCAAATTTTAATCTCACTCATTTTTGCGATTAAGAATTATTATGTAGAAAAAGCCGGCTGATAGTGAAAATTATTGACTTTTACAACTTTTATAAAGCGAAAATTAAATTATGATAGTTTTCTACATCGTAACTTTACCAGGATACAGAGATTTAAAAAAAAGGTGTATTAGAATTTGGACCACATTATTTTACTAAATTTATAAAATATCCAAAAGAATACCCAAAAACCAACAGAAAGCCTTTTTTTAACAATGTGTGTCTATTTAGTAAATATAATGTAAATACATATATTTTTATATTCATATAATCATTTTTTCCATCTAGCAAATATATGGAGGGTGCAGTAGGTGGAAAAATTGGTTGTTATATCGAAGTGGTCGGTTGGACTTATATAATATGTTTGAGGGGGAAGAGGTCTGGCCCGGCTGGTAGTGAAAATTATTGACTGACTGCAAATGTTTTGTGATGGAGTTGACATGGGGGAAGGGGGGGAGGAGGGGAGAAGGGGTTGGGGAGAAGGAACGAACAATAGAACCGGTAGTACTTGGACAAGGGGAAAAGAGGAGGAGGAGAAGGGAGATTTTCAATCGCAAGAAAAAGACAAGTTGGAACCATAGAAAATTGGGAAAAAAATTATTTTAATAGTAAATCAAATTGAATAAAAAAAGTATCCAGCCAACAAAAACTTTTTTGAGTAAAAATTACTTTTTCCGTCCAACAGATTTTGGGAAGAATAAATGATTCTGTGATATAGTACATATTAAACTTTATCAGAGTTTTGTTATTTTTACTTTAGATATAGAGGAGAGGAATTGGCTAAATTCTGATTTTTTCAAATCCCTCTCAATAACCGCTACCCAAAAAACAAACTTTCCTCCCACAAATACCTAAATTTTAGATTCCACAAAAAATTGACAATTTTTAAAGTTTTTTTTCTTATTTTCTTATAAACTAATTCATCCACATTTATCATTTTTATAAGCACCAACCATCCTTTACCGGTAAGCCCAAAAGACAGAAAAATATAAGACTAAAGAAGAAAGCTTTCTATTTTCAACCACAAAATAAGAGTTGAAAAAGCATTACTACTTCTACTCCACTACACTACCCCCCCCCCATTCTCTCCCATTATTTTTCTACTACCACTATACTACTTTGTCTCTCCCTTCCCCTATTTTTCCTTTCTCAATTTTCTTTTAACTAAAAAAAAGAAAAATATATTTTTATAATACTCACACCCCCCCCCCTCCTTTCCCCCCTTTCCCCCTCCATCATCTTCGTCTTTACAATTTCTTCCCTTATAATTTTTTTTATTTTTATAAACACTGGATACCTCTATTGATTGATTACTTTTTGTAATTATTTTAAATATATACCAAAAATCAGTTCCCTCAAATCCAAAAATTAAATCCTCTAATCTCTCTCAACTCTATTTTTAGCAACTTTTAAGTGAAGGATTTATTAAAATCTCTTCCAATAATTTTTAGTTTTTTAATAGGCAATTTAGTGTTTAGTCTTCTAAAAAAAATTTTTTTTAATTTGTTTTTGGAATGAAGCCAATTAAAGACAAAAAAAATTTAAAAATAAAATTATTAGTTTTTTTATTCATTTAATGTACCTTTTTAAAATAAAGAGCCAAAAAGAGATAAGGATTCGACTAATTTCCCATTCAATTTTATCAGTTTTATAATAAAATAATAAAAAAATTGTCTTGGAATTTATATGTTTTTATATTAATTTAACTATATTTATTTAAAATAAGAAGCTTTAAAGAGAAAGCATTTACATTTAAATGAAAATTTTTAAATAAAATACGTCTTTTTAATATGTAGAGCTGTTAAATTATAAAAATTTTAAATTAAAAAAGATTCTTTTAATATTTCCTTTTAAAAGTGGAGACTTTTAAATAATTTTTAGTTAATTTTAGAGTAAAAAATGATGAAAAAATGAATTTTTATTTTACTAGATAGGGGTAAAACTCGGTACTTATTTACCCCCCCCCTCCCCCGTCAGTTTTTCCGTAGATATGTAAAAAATGGTCAGTCAGTCATAGGTTATAGAACTCGCCTGTGTTGGCCAAACATTAAGAATGGGGGTTGATTTTGGTGTCATTCAACACAGCTCGACGAATTCTGTAACTGACTGACCATTTTTTACATATATATCGAAAAAAATGACTGGAGGAGTACCGTATTTTCTCCAAAACGTCCTGTAGAGCCGGTCTCCATAAGCACATATCCCCCCTTAAATCTTTTTGAAAAATAAAATTAAAAAATTAAAATTTTCTGTAAGTAAAAATAAAATTTTTGGTATGATTTTTGATCATTTAAAAATAACTTGGACAACTGTTTAAAAGTAATCTTCTCCCAGACTATTTAATAAAAAAAATCTTCCAAAAATGAAAAATAAATTCTTTTATTTATTACTTTTTTTGATGAAATGAAATTTTAGAATGTGAAATTTTGTTAAATAAAAAATAAATAAAAATATTTATTTTGGTAAACAAATAAATAAATAAATTTTCTTTTTTTTTCGAAATTCTTTTCATTTTCTTTTATTTACAAACAAATTTTTTAAAAATAATAAATAATATTTTTAGGATTAAAGCGGGGAAAAAGTGCCATGTCTAAAGAATTCCAGCAACGGGAAAAAGAAAAAGGAGAACGGGAAAAGAATGAATCACAACAACAACAACAAACAATAACCTCATCATCATCATTTGTTGAACAACAAATAAATTTCTCAACAAAAATGACAACAACAACAACACCAATTATTGCTAGTGAAAATGAAGAAAGTTTAATAACAACAACAGTTATAAATACTTCTACAACAATTACGGGTTTACAACAACCTTTAAATCAAATACTTCAACACAAAAAAAGTTTAAGTAACAGTAATAATTCTACCTCATTTTCAATGATTAGTTCACGAATTGATGATGAAGGTTTCTCTTTGTTAAAAAAGGATTTTTTTCAAATTTTGGTAATACCAAAGCCGGTCATCCCTTTTTTATGTTTCCCTGACCATTTTGAGCTTTTTTGCTTGACATCATCCTTGGTATTACTTTTATTTTTTTAGATCCAATTTTTGCTTTGGATGAAGAAGTTAATGCAAAAGAAGGGGAAAGGGCACGTCATTATACGGCTGATTTTGATCCGACAATATCTGATGATGATGGTTTTTAATATTTAAAGGGTTTTGTTTATAATTTATTTTAATAGAATTTCCAAGAGAAATGGAGAGTTTACATGGAGGGCGTGCTTATTCTGCATCAAATCGTTTTCCATCTAGAATGCGAAATACGGGACGTTCAGGTTTATTTCTTACTATTAATGTAATTAAATTGAATTGGGTTTCTAAATGGATTTTAAAGGGAAAGGAATTTGAATAATAAGATTTTTGAAACTTTTTTAGGAGTTTTTCCCAAGTTTCTTTCCTTAAAATCAATATGGGGTAGGATTTCCGTTTCCCTCTGTTGTTTATTCATTTCGTATTTTAAGGTCCACTTTCAAATATTCTTCATAAAGTGCATGGACAATTTGATAGCGGGGGCATTTCAGTAGTTCCAGCTTCTTTGCCCATCCAAATCAGTCGCGGTTTTAATTGGCCTTCTCACGATTTGGTTGGAAGTTTAAGCGAGGAAGAAGATGGGATTACAAAAATGGAAAAGGCGAGAGCAGCTGAAACTTTGGCTGCCGTTCTTTCAAATGGAATTAATGAGAGTGAACAAAAGGTTTGTAATGATTTTAATTTTAATTTATTTTTTAATTTAAAAATTTAGAAGGAAACGAAAATTTTGGGACAATTTGATGGAAGCAAGCTGACACAGCAAAATGGGTCGGAACAAGAAGAAACGGAAATTGAGAATTTATATGGTCGTATTCAGGCTTATTCTCGTTCTATCCAACCGGAAGATGATCCCGTTAGTAATCTATTGAGCATCATACTTCTAATTATTATTTTTAAGGAACGCATTTTTGGCGAGCGTCCTCATCGTCGTTACTCGTTAGCCGCAAAATTTGGTACGGATGCTGATTTACCTCCTCCCTCAACAGAGGAAGAAGATAGCGGGGGAGAAAACATTCCACCGATAACAACGACTGATACTCTTTCTAGCCATCGCAATCCTCATCAACAACAACTGACAACGATTACCTCAACTGACAACAATCAGGCAATGATCTCAAACATTATGACGCCGATTGCTTCTTCACATACTGTCATTCCCCAGATGACTATTGTTAGTGGAGGGGGAATGCCTAATGTGATAGTGCCAACTAGTATGAGTGACTGTTTGTAAAGAAATTTAGTTATTTTAAATGTAAGCAAATACTTATGTGGTAGGTATCACGACTTTTGCGCCGAGAACATTTGCGCCGCGACTTATGCGCCGCGACTTTTGCGCCGGGCGACTTTTGCGCCGCGACCCTTGCGCCGCGACTTTTGCGCCGGGCGACTTATGCGCCGCGACATTTGCGCCGCCATTGTTTAAGAAATCCGGATCCGAAAAATGCCGGATATCCGAAATTTTCAGTTTGGATATCGGATCCGGATATTCGAAGATTTTCAACTATCCGACAACACTACTAAAGTGAGGTCCGGCTGTAGTTATCTATATATTTTTAATGATAGTGGCGGCGCAAAAGTCGCCCGGCGCAAAAGTCGCGGCGCAAATGTTCCCCGGCGCAAAAGTCGCTCGGCGCATAAGTCGCGGCGCAAAAGTCGCGGCGCAAGTGTCGCGGCGCAAATGTTCTCGGCGCAAAAGTCACGGAACCATGTGGTAAGAGAATGAATGATAAATATGTAAGAAACTAATTTGTAAGTTGGATAATTCTGGCAAGGGAACATCGTTTACTGTCAGTGCAAATTTAATCATTTTTTTGGTACCATTCGATAGAGGACCCTCGACTTACTATAGTGGAATGATCCGTCTTTTTTGCAAAATGACTGGGCCGAGTTATGGCCGTTCAAAGTTTCAGTCCTTGGGTACGGGGTGCTACGTATATATTAAATCCAATTGAATCTCTTTCTTTAAAACTCGATTCTTTTAATGAATCAAAGAAGAATGTTACGGGTATTTTTAGTGGAGGGAAGGGGATGCAATAATTATGTTTTTTCAATTATATTTATTTTTTTAGGCCGCGCATCTTTGAAACAAAAACAGTAAATTGATGAAAATTGTATACATTAGTATAACAAAAAAATATTAGAAAAAAGATGCTAGATGTTTGAAACATTTTCAAAGACGTTTAAAAATACATTCATCCTTTGGTTTCATTCGTCCAAATTTTGTTTGGGAGCTTCCTTCCTCTTTCCAAATCAATTTTAAAACACCTCATTTATTATTATTTTATTATTATTTTACATCATCTCGTGATTAATTTGTGGTGACTTTTTGTTTTATTTTCATTTAAACTCATTATTGCTATTTTAGTAGTCAAGATAAAAAGATCTGAACATTTTTAATTTATGTTAAAATGGTATTTTCCATAATTTAGGGTCTACATTTTGGGCTCTTGTCCAGTTTATGCGTCCCATGAAAGTATATGCGTCCCATCAACAAAAAATTGAATATTTCTTGGTGTTGCATCGTAGGGGTATGGTTCCAAAGCATTTCTTCATGTTCGGGATCTACGTCCACTGGGTCTGGGACCGTTCCTTACCCTATCCTTCGAAATTTCTGAAAGTTAAAATCGTTTTTCTGAAATTTTTAAAAATTGGCTATAACTTTCAGAAATTTCGAAGGATAGGGTAAGGAACGGTCCCAGACCCAGTGGACGTAGATCCCGAACATGAAGAAATGCTTTGGAACCATACCCTACTTTGCAACACCAAGAAATATTCAATTTTTTGTTGATGGGACGCATATACTTTCATGGGACGCATAAACTGGACAAGAGCCACATTTTGTACCTGAGATCACTTGTGTAAACAAAATTAACTCGTTAGTATTTTTCGTCAGAAATCTGCTATGATAAATTACTGAGAATTTCATACACTAGGGATGGGCTACGTCTTCCGCATAATTCCGCCATTTTTGCCCCTCTTCTGCTTCATTGAGATCCCAGTAAAAAACGACAAACAATAATTTCACACTATAAAAGCCGTCTAATCGTCACATTCCATACGCTAAAGTTCAGAATTTGCTGTCCGAGAAGCATCCTTCGCCTGATTGCTAGGTTCGTTTAGATTTTAGGTTACATTGCTGTTAATTATAAATTTAGGAAAAACCGCTATGGCAGCCGGTAGGGATTTTAGAGTTGATGCAGTTTTAGCAAAGTGCGATGAATGTGGAGCGCCGCTGTTGGGACAATGTGTCTTTGTGGAGGGGAGACGAGTGCACAGAGCCTGTTTCAAATGCGCAGGATGCGGGGTAAATTTCGTTTAAATTGTTTAAAACCTTTTTATCATTTTTAGATTGGGATTCCTTGTGATGAGCGCAACGGAGAACAATTCATACGCTATTACGTGATAAATGGAAAGATTTACGGACCTAATTGCTATGTGAAGAGGCTGAGATGAAAAGATGTTCAAGAATCTGAAAGATCTCCCCTTGTAATATATAAATTTATTCTCCATTTCTATTTATTTCTGATGTAAAAATAAAATGCTTTATGGACATGCTTGGGTATGGACTGAAGTGTCTTTTACATGTTAGACCAAAGTTACTATTTTGAATCTATTCTATAAGTATAATGTAAACTATAAAAATCGACTTGTTTATCACCGTTCTGACATGAGTATCATTTCCCAGTCTGTTAGATAAGTTCAGTTCATTTTTTGTTCATCGTTAGACGGGAATTTTGTTCGTTGATCTTTTTGCTTTGTATTTGGCTCACTTTTTAGTAAATAAGTTGCCACAATTACGAACAACATAGCAAAATGCAACCAAAAGTACCTGACATGAGATTAATAACTAATTTAAAGAATTTTAGGCATACATTCTTCCCCAAAGTCTTAAAGTATCCCAACCATCAAGAAGTAGGAAGCCAGCAGCCATAAATTCAAATCCGCGCGTCCGGATAAAACTCCACCTTGAAAGGGTAAAAATTGAGGGAAAAAATACATAAAAGGCAACTCACGAAATTTGTAATAATTTAGTTCTATTCTCTATAGTAAATGTATTGAATAATTTATCTTCTGCGGCTGTACAAAGAGGAATGGTTAAGAATGAGAGAAAATATCCAGGATGGATTCCGTGCCAAAAGGAACTAACTAACATAGTGTAGAACATTCTACATTTAAAAATTTTAATAATTATGCTTATTTAAGTACCTAATTGATCTATCGCTTCGTCTATATACAAAATTGGCAAGCCAGAACTGAACTGTTCTATTCCACGCGCGCATTCCTGAACGAAAACCATCACTATGTTCTACATTAGGAATATCCAGGTTATTAATGGTTTCAGAATCGAATTCAATGGACACATCATTCCAATCGATATCCCTAAAATCTCAAATTTTTAGAATGATTATTATTTATTAGGAACTGGAATGAGTATCTTTCCGATTACTTTAAAAGACGTCACATTATATGCTACAAAGTCTACACATACTAAATCTCAAAAATTTTTACCCTACCATATAAAAATATCAAACTCGCTGCCCACATTGAATTTTTGAGACTGTCATCGCTCTTCTCCTTCCTATTTCTTCATGTCCTAGCAGCTCTCATGTAGGCCGATTGATCCCCATGAGGCGGTGTGTTGCTCTGATCTCCTGATTGTTGAGCTTGTTGAGAAGAGTTGTAATTGACGAAGTTGATGCGGACTGAGTGAAAGATTTGTTTTTATACTTGGGTCCACCGTGTATGAACACTAATTTACTATAAAAACGCAACTTTTCACTCATTTCCAAACAGTTCGTCAGCACAACTACAGTCAACTACAACTCTTCTCAACCAGCTCGAGTTCAACAATCGTCATGGGAGATCAGAGCGCCTACATGCCTTCGCCAGGGACCATGCCCAAGAAGTCCGGTGGTGGTGGTGGCTATGGTGGTGGTGGTGGAGCGGTACGTTTTAATATTTCTATTTTAACAATCTTATTAATCATCAACAATCTTCTTTTATTTTCAGCCTGTTCGTGGCGGCAGCTACCAGTTCGAGTTCGAGGCAGGCTCAGCACCTCCGTCTGGCAACAATGCGCCGCCACCGCCTCGTGGAGACCAGTCGGCCTACATGTGAGCTGCTAGGACGAGGAAAGCTGCGAGACAGGAACCTGAAGAAATAGGAAGGAGAAGAGCGATGACACCATAAGATTCAATGTGGACAAATCTTGATAATACCCACTCCTATTCCCATAAATGTATGTATATATTGCTAATGCTTTGTTTGTTTCCCTCTAAACCTGTTAGTTAATATGTAATTATTTGCCTTTGTGTATTGTCATTAGTCTTGAAATAAATTATTGTAAATTAATTTTTAATTGTCATTTTATAGTCCAGTTTTTAAAGGTACAAATCTCACTCAATATACTAATCTGAGGTCTGATTTTGAACACAATACTTACAAGTAGTTAACGAAGTACTGATCTTAAAATCCGAAAAACCTAGTGAAAAACCTATATCATATAGACATTTTAACATTAATCTAAAGGTATAACATAGAAGTATCCAAATGTGCTTTATTACACACTCATAAAGTTGAGAATATTAACAGCTGTGCCCTTATGCTAAACTCGGGCCACTGAAAGAATATACAAAAAATGTCTTCAATTTAGCTGATTAAAAATTCAACACATACATAATTTTTTGCATTTCCGTCGGTCCATTACCCGGTGTTGATTTTCCTTCTTTTGGATAAAGTCCAATACCAGTTAATAAACAAATTGATTCAGCAACCATCCAAGCACTATATATTCGCATTCTGAGATATAAAAATGCAAGTGCACACCAAACAAAATCATAAAAAAGTCCCAAAAGAGAAGCAGTACGTTCACCACGAAGAACCTTTAATAAGAACAAATAATTCTCTCATATAAAACTAAACTACCAACATTCACAGGGTCTAGCCATGTTAGGAAAATTAATGAGGGCAATGACCAACTCAAGGTTTTCATTTTTCCTGTTAACAATGGTTTAAGTTTACTCCATACAAGTGGCCTTTTCCATTTTGTTAAAGCATCCGAATAAGTGCGATAAGTAAAATAAGGACCTAAAATAAAATTAAAAAATATTTTAGAAAAATTAAAAACCTGTAAAAAGGCCTGTAAAATTATAAAAATAATTAAAAGCTTCAAATGTTGAAGGCTCTTTTTCAATAAAATATTCAATCTTTTTATTGTCAGACTTTTTTGATAATCGAAAATCAGCAATTTCATAACTTAATCCGATTACCTAAAAATGAAACAAAGCTATTTAAAAAATTAAAAAAAACCCTTAAAGTAAGAATAAGTTGGATGGCATTTGTAACAAATTCAAGCCTTGGAAGACCAACAAAATGTATCAAACGAAGAATGGCTAAGAAAACAAAAGTTCCGTAGAAAGACAAATTTGTTAAAATTCTGTGAAATATCTAGTTTAATTAATTGTAAAGTGAATAGGTTTTTGATAATATCCAAACATTATTTAAAATATATTTTTTTGAATTGGTTATGAAAGGAAAAACAATTTGAAAGAAAAGTTTTAAAGGTATTTTTCGATAATTTAAAAAATAAAAACCTCGGATTTCTAATAAATCGGAACATAACTAAATGTACAACAACAACAATTAAAGAGCAAAACAACATTCTCCCCGCTACAAAAAGCGTAATTCCAAATCCAATAAAACCATCCAGTTTTCGTCGAGTACCAAATGATCCAAAATATCTGAGTAAAAAAGCCAAAATGGAAGAAAATAAAAGGAGAAATCCATAGAAGAGATCGCCCTAAAATTTGAGTAAAATTAAAGCACTTTTATTATACAAAACCTTAGCATGATAAAAGAAGTCGGTGATTTGTTGCATATTTTAGTTTATAAAAATATACAAAAATGATTAAATTGGTTGTTTAAATAATAAAAAAAGATATTAATTTTTTGAAAAATATATAAAAAAATATTTCAAATAATTTTAAAACAAAAATTTAATTAATTTAAAAAACAAAAGAACATATGTATTTCTTACAGAAATCGGTACTTTATGGATATGTCACCCCCCTCCTATTTTGAGTCTCAGAGTTTTCCTTAAACGTAGAAAATGGTCAGAGATTATTTTCTTCTCCAAGTCAATCATTTTTCTTTCTTCAAGCAAAATAGGTGAAATGTAGTAAATGTAGAAACGAAATGGGTGAAATGTAAGTACAAAATATGTGAAAAAGCAAAATAAACAAGTAAAATACTTGAAGAAGAAATAATGATTGACTTGGAGAAGAAAATAATCTCTGACCATTTTCTACGTTTAAGGAAAACTCTGAGACTCAAAATAGGAGGGGGGGGGTGACATATCCATAAAGTACCCAGAAATCAAAAGTCAACAAAAAAATTCTAAATAAACCCTTACAATATTCACATTAAATATAACACCTTCAAACTATTTCAAACAATATTTAAAAATTCCAAAAACCTTAAGTTATATTTTTAAACTAAAATAATTATTAAAAAAACAAAACTTTAAAAGAGCATTGTATTTATTTTCTTGTCACGCTCTGAAGTATAATATGAACGATCCAAGTTTTGATAGAAGCTACGTTGATATTCAGAAACCATTCTAGATTTCCATAATTGTTCTGTAGTTAATTTATCGTTGCGTTTATAGTAAAACCATCTAAAAATTTATAAAAAAATATGTGAAAGAATTTTTGTTTTGTAAAATAAATCTAAAAATTTTTATGGAGTCCATTTATGGGGAAAAAATAACATAACATAATTTAAATGAAAAAAACATAAATTAAAAATTATTTTGTCAAAATAAATTGTAAATACTTACAAAATAAGATTGCATGGATGATCTGGACCATAATTGTAATAAATTGTTCCATTTACTAACCCAACAGTTGCTACAGAAATTAATGTTTTAAGCAACAAAGGATTTCTAGTACATTGTTGAATATAAAAACGAAAATTTGCTTTAAATTTATCAAAGGGCTTCATTTTGTTTGGAGTTGGGGGATTTGCTTGTACAATCCTTCTGCACATCTCATTATAAGCTGTTGTTTTATCAGAATTTGATGTAGACTCCATATCTGTTACAACTAAAAAATATGATTAAATACTCGCAATGGATTGAGGCAATTAGGCAATGTTTCCGATTTAATGAAAACACAATTTTTCTCCTGAGATACAAAAACATATAAAAAGATATGTATATTAATCTCTCTCCATGTGAAAGAGAGAAAAATGTATTAAAACAACATTTGTATTTATTTAATAAAGTAGAAAAAAATAATAATTTTTATACGACAATTAAATTTTTTTTCAACAAGATAGTAGCTTTTTTCCTTAACTTACAAAAAAGGAACATTGAGATCCAAGAAGCATTTTACGAGAAAACGGATAGGAAGTGGGGATCCTCTATCGAATAGTACCAAACCTATATATCAACTAGAGATAGGACTGGAAGGATCGTACGAGAATCAAACAATCTAGATAGAAATATCTCGAAAAATCTTTAAAAAAACCTCGAAAAACCAGAAAAATATCGTACGAGAATTGATCGAGCTCTATTCTCGGTCCGGTCTCTAATATCAACTGTGGTAACAGTAAACAACAATGCATTACCTTGCTAATATAATATTTTTTATCTACAAAATGACCGGTAAAGAAAAAAAGGAAAGTAAAATTAAATACTGCAGGACCCAGGAAAAAAAATAGAATTTTTAATAAATGGCTTCGTAATTTTTAAAGGAAAATCTTCTCAAAAATAAAAAAAATATTCATGGTCCTGCAAATTATATTTTATAATAAAAAATTTTTTATTGGTCAAATACCCCAAAAAACATTATTTTTAAAAGAAATAACAGTCAAATAAAACAAATAAATTTTCAACAATTTTTATAAAAAAATAAAACCATCTATCATTCTTCTTATTGTTCCTAAGGTTTTTTACGCATTTGAGGAGGCAAATATTTTCCCTTTTGCTGCGGTACAATTTCCTTACTTTGTTCTTGTTGAGGTGGGGGCGCTTCAACTATACAAATTTGTTTTGGTGGCGGTTGTTCTTCTTCCTTACGACGCTGTTCTTCCTCTACAAGTTTAACTTCACTTTGCCATTTTTTCATCCTCTCATTTGCCAATTTTTCAATAGCCTTTTCACGAACCAATTCCACTTTCTTTTTCCATTTCTCCTTAATAATCTTCAAGTCCTCAGCATGTGATTGAATTGTACTACGCATAAATTTAATAGCATCATCTTTAACATTTGTCAAAAGTTGAAAAGATTCTAACATCTTTTCACGTGCTTTTCTTAAAAAACAAAAAATTTTCCTCTAAAGAATAAAAACGAACATTTCTTTATCAATTCTTGTTACTTCATATTGGTCAAAAAGTTCCGAAGCACAAGCTTGTTGTTCATCAGATAATTCTTTCCAAACTAACATTTCTTCCAAATGAATTGCTCTAACATAATAATCAAACTTTTTCTCTTGTTGCAGCATCTTATTTTGTTGTTCTTTTCGTTCTTTATCCAAAAGAATACGCTTTAAAATTTTTTTCTTTAATTAAAAAATTTCAATAAATTTAATAAACCTTCTCAATAACAAATTGCTCCAAATCCATCTTTTCAACAGCCTCTTCACCCAATTCTTTAACCAACATTGCGTATAATGGATGCGATTTTTGTTTTTGCATTCGATCGGCAGCTACTTTACGTTGAATTTCAGCCTAAAAAATTTTTGTTAGAAATTCAAAAAAAAACTTTTGTCAAGATTTTTGTCAGAAAGTTTCAAAATTAGTTTATTTAAAAACATAGAATTCAGGAATAGGAGAATAGCAGGTATGATATTGAATACCAAAATCGCCGAAATAATTGAGGAATGACTTTCCAGTATTTGGTATTTCTATATATTCCTCTAAACTTTTTAACTATTAATTTCCCAAAAATAGTTCCAAGTTAGGTCTTAAAAATAAAAATATACCTGTTCAACGAATCTTCGACGCTGTTCGTTTTCTTTATTCTCTTCCATTAATTTATTATATTCTTCAGTTCGACGTTTTTCTTCTTGTTTATTAGCCAACATCTGAGATTGAAACAACTTCTCTTTTTTCATTTGCTCAGTATTTTCTTTATAAAGCTCAATTCTTTTACGACGTGCAAGTATACGTTCAAAATCGCCATCTTTATGAGTTAAATAAATTTTAATTTGGCGGGCCAACTAAAAACAGGTAGGATTAGTAAACTTAAAAACCATAGAAAAACCTTTTCTTGAAGCTCCTTAACAAAACTTTGATCAATGTCAAGATAAGCATCTTGCAAAATTGAATAAACCGAAGATACGTGTGTAGTAATTTTAGAAATCTAAAAACGCAGAGGAAAAAATTCAAAAGCATCAAATTAAAAAAACCTCAGAAATACGCCCATGCTCACTCTCAAGTTCACTTGCCAAAAGTGAATCTACATGTCCAAAATAAATACAATTTTGACGATGGTCAATATGTGCAGAAACTAAATTTTGTTTGCAGATATCAACTAAAAATTGTTCCAATTGCATTCGATTATAAAATGGGATAATTTCAGAAAGACGTGCAAATTTTATTGACTCATAAATTGACGAAATCTAAAATTTTAAACAAAAAAATTAAAATAAGTTGTTACGAACGTAATTTTTAGATTATATTTTTAAAAGCTAAACTCAACCGCGAGCCCAATATACCGCCGAGCTACAACCTATTCGAAATCATCGAATCAGACTATTTATCGAATCCAGCTTTGCGTTAGGAACGCTAAAGTAAACACCCAAAATTGTGGCTCCAAATTTTATGATAAGCCCCAAGCAAATTTTCAATGTCCAGAAAAAATAATTTTACAGAAATATCAGGTTAAGTGCTAACGGCTCCCAAACTCTAATTTATAACTAAAAAACCTGTTTCACGATTTTTGCAGCCACAGTTTTCTTAATAGAATTAGAGTATTGACCATATTCAGAATGTCCCAACTTTTCACCCAATTGTTCAATGACTAAAAGCATTTCTTGAACATTGACGGCAATATGTAAAGGATCAAAATCAAATTCAATACATTTATATAATTTAAAAGCTTCAGGAGCTGCAATCTCAGGAATGTTTAAACGAGCAATCTCTTTCAAAATTCCATTACGAGTTGGAATAATAGGCATACGTAAAAGTGCAGAGAGAATTCTAAAAAAATAAAAAAATGTAGCTCTAATCCTGATTATGCGTGCAATCGCAACTTTACGCATCCAACCAAATTTCAATGTCTAATCTATGGCAAATCTGATCAAGTATATGGTCTTACTGAAAGTTGGCGGCCCCACTACTAGTTGATGGTTCAGTTCGATCCAAATCGGGCATTGAATTTTGGCACAAAATACTCGAACGGTTTGATAAAATAATTTAATAAAAATAAGGCACGACAAATGACTCGCAGGCATGGTTCGAAAAACCTAACCCTAATACAGATCAAAGGTGTACCAAATAGAACCAAGAGCCAACCCTTTTCACCCTTTCACAAGAGCCAACCCTTTTCCTTCAAAAATATCAAAAATTAACCTTGTATTGGCAACATGCTGCTCTTCTATATCTAAATGTTTTGTCAAAATTGAAGGCCTTTCAGCTCCATCGGGTATGCTAAGCGTTGCCAATAAGACTTTCGTAGCTTGATCGGTCGCCTCCTCACCAGTAAATTGTTTTTTCATGTCCTTGTGAATATTAAATTTTTGTAAAAGTGAAGCAGCGTGGAAGAGAGTATTTCCTCCTTTCCAAAAGACAAGAGCAATCTAAAATGTTAAACTTTAAAAGATCAAGTTTATAACAACCTTGTCATAATAATTAGCATAACTAGAAGGCTTGGCGATTTTCTTATCCTTTCCAATTTGCATTAAATTATGAAGATCTAAAGTCCAACTTTAGGTCATCAAATAATAAAAACAAACCTTCAGCAGTTTTATAGGCTTCTTGCCATAATTCCATATTTATTGCAGTGTCTAATTGGCACAAACGAGTTTCCAACATAAGAGTCAACGAGTCGATATTTGTCAATTTAATCCTTAAAATAAAAATTTAGTTAACATTCAAAGAAATAAACAAACGCGTGAGCTGGAATTGTTTGCGCCTGTTGAGCTTTTTGTACTTGTGTAAGATGAAGGCTTAAAAGATTAAAATTGAAAAAATTCAAAATTTTGGAAAAACCGTAACATATCCGAAAGTTTACGAAATTCATTTCGTCGCTGGTATTGAAGACAAAAAGCAAAAGACTGACGAGCAATTTGATGATAAATCTGTTCAACATAAATATTATTACGCAACAAATCGAGACAATTGCGAAAAGTATCCCATTGAAAACGAAGCCAAGGACTGAGAACTGTGCGGTCCATTCGATCTTGTGGGACAGCACCAGACACAACCGACAATAACAAACTGAAAAGGAGATAAATTGATGAACTAATAAATGAAAATACTTCTCTGGCGTATCCGCAACATCAAGATCATCAATCTCTTCCATCTTTTCAATGGAAGATTTTCGTGCCTCTAAGGTTTTTTTCTCAGCAAGAGTAAGCAAAGCTGATAAGACAGTCACAAGCGACTTTACAGCAACCTGTTCAAGAAAATAAAAAGTGAAAGCAGGATAAAAAACGGAACGTCTTGTAATACCAAAAGCTGCAATGCCGAACCACCAAAAGCGATTGAAATACCAAAGTGTAAAAAAAACTAAACGGTTCCGACTTCCAACGATTTGGCGTTACATTTCCTTCTCAGTTTGATATTTCACGCCCTTTTCCACGATTTGGTATTTCGAGGGTCTTTGGGAGTTTGGTATTTCAAGCTCTTGGTATTACAAGATTATAAAGAATAAGTTGTAAAACCTGTTGAGTCAATATCTTATATTGATAAAGTCCATCTTTTGCTACTGTAGAGTTACGCAAATTAACGCAAAGTTCGACATACTTAAGCATAATTTGTTCTTGTATTTGTGACCATTGCTTCTGACGACGACCCTAGAGAGGAAAGTAAACATAAAAAACACTTAAGAAACCTTGATTAAATCATGAAGTGATTGAAGCGCATCTCGTTGTTTCCCAACAGAAATAAATTCATGAGCTCGTTGCAAAGCTGCCTCAGGCTTTTGACTTTGATGATAGTTTGCTCTCATAATAACAATAATAAATAAAAGAAAATAAACTTTATAATCTACTGAAAATAAGATAAATACAAATAAGGAAATTGAAGAAAAGTGTTGTAAGAATAAATAAATTAAAAAGCAAAAAGCTTTTCTTCTATATACATATTCGGCTGCTGGGAATTAAACTAGCTTAATTTTTTATCCAATGCATGGTTTTTTATTTATCCATCGCTTAAAATTCTTAAAATAAAGTAATTTATAATAGGATAAATGAGAAAATTAAAAGATGTTTTTATAAAAAGATTTGCGCCTACTCGGTCTTGCGCCTACGTGGCCGTGCGCCTACCTGGCCCGCGCCTACTTGGCCTGCGCCTACTTGGCTTGCGCCTACTTGGCTTGCGCCTACTTGGTCGCGCCTACTCGGTCGCGCCTACTTGGGCGTGTATTCCGAATCCTATTTTTTTAGGTCGAGACCTACATAAAGTTTGATGTTTTTATTGATAAATCGTTTATTGTTTAAATGTTTTGATTTAAATTTGTATAGTTTAAAGTTTGAATACAAAAATTCTGTTTCAAAGACTTTTATGAATAAAGATTTCAACTCTATAGTCTACAATGACAAAGCACTTATTGGAATTTCTTGGATTGCTACTTGTTCATTTGTTGTCATGACTTTAATTCGAAAACGACGTTTTCCATGTGAATCATCGTTAATAATTAATATTTATTTGGGTTTAGCCGTCTTTGCAGCTTATTTTTTATTTGCTTGTTTAGTCGAATCTGACTTGAAAGGAACATTTTTAATATTATTGTTTCGTGTTTTTGATGGCACTTACAAAAGGTTTTGGTACTTCTAAATTATATACTTTTATTTTTTAATAGATTATGCCTCTTACTTTTTTGGTTATTATGTGCTATTGAATCAATTCTCTTTTCAATAATGATTAATTGTAGGCAAAGAAAAGCAAACACTACTCATAGAAAATTTTTTCACTTAACAATTTCTTTAATTATAATTAGTGGACTTTATAATGACCCGCTTTTCTTGGCGCTTTCAGGGCACTTAATGCTGCAGATTTTTATAATTATTGAAGTTTGTAATTTTTAATAATTTATAAATGAATTTCATTTTTTATTTCTTTTCCTTTACAATTCCAGATTTTTAGAAATCAAAGAATTGAACCGTGGTCGAATTTCCTTGATCAAATGTTTCTTATTTTTATCGATGGACAAGACTCGCATGATCTCATATTAACACCAATTTTTCTGCTTGCCGGAATGTTCTTGCCTTTATTTATGGACACAACAATGCTTTATTCGCCAAATTGGACACTTAAACAAAGACATTTTTCTGGAGTTCTCAGTGTTGGAGTAGGTGACAGTTTTGCAGCAATTGTAGGCTCAAGGTTACTTTTAATTTTAAAAATTGTTTTATTTTCCTCAATCGGCAGGTTCGGTCGTATTCCTTGGCCTTTTGGATTGAAAAATAAATCTTGTAAAACTATTGAAGGCTCAATCGCTATGTTTTTTACACAAATTATTGCAAGTGAAGTTATTTTTGGTTTTTGCTCATTAAGTCCATCTTTAATTTTATCTGCTATGGTTTCAACAATAGCTGAGGCTCAATTAAATTCTGGGGACAATTTAATAATCCCCTTTTGTTCAGCAATAACTTTTTATTTGTTTGAATAATTCAGATTGTTATGACTTATTGTATATCTAGGACATGTTAAAAGATATATTTTGATATTGTTAAACTTTTATATTTTTTGAATTTACTTTTTTGTTACCTCACTTTTCTAAGTCTGTTATATATTGGAATAGCAATAAAATTCTAATTTGTTTAATTATTAAATTATTTTTTTTGTTTTAACATTAAATAAACAAATTTTTTTAATTATATTTTTTAATTGAATTTTTTAGAACACAAAATGTCTCAAAACCTGGACGTTGATGAATGTTTGAAAGATAAGGCTAGTTGTTTTTTTCTTCAATTTCAATAAATTTTTTAGTCAGATAATTCATTCGAATCATACCCTGAATTCGTTGAGCTTGTTGCTCTTGTACACAAATATGGGGATCTATTGTCGCTTACTCCGTTTTCGTATTTTGATCTTACAATGGCTTTAAAAAAGGAAGAAAATGCTTCGGTTGGTTTTTGTTTTTAGATTTTAAATAATTTTTATTTTGTCAGCATTCCTATGATCCTTCTCAGGGGTTTCCTCAAGCTTTACATAGCGCTCTATTGGAAAATTTAATTGCAGAGATTTTACTTTTTTTCAGTATTAGATTTGACAGGTTTTTTTACAATTGTGAACCTTTTTTTTATAAATTAGTTCGAATATTTACAAAAAGTTGAATGGACTGATTATAACTGTAAACCGTTGGTGCAGGCCAAAATTCAACGCTCGCTTATTGTTTCCGCCCCAGCCGAAATTGGACGAAATAGAGGAAGACGGAAGTGACAACGATGTCTCCAACCCTCAAAGTAGAGAACAGAGTACTAGTATTTCTAATCAAAATTCCGACAGTAAATATCGGGTTTTTAACTTTTAATTGTTTTTATTAATTTTTTTGTAAATATTAGACTTCTAGTAAAATTTCTTCAAAGAAACGGATTCCTGACTTTTTGAATTTATCAACTATTGACAAATTGAAGCTTCTTTGTTTTTTAATCGATGCGCAATTGGCTTGTGCACATGATGCTAATCAATTGGATGAGGTTATACTAACTTTATTATATTTTGTCTATCTCTTTAATTTTTAAATATACTACGTTAACGAAAATATTTGTAGACATTTACGGATGACAAACAGAGAATCATTCCAATTGCAATTGATAATTCTGGACGCAAATTTTGGTATTTCTGTGATACTTGGTTATTTATTGAAGAAGGGAATTTATTTGATGTTGAGGAAGAGGAGGAAAAAGTTAACGATTTATTGAATGAAGCTATTGAATCACGCAGAATGTTTATCAAGAAAATTGGTGCTAAAAAGAATAACAAGAATGATATACGAAAATATTTAAAAAATAAACCAAATAAGGAAGTCAAACAAATTACTATTGAAAAACCAAAGGGGTATCTATTTCTTTAATTTCTTCTAATCTTTTGAATTATTAAAGAACTTTTACTCAACGAGTTTTGGATGAAGCTAACAAGAATCTCTGTACATGTCCTAGTTTTCGAGTCGTTGCTAAAAATTCTGATCAGTTGTCTAATTTGATCCAGGCTTACACACAAGGAAATGCTAATCGCTCTATTGTTAAGAAATTTGAAGAATGTTTGCAAAGTATTCAAGAAATTGAAAAAGAGGTAAATTGGGGGTATTTTTTATATAATTTAATATTTCTTTATTTTTTAGAATATTAAAAAATTGGAACAAGAAGCATTGATACGCCAAAGTTCACGTATTGCTATTTTGAATGAAAAGAAAAGACAGAAGGCGGAGGAGAGTCGTAGAAAAGCATCGGAATTAGCAAAGCTAAAAAAAGAAGAAGATGAGCAAAAATATCTTACTGAGAGTGCATTCAAGCTTTGCGAACAGGTAAATAAATTATCTTTTGGCTTTGATGTGGATACTTTTCTTATTAATTTTAGTCTCGTGAACAGCGTCTTATGCAAAGGCAAAAACGCATTCAAGAACAATTGGACCAGGAAGAACTTGTTGAGGCAGGAATAATTTCGCCTTCTTCTCGATCTCCTTATAAAGATGAATTGAGTAGTATAGGATCCAGCACTGAAGAGAATGATTATTGTAAAATCTACAAACCCGTGAAAAAAATGCCACGATTACCAGCATACGACTGGTGGAATCCAGGTATTAAGGCCAACATCATACCCTTAAAAACTTTTGGAATTAAGTCACCTCTCCCGAGTTTGACGGCAGCGACGATGCTGGAATGTTCCGTACTCTTTTTAGGTAAATTGAACTTGATTGTTTTTGTAAATATTTTTTTCTTTTTAGACGAAAAGAATCCGATAAAAAGCTTTCAAATATTTTGGGAAAATCTATTTTAAAAGACGATCGGAGAAGTTAGTTTATATTTATATTTTTTTGTAATTCTTTTAAAGTTTCTTTAATTGCATCTTCTTCCAAAAATAATACGACAGAATCATTCCCATCATCTAAAGGCAATCAATCTTTGTTCTCTGGAGATAGTGGAAAGGGGAGAAAATATCCACTAAATTCAAAGAATTCTTTAAATCCAAAGAGTAATCTACTTTATTTTTAATTAATTTTTTAATCTTTTTTAGGCTTTTACGGTTCATCAGTTAGTGGTTTTGATAAAATAAGAAATGCGCTTAATTTAACAAAAATGGATGGTTCTGATACATCAGATGATTCGTTTATGCAGACTTCAAAAAAATGGGCAGCGATACATCCCGCCTCTTTACTAGGTTGTAACACTCCAGCAGATAATGAATGTTCTGAAGAAGATGATATTTAACAGATATATATTGATATGGAATTTTATTTTAATTCAACGGGTAGCTCAGGATTTTGTGTAAGATATCAATATTTTCAAAGCATCCCAGAAATCCACGAGTTACTCGATTTAATCCTAACTTCTTATACTAAATGATTCAGTTTATAAGAGTTAAATCTAGTAAATTATAAATACTATTTAGAAAGCATATCCATTTTTACCAGTTTAATAGAAAAAATGAACAATGGAATTTCATTGAATGGGTATGCTATTCCCTTTTATTCCAAATTACATATATTTTTATTACCATTTTTGTAAAATTCTTGTTGAGCCATTATGTTGTTGTTGTTTTTTGGTTCATTCACATTGTCTATTTAAAATTAGCTTTACATTATTGTTCATGGATTTTCCAATAATTATTTGCTATTATTTTGTTAATTCATTTTTTATAACAGCAATAGTTTGAATTGTGATGGAGCTGTCAGAACTAATAGAAAAAAGCCGTATAGATGGAGTCTTTCTTTGTGAAGGTATGTGTTTATTTTTTTGTTATAATCCAAGGAAAATCATTTTTAGGGCCGAGGCCACCACAAAAAGGGTCGTTGGCTTTGACCGGTCATCATTTGATTTTCTCGCCAGAGAAGACTGATTGGAATTCACAAATAATTGGTGAGAATGGAGTTTGTGCTGAAAAGTGTGCTGCAGACAGTCATCAAATAGAGAATCAGGAATTTTGGGTATGTGATTTGTAGGATGAAAACTAGAAATTTTCAGCTTTTGCATCGAGCTGTGGACAGAGTTCTTGTTGAGCAGGTAAATAGAAACCCTAATGTCAAGCAAGGTGCCTATCTTCGACTGAAATGTAAAGTGAGTTGTTTTATATGTTTACTTTTACTTTACAAAAATTCAGAATTTTTTGCACATTTGCTTTGAACTTGATGATTTACACGACTGTCATCTTGTCGCAAGATCAATTGAAACTTTATCAAATCTTAGTAAATCAGATCAATTTACATAACAAATTTACATTTCCTGTATTTAGGTGGTATTAGACATGATTATCCTTTCTATTATCGGTGTCCTTTTACTATTCTTGACGATGGTTGGAGAGCATATGTCATAGAAGACAAATTTTCTAAACTACAATTGTTAACTGGGGAACGTTTCCGAATCAGTTCTGTCAACAAAGATTTTGAGGTGGAGAAAATTTTTTTTCAAATATTATTTAAAGTTTTAAGACTTGTTCTTCCTATCCCGAGCAAGTTATTGTCCCAAAAGGAATTGGTGATGACTATCTTCGAATATCTGCTACATTTCGGAGTGGTGGACGTTTTCCAGTTTTAAGTTATTATCATCAGAGAACTAAAGTTATTTTTATATTTTTAATAAATATTTAAGCATGCCGAACTTTGCAGATCCAAATCAGTAAACTTTGCGGACCACATTTTAATTTCTTTAGTTTTTCCTTTAGTGTCACTGCAAATTTCGTTTCGAATGTTTCGGGGCCGCAAAATTTCTGGTCGGGCGACTTTCGCGGAACCAGAATTTTGAGATTAATATTCCAAATTAACATTCTTATTACCCGTTTTCGACATATTTTAATTGAAGGTTTTTTTTAGTCCACAATTTATCGATGCGGCCAGCCATTAATCGGACCAACAAGCAGGCGATGTAAAGAGGATGAAATCATTCTAAACTCAATGCTTTCAAAATTCTCCCAAGGATTAATTTATGATACAAGATCAAAACTAACTGCACAGACAAGTCGAGGAAGAGGTATAATCTATTTTAATTTGAATTAATCTTTAATCAGGTGGCGGTTGTGAAAGTCAAATGTATTATTCAAAATGGAAATATGTTAATGGAAATGTGCCGAGGATAAAAGATTTGCACGAATCATTAACACGTTTAATTGAAGGTACCATATATTATTAGCAGATTACCAGTTCATACCCATTCCCCAAAAAATATAAACTTGATCCGAAAACATTTAAATTTAAAATACAAATATAGGGGAGATATTGGGCTGACGCATAAAAATAGGAAAAAGCATGAAAGAAACGGGGAAGGGACGAACACCGGGAATAGGGAAGTAATAGCAATACTAGAAAAACAACTGAAAAATCTGTAAATATGGTTAAGTGAGAGGTAGGGGCTGGCACAAAAAAGGGTTGTGTTTAAAATCTAAAATAGGATCACGATATCTTTATTCATCTTTTTAACTCACTACACATATTAAAATGAAAATATTTTTAGCATGTATTGAAAACCCAGTCTCCTTCCTTTCACGGCTTGCAAACTGTGGATGGCTACAATATATTACAGATACTTTAACTGGAGCAGCAACGGTTTCACAGATTGTTCATTGTATGGATGAAGGTACTGGTTTTGATTTTTACCAGAAACATATGATTTAGCTAATATACTTTAATTCAGTTTCAGAAGTTCCTGTGCTCGTACATGGAGGGGATGGAACAGATTCAACTCTTTTAATCACTTCACTTGCACGGCTTATATTAGATCCAGATGCTAGAACGGTTTTTTGGATTAAATTTTTGTCTTACTCTATATTCTTAGATTCGTGGTTTTCAATCATTAATTGAAGATGAATGGACGGGCGCTGGTCATCCGTTTAGTATTCGTTGTGCTCATTCATCATTTGCAACTGGCACACTTACAGGACCATATGAATCGCCGGTTTTTCTATCTTTTTTGGATTGTGTTTGGCAAGTGAGTTTTTTTAAATCGTAAAAACAAATAATGAAGGTTTAAATGTGAAATAAAGAAAATATAATTTATTTGTAAATATATGCACATATTATACATAGTGAATTTGATTAATTTTCAGCTAATGCGACAATATCCTTCTTGTTTTGAATTTAATGAACAATTTTTAATCTTTTTATTTGAGCATGCTTATGCATCAGAATTTGGAACTTTTTTGGTAAGTACAAACAAAAAATAATTTTTATTTTTTTTATTCTAGGGAAATAATGAACAGGAAAAGAAAAATTTTGATGTTAAGGTAAATTATTGTTTTTCACGTTATTTATTTTAAGTTAGAAAAACTTTGTTTTCAGACACACACAGTTTCCTTATGGTCATATGTGAATCATCCTGCCGTGCTTCCTGCCTTTCTCAATTACCTTTATCGTCCCTATGATCAACCAACTTGGCCTTCAGTCGCTCCACAAAGCATTGTATTTTATTCAATTTTTTTTAAATAAAATTAATAAAAAAGATTCTCTGGGAACGAATTTATTTACGTTGGCAAAGGAATTGGTCTCAATTTGATCGAACGCTTCAAACTCTAAATTCTTGGAAACAAGATGAGAAACGTCTTGTTGCGAGACTGCAAGCATTACAACAACAGCAAAGGTTCGATTTAGATGAATTTTTGGATGATTTTTCTTTTAAGCGAGCAATCTAGAAGTATTTCTGCATGTTCAACAATCACTTCCACCGAAGCTCAACAACATTCTAATTCTCATTTATTACAAAATGAAGCCAAAATAATCTTAACGCATAATCCTTTTGCTTTAGAGAATCTCGTAAAAATGGATCATTTAAATATTACAAGTTTTGACAATGAAACTGATGGAGAAGGATTTGAGGTAAAGAAAAATAGTAAAAGGAAAAAATGAACATTAACAAAATAAAAATAAACGAAAATCTTTGGTCTATTGATTCTTATCTTTATTTAAAGGTTGTGGAGGATGCAGCGAATAATGATGGACACACACTTGGCAAACGAATGGCAAAGGCAACTGTAAATTCCTCCACTGCTTCTATGCTAAATGGTGCAAAACAAACAGCGCGACAATTTCTTCAAAAGTTGGGACCTTCTTTTATATGATTTTCTTTAATTATGTAAATTATAATATTAAATAATACTAATACATATGTATTCGAAATTGGTGCTTATGCTTAATTATGTATATTGTGCAATTTTAAAAGGTTCAAAATATTAGTCATATTTTTAATTTAATTTTATGTAATTCTTATTCTCTTTCTCCATTCAGTTTTAAGCATTAAAAGTTGTTTTTCCCATAAATATGCACGAAAAAATAATTATCTTTTAAAGACACGATATTGGTGTATTTTTAGTGAACGGTTTTTAAGTATTGTGTATGGGGTGGGTGGAAGAAACTGACCGACCAAAACATCGTCCGGACATTATACAAATTTTATGCTCTAACTGAATAGAGTAAAGTACATACATAATTGACACATCTTTACAACTTTTACCTCTGTGATATCCACTATCCATAAAGTTCAATTTATATTTATTTTGTAAAAATGTTTTGACAATAACTCATTATTTGCCAATATAATTTTTTTATATTTTTTAAATTGTAACTTGAAAATCAGATTATGGCAACGGGAGGAGTGAAGAAATTCAATGAACTCTTTCTTTATCCGAAAGGACGCAAAACTTTTATGCAAAAAACGTTGGACACACTGTTTGATAGAAGTGAAGGAAAAAAGTTTGCAAACTCGAGTTCTGCGAGGATTTCGGTAATTTTTAAATTCTATACAAATTTTAAGGCGTGGATGGTATTTACTTAAATTTTTGAATTAACTTCTACACTTTTTATATTATATACTATTAGGTAAGGCAACCTCGCGCTTTAGAGCAATCTTCTGATCAAGATTGGATGAGTGTCTGGCCTGCGGCACAAAGTTTCCGTTCCTCGGTTGTGCCTCTTCCTATACGGATGGGTTACCTTACCAATAAAGAGGCTAAGGTGAAACTTTCACGTGCAGCTTATGCAAATCTGGAGTTAATGAAAGTACCGAACTTTTTACATTTGACACCACATCATATACAAAAGCATTGTAATGCTATTAAAATTAAGTTTTGAATTTTTTTAATTGTTAGTAGGAGAGTTGTTAGCATTTTTTACAAGGGAGGGTTTATTAATGGTATTTTACGGGCACACCTACTTTACCTAAGTATCTTTTTTTGTTGTTTTTATCTTTTAGTATTCCTTCATTTCTATTTTATTTTGACCCCTTGTTCTAAAATTAATCAATATGAGAGGCGCAATACTATTTTCTCTTCCTTTGAATGTGCAAGATAGCTCCGCCCAATAAACCAGAAAACATTTGCCTAAACCCAATCAATTTCTGCGATCTCTTATTTTTGGCATAAATCATTTTTTATTTACCTATTTTTGTTGCTTATGTAATTTATGGGTTGACAAAATCAGTTTATATTGTGGGTTTTAGTTTTTGGTGCTATTTTTCTACCCGCGTTTTGGTATTTTAATTATTCCTTTTTTCAGAATTTTGTACCAAGTTTCCTGACGAGTTAAAAGACGTTGAATGTCAACAAAAATACTTTCCGTTAGAATTTCGCTACAGCGATTACATCCATCAAGGGACAAACATGCGAGATATGCGCTCACGTCAAGTCACATTGGGCATTCGGCTTGATGTTCTTGAGTTGGACAAACCTGCACATCTAAAATTCCGACAACTTGTTGGTGATCGATACAATAAAGATACTGATGTATTTATTGTTGATTCTGATCGGTTCGTTTTACCAACAATTTTTCAACAATTAAAATTTTTCGTTAAGGTGCCCATCTCGCAAACAAAACCGAGAATATTCTGAATATCTTCTCACTGTTCTTTATTATGAATCAAACAAAACAGAACCTTGTGAAGCAATTAAAGAAGATTTTCCAGTAAAAGAAGAGAGGAGACCTGCTACAAATTCTTTAAATGAGAATGATACGATTTTAAGAGCAGCAAATAATTAAAAGAATATTTTCTTGTTTTATTATTTTTATTATAAAATTTTGTCCAATCTACATTTTTATTCTATACTTGTTGCTTTGCAACTTTACTTTTATTCCTTAATTATTTTTTCTAAAAATATTTTAGCAAATTTTAACTGATCTAATTGAGGAAATGCAGCGTCGTCAATTGCCACATTTGGATGTTCGAAGTGATTTTTTGGTAATTGTTTTTTTAAAATTTCTATTTTTTAATTTTCATGGGTTCCTTTTATTCATGGGAATTATGGTTTTTATAAGTATTTACATAGCTGAATTAGGGACTAGCATTTAAAATTTTTCTAATATTCAGGTTTATGTTACCAATGTTCCATCATCTCTTACAGGCAAAGAACTTAAAAGTCGTATCAACGCTCAGTATGGAATGGTTTGTGGTTAAATATTTTTAAATTTTTTCAAATTTTTTAGGTAAAATTTATTGAAACGTTCGAAGCATGGGCTCGCAGACGAATTGGTTGTATTGTTATTGAATTTACTACGTTTGATGGAAGTGATGCATTTATGCGTGCTGCAATTGAGCGTCGGATTCCATATCTGGGTGATGTTGGTGTGCAGCATGTTGGGATTGTATGAAAATTTTGAATTTTTTAAATGTTAATAAATTCTGATTTAGGTTGGCCGTCGACATTTCTTTGAATTAATACACCGAGATACTGACATTGATCTTCTTGACTGCAATGGACAGGTAAATAGATAATTTCGTAAATAAGTTTTTGCATCTGTATTTTCTTTAGCCTTTTGATACGAACTGGGCGCGCGGGAAACGCGATAGAGCTCAACGTTCAAAGCCATATAATAAGCCATTCAATCGAGGTCCGAAGCCGACGACTGATGCAAACATTGGAGCTAAAATTGGGGGAGGACAGGGTGTTGGTAATGAACAGCCTCGTGCTAATCGTCACAACAGCCCATCTAGTGATGAAAGTGTTGGTCCATTTCCAAGTAGCAGTGGAGCTTTGCGCAAAGTAGGGTATTTTTTATATAAATAGTCAAATTTGAAGAACAGGGTTTTTAGATTGGAGTAAACTTTATCTAGTACTTTAAGTTGGAAGGTATTTTTTCGTTGAAAAGAGTATTTTTATGAGACCATTAAATTATGTTAAATAAGTTATATTTTTTGATGTGATAAACAAAATCATTTGTTTCTTAACAGTTTTGCGCTTTATTGTTACTGGAGAGAGAGGATTATGTCAAATTATATATATTCTTTACTTAAATTCAACGTTAATTTTTGTCGTTTTCCCTGTTCTTCAAATTTGGATTATTTATTTCAAATTCTTATTTAATAAATTTTCCTCTCTCTCCCTAGAATCAACGCACAAACTGATTGTGAGGATTTAAAAATTGAGAGAAACAAATGATATTTTGTTGCTTATTTTCAATACATTTTAATATATTCAATTATTTTATTTCCACTCCAATTTTCAATGTTATCATATTTTTAATACTTTTGTGTTATTCTCTTAAGAAAATTGGGATATTATTTTAAAGAGGTTACTACAAAAGTATTTGATTTCAAAACATTCTCTCCAATTAAATATTTGCTTATCTTGGATGTTTATTTTTAATCTAAAAAAGTAGATAGAGACTAAATTATTTTAATTAATTTTAGTTGATTAAATTCTCAGTTTGGCAATCAAAAACAACAGGACGAACTCATATCCTCACTTTTGATTCGCCGGACAAGAAGATTAATAAAATTACTCCACGTGTGAAGACCGCTGGCATTATTTCAACAAAACGTTCTTTAATTAATGGAAGTAAATTTGGTGGGGTGGACAAAAAGAAATTCGATCAAAACCAAATTATCTCTGAGCGTCTAGACCGACTTCGTGCAAAATATGATAAAGAAGCTTCTAACAAAATTGTTGGCGAGTCTGGTGGTTGCTTTATTCCTCTTGCTTCTAAAAGACGAAATTCTGTTGTTCGCCCGAAAAAACCATCTGCTGCTGTTTTGCCTATGAAAATGGGATTTGAAGTAAGACGGAATTATTTAAAAATTAATCTAAAATTTATTTTGAGGACTTGGAAGATGGAGAGATCCCAGATGAAGAGAATTGTATGGAAGACGGTGAACTTGGTGAAGAGCCGATGGATTTATGTAGTGATCAAGATGATGATAAGAAAATATTGATCAAACAAAAAATCAAAGTTCGACCAGTCAATAGCCATCCAAAAATAATAATGACCAAATCTTCAGTCAAATCAACTACAAAGAAGGTTATTAACAAAGTTAACGAAGTGCAGAAACAATCTAATGAAGAAAAGAAACCCAAAACTGAAGATAAATCACCATTAAAACAACAAAAGTATTCGAATGATTCGGGCAATTACAGTTGGGAGGATGATTGTTTAGACTTTGATTTTCCGTTTGAATTGGTGGAGGGGGATTGCAGTCCTCCTCCTAAAAAATCTACTGATGTTACTAGCAATTCTGCTTCGATGGGTTTGGATTTTTTTAGGATTAATTAAATTTAAAGAGCTCCAGGCCCGTAACCAGGGAGTGGGATTTTTGGCGCTACTTGTGTTACTAGCAATGATATTTATCGCGTATTAACATAAACAAATTAAGTATTTGTCGCAGAAAAATTTTCCCACATTGGCCCTTCCCCCGAAAAGAACCCTGGTTACGGGCCTGAAGAGTTTTAAATTAATGAATTTTACTATAGTATCGCCTGTTGTTACTTATAAATTTAAAATAAATTTAAGATCTTGTATCAAATAAAAGCGAAAATAAACCAAAAGAGAACAATAATTCAAGTGATGATGGTGCTATTGACGATGATGATGATATTTTGGAAGGAGAATCAATTGCGAGTGACATTGATGAGCGATGTTTGGACGATAATTATGGTGCAGATCGTTCTCCAAGTGCTGGATGTGGCAAAACTCAAATAAAAGTATTTTTTGTATAGTTTAATTTTAAATTTTTTTGTTTTAATTTTTGTTATTTGTTTTCTTTTTCTCAATTTTTATTTTCTTTTTGAGTCAGCATCCATCAACGAGCCATCAAGCAAATTTGCAAAAATTGGTGGAATTTCTGATGGAGAAGGGACAACCACAAAAATTGACAATATCCAACAACGATGTTCATCAACAACCACAGGCCTTGAACATTCAATTCTCCGAATGTCAATTGGACGGAAAGAAGAAACGTCGAGATGTTTGAATTAACAATAAAATAATGTTTGTTTTTTTGGAATTAAAAAAATATTTTAATGGTTCTGTGTGTCGAATTCGAATTTTTTTATTTTTGAATTCGCCCTTGGGAACCAAAAATTAAAAATAACAAGACAACCATTTATGTTTGGCAACAAAATTGGTTAGTAGCTAAACTATATATTTGTTATTTACATTGATTCTTTCTTATTTCCATGGGGGATTATCGTGTATTATCGTACATTTATCGTGTATTAACATTAACGTTATTAAGTATCTGTCCTATTTTGTTGGGCAGTCACTGATTATTCCCATTTCATAAACCCAAACTTTTCTAAATAATTTTTATATTTAGTGACACAATGTGAGTTCTTTTGGTTGAGGTGTGAGGAATATGTTCGTCGCAATATAGAATAACTACATATATATTTATTAAACAATTTTTAAATTAGTGTAAATATATACACTAAAAATTAAATTAAATATTTATACTAAATATACTCTTTTTATTTTTGTTTTTGAAAAATTTTCAGGGAACTTCCTAAATATTTTTAAAATATATAAATCTCATTGCCAATACTTTTTTAAATATTCTTAAAAATATTGTTGAATTTTTATATAATTCTCTCTCTATTTATTAATATAATATAAGAAGCCTTTTTTTGTTTAATAAAGAGGGGACTAAAATAAATAATAGTTCAGAAAAGGGCCAAATAAATTTTAGTCTAAATACTTGTTAATAAATTCTTTGCTATGAACATATATTTTAATTTATTTTTATGGATGATTAACATCCAAAAATTTTTAATTCCGTTTTTATTGTTTTTTAAATTATTTTAAGCTCAAGTTGTTGCTTCTTAGGAAATCTAAACATGATTATGTATTAGTTTTATATATTTTTTTAACGAATAACTGAATAAATATATTTGTTTTGGAATAGTAAAAATGACTGGAATTTTTTTAAAGTAAAATTTATTGAGAAATTATTTCTCCCCCCCCCTCCCCTCCATTTAAAATTGAAAATAAAAATGTTTTTAATTATGAAATCTTTAAATGCACTTTTTTATAATTCCGGATGTTTACCGTCTTGTTGCGTGCCACTTATCACTAAAAAAGACTCGCCTGTCTTACCCAAAAGATAACATTAAAAAAGTAAACATCGTCTCCAACTCTTATATCCTCCTTAATTTTAAATTATTTTCACGCTTTTCAAATTGTTTGCCTTTCGCGTTACGCTTTTTAAAATCTGTTCGACAAACGGAGCTAATAAAAAATTCTATCGAGTTTATTTTTAAATTTTTTATCGGATATTTTGTTGATTTTTTGGGTTGTCTATTACAATAGTGCATTTACGTGGTTTCCTGTAATATTCGATTTATTGAGGGGAGTAAGTTATTATAAAAGTTGCCGCTTTTGGCAAAAAGGACATTCCCTTTTCCTCTTAAAAATTTTATTTAAAATTTTTTGTTAATTAATATTTCTTAATTACATAAATATATTTATAGAAAAATTTAATTTAAATAAATTTTGGGTATTGTCACATTATCTATGTTTTTCTTTCTCCTAAAAATTCAAAATGGTTTGAAATGTTAAAATATATGAAAATTAAATGAAAATAATTATTAAAATTTTTAAATAAAAATGTTTTTTTGTTAGATATTTCCCAAAAAATGAATATTATTTTTATTTTATTTATTTATTTTAATTATTTAAACGAATTATTAGCAATGGAAACTTTAGATGTTATGGTTGAGACTGTTGTGTTTGGTAGCACATAATATTATTTTTAGGCTACAATTGGGGACTAAATTAAAAATATTGGGTGGTTAGTAGGGTGAAATTTTGGGAAAATTTGGAGAAAAAGATATAATTATTTTATTTGTATAAGCTTTTTGAGGAAACGGTTAGTAAGAGCACTGCAGACTAGCAAGGGAAATAGCGGAATTTAAATTTTGGTTAAGTGGATAAGAGCGCTGACTACAAAATCGCTTAAAATTGGGTAGCGGGTTCGAACCTTTTAATGGTCCTTTTAATTGTTACCTTTAATCCATTAAAATCCTTTTAATTGTTACTGGGGTTAGCTTTAATTAATTTAGAATAATATGTAATTCTTCTCTAAATATTTTTTTCAAATTTTTAGGAATGAGAGTAAACGATTTGGGCCCTCTTTATTATAAACAATTATTTACTTCAATTAGTGAAGAAGAACAAAAAGAAATTTATTTAAAAACGAGTGTTTTTCTTTTAAATTTAAATATATTAAATAATCCTTCAATTCAAAAATTATTTAAAATTTCTGCAAAAGAATTAGAAAAGAAAAAAGGAAAACAAGTTACAGAAAATTTATTTATTTATTTAAATGAATATAAAAATTTAATTAAAAAATTAGAAAAAAATTTCAAAAATATTTTTTGGGAAGATTTATTAAAATTATATAATTTATTTATTTATTTTGAAAATATTTCTTTAAAACTTGAAATAAAATATATTAATTTTAAAAAATTATTTGGAAAAGAATTAATTGAGGAAGAAATAACTGAAGAGGAAAATTTAAATGGAATAAAAAGATTAAAAGAATTAGATTTAATGCATTATTTACAAATTAGAAATTGTTTTGAAAGAAGTTTTAAAGTAAAAATAGTTGGGGAAGAAATTGAAGTTAATTTACTTATTGAAATAACTGGATTACATCACAATAATGATAAAAATTTAATTAATGTTAAAAATAAAATGAGAAATATTTTGGGGGAAAATATGTTTAATAAAATAGAAATGGCATTTCCTGTTATATTTGAAATTGGTAAAAAATAAAGAAAAGAAATTATTTTTTAGAAAAAAATTTTACAGGATTAAGTCCAAGTAATTGGGAAGAGGGATTGAAGTTTGGATATAGAAAAGGGGGAAGAGGGAGGGGGAGGCAGGGCTATTCGCCATGGAGTTTTGGCGTGTTTAACCTTTTTTTGCGCCAAAACGCCATTATTTTTACACCCACTAATGATGGAAATTTTTTAAATAAATGGGGATGGCGTTTGCACGTTTTAAGAATTTGAAAAATTGGCGTTTGGCGAGCCACGCGAAAATTTTGGCGCACAGCCCTGTTGGAAGGGGAGGGGGCTGATAAGAGAAATTTAGGAATTAGTTTTGGATATTTAAAATTCCAAAAATAAATAGAAATTTTGTTAATTCCAAAATAAAATAAAATATCATACTTTTTTTTAAAAATATAAACTAAAATTTAAATATATAAATTTATTTAAATATACATCTACCTAGATACAATAGAAGAAGAGGAATATATAAAATTATTTAAAAGATTATTGTCAAATCCAAGTAATTGGGAAATGGCTAATTTAATTATTTACAGAATTAATATATCAAATATAGTTAAATATATTTATTTAATTTATGAAAAATTTATTGAAATAAAGTTGGAATATGAAGATAAATTTAATGAATTTTGGAATTTAAATATTTTTCCTGCAGCAAAAGATTTATTAAATGAAGATAAAGAAATAAAAGAAATAATTAAAATATATAAATTAATTTTTGAAATATTAATAAATAAATATAAAGAATTAATTAAAGAAAGGGAGGAGGAAGAGGAGGGGGAAGTAGTGATTAAAATTGAAGAAAAATTAAAATTCGAATTGGGAAACAAAATAATTGAAATTGCTAAAAATAATAAAAAATTTAAAGAATTTCTTGACACGACGAGGGGGGCTAAAGCTAGAATTCTTGAAATATTTGAAAGGGAAATGGATATTTATGAAATTATTTTTGAAGAAGAAAATGGGGATTTGAGGGAAATAATTAGTATAGGTATGTACTTGGAGGGGGGGGGGGAAAGCTGTGGATATATTTACAGTCGTGGATGTTCATCAAAACTTTTTTTTTTAATTTTTAAATAAATATATAAAGAGTTATGTCGATATAAAAAATAAAGATTCTCAAATTTTCGAGAATTGATAAAACCCCCTATAATTTTTAATTTAAAATTTAATTTTTTAAAGAGCCAACAGAAGAAGAATTACTTTCATTTATTGCCTATAATTATTTAGATTTATTTAAAGCTAAAACAAAAATAGAAAAATTAAAAACAGAAATAACGGCAGATATTTTATTAAATATTTATGAAAATAATAATTATTTTTTTGAAGAAGAGGAGAAGAAAGAATGGAAAAAATTAAAAATAATTTTTTTATTATTTTTAGATTTAATTGAAATTTCTGAATTTAATTTTATTAAAAAATATGGAAATTTTTATAAAAAAATTTTGTCTAAATTAAAAGAAAAAAATATAAAAATAATTGGAGAAGAATTTAAAAAAATTCAAGAAATTAGTGAGGAAAAGGAGGAGGAAGAAAATAATTGTGAATTAAAAATTAAGCATAAAAATTTAATTGAAAAATTATTAAATAAAGGAATATTAAAAAGTATTTTTATTAAAAAATAATTATTAATTTATTTTTTAAAGATTTAAATGAAAATGAGAATGAAGGTTTATTTAAATATTTGGATGGAAACATTCCAAAACAAATTAATTTAAATATTTCTGAATCAAAGAAAAATAACAAAAAAGTTTTTTTTAATTTTTTTAAATTTAATTTAATTTTTAGAAAAATAAAAAGAAAAATCAAAAAACAAAAAATAAAATAATTAAAGGTTTTCTTTTATTGTTGAATTTAAAAATAAAAATAAATATTTAAAAAATATATAGATACTTCTTCAACTTCCTCCTCTTCCTCTTCATCATCAACAGCAGCACCCCCCTCCCCTTCTACCCCAGCCTATCAGACCCCCTCTACCCCAGCCTCTTCCTCCTCTTCCACCTCCACTTTATTAAAAGAAAATGAAAAAGAAGAAAATGATAATTTAATAGAAGAGGAGGTTTTTTTTAAATTTAAATTTAATTATTTAATTAATTATTTTTTTAGTTTTCTAATATTTTATTTTACAAAAATAATGAAAACAAAATAAATGAGAATATAGTTAAACAATTTGAATTAATTATAAAAGATTGGGTGGGTATATTTAAAAATAATTAATTAAAAATTATTTTTTAAAACAGAATTTTGACTCAAAATATTTATTAGATAAATCTTTTTTAAATAAAAAAGATTTGGAATTAATAACGATAAAAGGATGGATATTTTTAAATTTAAATAGTGAAGGGAATTTTATTGGAAATAAAATTTGTGATTTTGATAATGTAGAGGATTGTGATGATAATTCTTTATATTGCGAATTTTGTCAGGTAATTATGTAGTTAATTAATTTTTATTAAAAATTTGGTGAAAAATATTTAATAAAAGAAAATTAATGTTTGAGTTTCTTTTTTTAATTCAAATATGTAGTATATTTATTTTGTCCACAGTCTGTCCATCGATAATTATTCAAATTGGGGTTGGGTGGATATACCAGTCCATCTCTTCCATCTAATGAATTTTTAATACATAAACATCTCAAAATATTTTACATTAAATTTTTGGTCCTGATAGAGTTTTTATGCCAATGTGTAGAGAATTTAATTAAAATTTAAATCCACTACAAAGATATATGTATATCTCCAGTTAATTTAACAAAAAATTTTGACAATCCATTCAATTTAATTTCTAGCATGGTGGTTGTGATTTTATTCGAAAACTAGACAAGCCAATATTTCAACTAAAAATAACTTTTCTTTGTTTAAAATTTAATTTAACATTAATTCAAATAAAAAAAGAAATATTTGAAGAAATTCCTTCAAAAAATAAATTAATTAAATTAAATGATTTAATTAAAGTTTTTGATAAATTGGAAGATGAAAAGGAATTAATTGGTATATTTATTGGAAATTTTAAATTTAAATTAATTATTTTTAATTTTTAAAGTATTAAAAGAAAATATAAAAATAAATAAATTAATTGAAAAAGAAGAAAAAGAAATATTTAAATTTTTATTTGTTATTTTAGAACATTGGGCAACAAGTATTTAATTTAATTTATTTTTAATTTTAATTAATTTTTAATTTTAAAAGAACATTTTATTTATGGAAATCGTTTTGGATTTTTAAATGAATTAAATTTAAAAATTAAAAACATTAGCTAGTTTTATACCTTTATTTTAATATTTAATTATTTATTTTGAATAAATTTAGCTGAAATTTTATTTTTTTGAATTTAATTATTTAATTAAATATATCAATTTAAGGACTAATTGAAATGATTTGACTTTATTTACTTTAAAAACCCCCTACAAGAATTTCTAAAGTATTTCAATTTTCATAAATTTTAAATTTACTATTTGTTAAAATTTTATATTATTTTGGTTGGAGAAAAATAAAATTTATCTGAAGTTAAAATCTACCGTTAACACATTTATACTTATGTACATAAACTATTTAATATACGAGTTTGACAGATAAGTACCTAAATATATTTAAATATAAATATATTTATTTTAATCTTTTTCTCGCAAAATATAATTTTTATTTAAAAACTTTTTCCCTTTTCCTATGCTTTTTTAATCAAGAATTTATTTAATATTTTAAAAAATTTAGTTCCATTAAAATAAAATAATATTTTCACTCACAAAAATTAATATATTTTATTTAAATTTATTTTTAATTTTTTCCAGTCATTTATTGGGAAAATAAAATGACCTTTTTAATCAAAATTAATAAAAAAATAGGAAGTATGTAGTTATTAAAAATAATTGAAAAGGTCAGATTTGTAAATATACAAGGTGATTAAGTAAAAGAATAAATAGGTAATTATATATTTGGGGATTTGTATAGAGTGAGGGAGAGAGAAAAATAAAAGTAGTTACCTAGTTAGTAAAAATTAATCTTTTAAATTAAATAAAAGATTTGTTTTTTAAATAGATTTTTATTTTAAATTAGAAAAGGGAAAGTTTAGTTTTGTTTAAGGTCAATAAAAATTTAATGAAATTTATAACATATCAAAAAATTATATCCCTTTAGTTAGTTGATTTATGTATTTTTGAAGTTTTTCTTTTAATTCTAAAAAAATAATTAAAATAATTATTTATAAATATTATTTTTCAAAATAAAACTCCAAAAATAAACACTTAAAATAATTTAAAAACAACCGGAACTTTATTTATAATTAACTTCCTTTTTTATTAATCCTCTTAAAGGCAAAATTAGTACTTCAAAAAATATAAAATCTTTTAATGGGTTTTTAGTAAGTATATGTTAATGGATTTAAGGGGGTATATATTTATGTATGTAGTAATTGAACTTGAAAAAAAAGAATTAAAAATTAAATAAATTGAAAAAAGAAGAAAAATATATATTAAAAATATATGTCAACGGAAAAAGCTCTTTTCAAGAAAAATTTTTTCCTCGGAAAGCATTCTATTTTGAGAATTTGAATAAAGATTTTAGTAAGAAAATTATTTATGTATTTTAAATAAATTTTTAACTTCAATTAAATACTTTTAAAGGAGTAAGTATTTAATTTTAAGGACTTTCAATCCAAAACTTTAAATAGAATTAAAATAAATATATTATGTACTACCTGAATTTTTTCATCAAAATATCTAAACCCCCCCCCTCCCCCAATTTATTTAAATAATAATAATCCAAATAATAATTATTATTTTTTACCCAAAAATTATTTTACAAAGAATTTCGCGCGATAATAATTAAAAATTATTTCTCCAAGAAAATTTATTTTTTAGGTAAAAAGGGGGAAGGGCAACAATAAATAAAAGAATAGCCCTTTTTTATTTAAATATATGTATTCTTTTTTCTCTTTTTTGTATGTAAATATTTATTTAAATTTATTTAAATAAATTATTTTTTTATTCTTTCCGAATTTTATAAAAATATTCTACATACATATGTATTCACTTAAATATATTTTATTAAAAATATTTTATCCTTAAATAAATTATTTATTTAAAAAATGTTTTATCATAAATTTTAAAAATATTTGAGTATATTTTGAACTGAATTTTTAAAAAATGTTAAAGCCAGTCAGTCCGATGCTTGAAAAAAGGATTTTTTTCTGTTCCTTTTTTTATTTAATTTTAATGTCCGCTTTTCCTTTTTCCTTCTTCTCTTATATTATTTAGTAGTTAGCAACAACACTCTAAACACTAAACAAATGCCCATTTTTCATGGCTACCAACAACAAAAAAATATTTTTTTTTCCTTTTTCTAGTAAATAAATAAAGGAAATGTTTCTAGTTAGCTTTAAATAAATGCAACATATTTTTAAAAATAAATTTAAATTAATTTTAAATAAAATTTAGATTAAAGTTAAATAGATTAATTACTTTTTAATTTTAATTATTCTTTAATTACATTTTTAAAAATAAATTAAATCAGTTACTACAATTCCCCCAACTTTTTAAACTTTAAAAAAATGAATTTATATACTTTAATTAAAATAATTTTAAATTCAAAAATTATTTTAATTTATTTCTTTTTATTATTTCAATTAAAAAAGAAATAATATTTTTAAAAAAAGAATGATGCAATAATATACTTTTTATTTATTTTGTCCAAGCAAAAAAGCTGGGAATTGATGCAATCTGTCAGTCACCTACTTAAATATTCCTTCTTTTTTTCTGTCTTTTACACAAAATAAAAGAAAAAAAACCTTAAAAAGAAATTAAAAGAATTGTGAAAAATTACTTTTAAATTTTGTAAAAAGAATTAAATAAAAAGAATATTTTTATTTAAAAGTTTACCCCCCAAATGTTTTTATCTTTTTTTAAAATCTCTACTACTAGTAATTTTAATTTACTCCACAAATACATATTTTTACACTATTATTTTAATTAATTTAAAATTCCCAATATTTTTTTTTAAAAAATCATTTCGTATTAAAACAGATACTCCTTCACCCTTTTACTTTGGCATATTTTTTCTTTGAAATTAAAAAAAATTTAATTTTTATCTTTTTTTTCTAAAATTTATTTTAATAGCCAATTCACATTGATTTTTTTGGATTTTTTTCAAACAAAAGATTTTAGAAAAATTTCTTTTTTTTTAATTGTTCAATTAATTTTATTATCCAAAAGCTTTTTAAATTGATTTTAATTTAAAGCTAAATAAATAAATAAATAAATAAATAATTTTTTCTTTTTTTCCATTTAATTTACTAAAATATTTTATTAAAATTAATATATTTATTGCAATTATATTTTTAATTAAATAATAAATTATTTATTGAATTTTGCAGTTTTTTTAAATTTTGTATTAATTTTTAAAAAGAAAGTTTATTTTTATTTTTTAATTTAATTTGTTTAATTTAAAACAAAACAAAATTAACAACAACAACATCCACTAATTATTTATTAAAATGTCTTTAAGATTAGATTCAGAAGAAACTAAGCCAGTCTATCAATCCCCAATAACACAAAAAGATGGCTTTGATGATGAAGTAATTTTATTTTAAATTAATTTTCTCTCAATTTTAAAATCTTAGAAAGCTTTTTGGGAAGGGAAACAAATTGGAAGAATATCGGGTTATATTTAGGATATGATAAAAAAAAGTCACAGAATTAATGAGAGAGATTTTGTCTTATAAAGGAGAGGCTGTCGGGTGTCTGTGGGACTTCGGGATGAAATTTAGCAGACAGATAATCTTAGTTGTGATCATACCCTACTTAGTCCTTTGTTAGTATATAATTTTTGGGAAAAATTCCGTCATATCTCCCAGAAACCAATTCGGACAAACGATATGTCATTCGAAAGAGCTCATCGAGCTGAGTCGAACGACACCAAAATTAGCTTCGGGACTCGCATATGGACCAAGTTATAGGTCCCTGAAAATCGAAAAACCATAGGGGGAGTAAGCACAATTTTGGGGTGAAAAATTCGATTTTTCGAATGATAGCTCATTCGAAAGAGCTCATCGAGCTGAGTCGAATGACCCCAAAATCAGTTCGAGATCTTAATTCTGAGCCGAGATAAAGAGGTAAAAATGGTCAACGTAAACCTATGGAGCGTCGGCGAGGCGCTTGTGCAAAACTCCGCGCTTCGCGCGGAGTTTTGCGGCACGCGCCTCGCGGGGAGTCTACGGGCGCTGGGTCTGGGCTCGTAACATAAACTTATGCCTATTTTAGCTGCGGTCGGCATGTATGGCTTGCTCCCCGGCAAGAAAAACCTGCACGTAGACCAAAGGTAAGGAGCCAAAACAAATGCTCATAACTTTGTCAAATCAAGTCAGATTTCGTTAATTTTGGTGTCATTCGGCTCAGCTCGTCGAGCTCTTTCGAACGAGGTATAATTTGCATATTCGAATTTTTTACCCCAAAAAAGTGCTTGGTCCCCCCTTTGGTTTTTCGATTTTCGGGGACCTATATCTCGGCCCACAGGTGAGTCCCGAAGCTAATTTTGGTGTCGTTCGACTCAGCTCGATGAGCACTTTCGAATGACATATCGTTTGTCCGGATCGGTTTCTGGGAGATATGACGGAATTTTACCAATTTTTGTTTTTGGAGGGACATTAGAATAATATGTATTGAGTATTTTTTGAAAATTATATTCTGACTGACTTGTTAGTGTTAATTAGGGTTTCGGAGACGGAGTACAACCCTAGCCTTAATTAAATTTTTAATAAAGTATTTGTATCTTTATTTTGATAATTTAAAGGGAGGAAAAGATGATGTAGCACTAAAACCAAAAATTCGTTTATTTGGGGGTGTTATGGTTATTGTTGGATGTATTATTGGATCTGGAATATTTATATCGCCAAAAGGAGTACACGAAAGTAATTTAAAAATAAATACCTAATTTTAAAATATTTAAAAAGATTTACTTTCTGTTGGATGGTCTTTAGTTGTTTGGGTAATTTGTGGATTATTTTCTGCCATTGGGGCTTATTGTTATGCTGAATTGGGAACGTAAAAGAATTTTTTAAATAAATAAATAATTATTTTTATTTTTTAAATTTCCAGTTTTATTCGAGAATCTGGAGGGGATTATGCTTATGGTAATTAAAATTAAATAAATATTTAATTTTAATTTATTTAAAAAAAAAGTTTTGGCCGCCTTTGGCCCCCTTTGTGGATTTCTTAGAATGTGGATTGAATGTATAATTGTTCGGTAAAAATTTATTTTATTTTTAAATTAAAAAATATTCTTTTTTTAGTCCATGTACAATAACAGCAGTTGCAATAACCTTCTCAACATATATTTTGCAACCATTCTTTCCCAATTGCAAATTACCTCCTTATGCTCCCCAACTTTTGGCTGCAGCTGTTATTAGTTACTTAATTTAAATAAAAAAATAAATTTTGTTTTTTTCAAGTTCTTCTCTGTTTAATTAATTGTAAAAGTGTTAAATTTGTTACAAAAATTCAAAATATTTTTACAATTGCAAAACTTGGTGCTTTAACTTTAATTATTATAACTGGACTTGTTTTGCTTTTATATGGAGATCGTAAATAAAAAATAAAAATTTAATTTAAAAAATAACTCTCTTATCTTTAGCTTATAGAGATTCATTTAACAAACCTTTCGAAATCCCAGAAGGAATCGGTGCTGGCCAAATTGCGATAGCTTTTTATTCGGGATTGTGGGCTTATAATGGATGGAATTATTTAAATTTTATTACTGAAGTAATTTTGATGAAGAAAAGAATTTTTTTAAATTAATTTTATTTTTTTAGGAAATGGTTAATCCTGTAAGAGATTTACCCCTTGCAATATTAATTAGTTGTTCTCTCAGTACTTTGTAAGTAAATAATTTTTAAAAAATAATAGACATCCTTAAAAGTAAGGAATAAGTTTTAATTGAGGAGGAATCTTAGGAGAAAGAAGCGTTGAATCCAGCTCGTTGAACATCAAACTTTGACATTGAACATCCTCATTTTAATTGAGGAGGAAGGAAACAGTTTTGGAAATTTTAATTTTCTCGAACTCATGCAAAGTTAGAAGTAAGAGTACAAATTTTTGTACGAATTTCCAAACACTGAGAGAGGAGGGTTTTCCAGAGAGGAGGGGTTTCCAATTATTAGACCTATACTTTCTTTTTTTTTCTTTTTAATGAAAAAACTAAAAATTCATCAGCATTTCCTTTTGCTTTTTTGTTTTTAAATTATTTTTAAAGATTTTATGTATTGGCTAATGTAGCCTTCTATGCTGGAACATCACCGGAAGAATTACTTACCTCCAATGCTATTGCTGTTACTGTAAGTTTTTTTTTAATTTTTTTAAAAACAATTTAAAAATTAAAATTCGTTTTTAGTTTGCAAATAAATTTTATGGAATATTTGCTTTTATTATGCCTTTATTGGTTGCTGGTTCTTGTTTCGGGACAGTTAATGGTGTTATGCTAACTTCTTCAAGGTAAAAAGGAGTGGTTAATTTAAAATTGTGTTGGGGGTTTTTAATTTAAAATTAAAATCACTGACAGTAAAAAATGACTCCTTGTAAACTTAAAATAAATATATGAAATCCTTTTTTAGAAATCTCAATTTTTAATTAATTATTTAAATTTTAGATTATTCTTTGTTGCTGGACGGAATGAACATATGCCCTCAATATTATCTTTTATTAATCCCTATTGGAATACCCCCGTCCCAGCTGTTTTATTTACAGCAATCCTTTCATTGGCATATTTATTACTTTCTGATAATATTTATACTTTAATTAATTATGTTCAAATAGTTAATTGGTTAGCTATTGGGGTAGCTACTGCTGGTCTGATGTGGATGAGGTAGTTTTTCTTTGAGTTTTTTTTAAATTAAAATTAATTTAAAGAATTTCAAAACCTCCAAGAGACTATCCACGTCCATTAAAAGTTAATATGTTCTTCCCAATTATTTTCTTACTTGGATGTATATTTCTTGTTGTTTTTCCAATGTAATGTGTTTAAATATTTATTTTTTTAATTTAATAAAGAATATTTAAAAAATTGACAGAATTAAACAGAAAAAAATTAATTTTAAATTAAATAAAGGTATCAAGCCCCAATGGACACAGCTATCGGTATTGGAATTATGCTTACCGGGCTACCAGTCTATTTCCTTTTTGTTTATTGGCGAGACAGAATGGAAACACTTTCTCGTCTAATGGGTACATTTAAATATTTTTTTTAATTTTTAAAAAATAATTTTAGATGATTTTACACTATTCTCACAAAAATTACTTCTTGTAATTCCACCAGCAAAGAAAGAGAATTAATAAAATAAGGATGATTTAAACATGTTTACTCAATTAATTTTTTACAGAAACAAAACAAACGAAATTTTAAGCTCAAACTTTAATTTTTTTTTTAATTAAATATTCCCCAATTATTTCCACAATTAATTGTTTTTATTTTATCTCATATCTGAAATATTAATTTTGAAAAATATGAGATTTAATTAATTTTTCTTAATTTTAAATAACTTTTTGTTTGTCACTTTCATTTTTATTTAAATTGTTTTCTTGCTCCTTACTACAATTTTTGTATTAATTCATATCATACATATTCCAAGTTAAATAAATAATTTTTTAATTTTAATAATCGATTTAATTTTAAACTGGCACGGGATTTTAGGTTATCAGATAAGGCTATCATGACTAAAATTAGGTAGACAATAACAAAATTTGTGATTATGAAATTTTAAGGAATTTTGGAAAATATAATTTTGCTAGATAATTGCTGCATTCTAAATATATTTAAAGTTATGAAAAGATCTGATTGGAATCACATAATGATATATGTATACATTTTTGCCATTTAAAAAATATTTTTTTGGAAATAACATTTTCATACAACTTAACATTTGTTTAACTTGGGTTTATAAAAATAAAGATACAAAACTAACCGTGACCGGACAATCCGTCAGTGGACAATCCGGCAGTGGAAAATCCGTCAGTGGACAATGCGTCAGTGGTCGGACAATCCGTCAGTGGACAATCCGTCAGTAAACAAATCCGGAATTTCTACCCATACCCAAACTACCGCGGCCAAAATTTTTATTTTTTCGTGTGGGGGATTATAAGAGATAGCGAAAATTTTGAAATTAATAAGGGAATTGACAGATTTAGCTGGATTAAAAGGATATCAATGGACTTGAAAGATATGGATTTAGAAGGATATTGGGGATTTGGATGGATTAGATTTACATGATTAACATATGGGAGTATATTGGATTCGGATGAATATCATGGGACTATGGGAAATCTATGAATAAGAGTTTGTTTAGATGGATATCGTTGAACCACCTACAAATCCTCTTAATTTGTCTATGCCCTTGATATCCCACTTAATCTCCGAAATCTATCTTAATCTCCCTAATTCCTCGTTAACCACCATAATACTACAAATCTCCTATAATCACCTTAATCCTACAATATTTTTTGGAATTCCCGATATCTTTCAAGTCCACTGATATCCTTTTAATCAAGCTAAATCTGTCAATTCCCTTAAAAATTCCAAATTTTCGCTATCTCTTATAATTCCCCATTGGGTATGGGTAGAAATTACGAATTTTTTACTGACGGATTGTCCTCTGACGGATTGTCCGACCACTGACGCATTGTCCACTGACAGATTTTCCACTGCCGGATTGTCCACTGACGGATTGTCCGGGAGCCAAACTAACAAATACATAAGTCAAATTTTCACCTGAAGAAAGGTTCGTCAATGTGTTCTTTTTCAAATAAATAAATATTGCATTTATAAAATTTATAAATTGGCAAAATGTCTAATTTTTTTAAAAAGACAAAATTTCTTTTTTAAAATGTCTTATCTTCCGTAGTATTTTAAAGTTTTACTATTTCAGTTATTAATTAAAATAATGCAAAGCAATCAAACACAAAATCAACTCTCATCTGACCATTTCCCAATTGTCTTCCAAAATCATGAACAATTGGTTAAATATCGAGAGGATTTAGTTCAAATGTCCAAAGATGTGAAAATCGCTGCGACACAATTTCATTCACAGTCAATTCAACGTTACGATCATGAAGTATTTTTAGAATTCAATAAATAATTAAAAACAATTTTAGAAGGCAATCGAAAAATATAAACTGAATCTTGAACGGGCGGAAGAGAAAATGAAAGAGCTTGCTGCTGCAAAGAATAACTATGAGGCTCTTATTGCGGAAATGAATGATGAGAAGCACGTTGAAATAAATTAGAATACTGAAATTTGAAATTGATTAGGAAGTTTTAAATTTTGTTTTTGTTAAATAAATATAATAAATGGTCTAATTTTAGGTTAAATTGTTTTGTTTTTGAATGTTTATTTTCATTGAGATGTTTGCTCTAATATGAATATTTAGATCTTGGCTTCGATTCATTGACCGGTAAAAATGGTTAGTTATTCTTTTCACGGATGCAGCGGAAAAGAAAACGTCGATTGTTCACAAGCCGGCATTCCTTTTCAAGTGAGTTGTTTAAACTAGAAAAGAATTAGAATTAATGAGTACGTTAAATTGCCTAGAAAAAGGTCAAAAGTAATGATCAGGAATTATTTATCTACGTTTTCTTTTTCAATTTTGGCGTCGTTTTTTTCATTTTATATTGTGGGCATTTTGCCCGTCGCCATTTACGCCCTTTTTATTTGTTCGGCATCAGTATATATATATATATATATTAGTTCTGTTTATAGAATTTTCATTCACGCATATCACAAAAAATTTCATAAAAATTTTCATGTCCGTACATAACATTTTTGTGTGGCACATTTTTAGGTACATTACCTACATATGTGCTTTACGAAAATGAACTGTATATGTATATATTTTATGACATCCTTACTAGAGGTCGGTAAAATCGCATTTGCAGGATCCTGTATCAGGATTCGGTTTTAAAATTTCGAATGGATTAATCCTGACAATCCTAAAAACTTAAAAAGGCAGGATTTCGGAAAGGATCCTGAAAAATCCTGTGCAGGATCCTGTCCTGCGTCGACCTCTAATCCTAACACTTTATTTATTATTTTTTGCAGATTTTAGCTTTTTTACAATCTCAAATATTTTTTCTTTTTTAAAAAACAATTTCCAATGAATCAACAAAATGAACAATTAAATAATTATTTTTATTCTCAACAACAATCATCACCATCTTCATATTCTAGACCAGTCTTAGTCCCAGCTACTTCCATCTATGATTTTTATTCGTTATTGAACATTGGTTCTGGTGCTTTTGCACAAGTTTATAGAGGCTACGAATTGATTAAATTGATGCCAGCAAAGTATCGAGAAGTGGCTCTCAAGCGAATTAATGTCTGTTATAGTTAATGTTTTAATTAAAAAAAAGATTTTTTTAGCTTGCTGCTATTACTGATCCGGCTATTTACAAAACAACAATAAATGAAGTTAAAATTTTTACCAATTTAAACCATCAAAATATCGTCAAATGTTTTCGTTCCTTTGAAGAGATTTCGCGTTACTCGGTGAATAAATTGATTTTTAAAATAAAATATTAACATTATTTGGAATAATTTCGGAATACTAAACAGACTCCTATTGTGATGAATTATATGTCATTCGACTCAGCTCGGCGAGCTGAGTCGAATAACATCAAAATGTCGATTGGGACGTAACTACGGGCCGAGATACTGGGCTCGAAATGGTCAAAAACCATAGGGGGGGGGGCCAAGCACTTTTTTGGGGTGAAAAATCCGAAAATGCAAATAATAGCTCATTTGAAAGAGCACAGTCAAGCTGAGTCGAATGACACCAAAATCGCCGTGATTGGTTAAGTTTTTCGAAGTTATGACAGAAAAAACAAGCAACGTAAACCTATGGGGCGTCGGCGAGGCGCTTGTGCAAAACTCCGCGCTTCGCGCGGAGTTTTGCGACACGCGCCTCGCGGGGAAAATCGGAGTCTGTTTAGTATTACGAAATTAGTATACCCATTATTTTTTAGCAAAATAAGTACCTCGTTCTTGTTTTGGAATACGTTAATGGCGGTGATCTTCAAACTTGGATTCAGGTAATTAAAAAAAACTTGGGTAAAATCTCGGTTTGTATTACGCATTTCTTTCATTTCCCTAGAAAAAATGGGGAATAAATGGAAAATTTTTCGATATTTTGAATTAAAATGGCTAAATTGACACGTTCTTCAAACTTGAATCTGGGTCCAGATTTAGAAAAAATAAAATTTTCACTAAAATTTAGATTCAGTTCATTTATTACCTACTGACACATTTCAAAATTATTAAATGAGCACTTCTCTATTTTTTCTTGGGAAATGAAAAAAGAGAAAAATGCGTCATACGAACATAAGTTTTACCAGGCCTTTAATTGTTTTCACTCAGAGAAAATATAACAAAGTGAAGGGGATTTGTATCTCACATTTTTCATATTTCACCTTGCCTGTACAATAAATTGAAAATTCCTCATTTGAAAAATGATCACTTAAATTTTTTTAGTTTATATACATATAAAAAACTCTTAACTTAAAATTTTAATAAAAATTTTGGCTTAAAAATTTAAAGCGTGCAACTTCCTACTCATACCTTTTGCATGAAAGTGAAATTTGGTTTCTTTTTGGTCAAATTGCTGGAGCTGTTAAATATATTCATTCAAAAAAAATTATTCATCGAGATTTAAAACCTCCAAATGTTCTTTTGACGGATAATGGAATTGTTAAATTGGCTGATTTTGGTCTTTCTCGTTTAAATTTAGCTGTTGGATGTCAGGCACAAACAGTTTGTGGTACTCCTTATTATATGTCACCTGAACGAATTATTGAGGAACCATATACTTTTGCTTCTGATATTTGGTCTTTGGGTTGTATTTTGTATGAGGTATTTTTTTTTGAATAATTTTTGATAAATTAAAAAAAAAGGAAATCTGGCTTGATGTTCTTCCAAAATTTTCGAAATTTTCGCCTGCGGCGCATCTTGTATTAAAATATTAAGAGGCACTAATAGGGATTTAGGTGGATTAGTTGCATTAATCCCTCGGATTTGAATCTGCAATTTGCGAAAAAATGCTCCTTAAATGCCCCGTCCCCCAAACTCCTTCGATATCCCTCTTCCGTAAACATAGGTGGATTTAAGAGTTTGAAGTTGCATCGGGGGATTTTTTTTACTAAAATATTATTAAAAATATCTTTAAATTAAACCAGATGGCAGCAACAAAATCACCATTTTTTGGTGAAAAGGATAATGTTCAATCCTTGATACAAAAAATACAAACTGCGGATTACCCGCCTTTACCCGATGACCGCTATACTCCTCATCTTGAATCTTTAATTGAATCCTGTATGCGTCCAACTATGAATGAAAGACCAAATGCATTTACAGTCTATGAAGTAGCTGAATATATGAATGGTTTATGGGGAAATCATTAAGGAATATGCCGATGAAAGTAAATAAAAATTATTTTTAAATTAATTTTTAATTTCCCATTAATTTTTTTTAAAGTTTTTGTAAAGAAAACGAATTTTGGTAAAAGTGGTTTAGACCCCCCCTCTCCCCATTTTTTCTTTTTCGCTCAGTTTTTTAAAAATTTTAAACCCACAATGTAAAATCCAGAATTGTCCACAATCGTCGTAACTAGAGATCGGACCGATACGATATATCGATAAAAATATCGATATATGTATCGATGTCGATATTATCGATAAACGATACCGATATTATCGAACGATACAACTTCCCCCGTCGGGAAAAAATATCGACGATATTTTTCCATACCGATACCGATCGATAAATTTTTTGATTTTTTCGATATTTTTCGGTATTCGATATTTTTCGGTACCGATATTATCGATCGATCACTCAAGTCCGGTCTCTAGTCGTAACACTATTTTTTTCGGATTTGAATTATGAAATATTCACGAACCAAATTTTACCAACAAGAGTTCCTTAATTTCTGTCAATGAAATATTTATTTGTTTTTTAATTCCATTTTCTCAATTATTTGAAATTATTTGTAAAAATTTAAATTAATTTTTCAATAAAATTTTCCAAAAATTTTTTCAATTAAAAAATAATGAGATTCATTTATTTTCATTTAATAAAAAAATTTTTTCTAATATAAAAATATTTAAATATCTAAAAAATTAAATAATTAAATGTCTATTTTGCCCTTCCATTGTTTGCTGTTTTCCTCTAGTAATTAATGGTGTCATTGGCTCTTTTAAATATAAATAATTACCATCATCACAATTAATTCCTTAAAATTTAATTTTTTAAAAAATATTTTATCACTTGATTAATTTTTTAGAGGATTCTAAAATTAATTTAAAAAATGACTTCGAGATTTTATTAAAAATTAAAAATTTTAATAAAAAATATTTTAAATAACCATTTAATTTATTTGTGTCATTAAAATGTTGAAAATACATTTGTTGTTGTGTAGAAACATTTTGACATTTTTGTTTTAAATTTTGTTGGTTTTCGAATGAGGATATAGAAGGGGGATTATTTAGTTGTTGTTGGTGTTTTTGTGAAGAAGATTGGGAATTGGAAGAACAAGAATTTGTTTGTTGTTTTGAAGATCTTTTTAATTTTTTATTTTCTTGTAAATTGGAAGTATTTGAGGGATTTATAAATCCTCTGAAAATTTTTAAGGAAAAATTTTTTTTGATAAAAAAAATTAAAAAAACCAACCCAAAAGGTTGTTGAGTTACAAAATTTGTTTGGAGTAATTTATTATTTTTTAATGTTGGAGGGGAGAAACTTGGTGGTGGTAAAAGAGGGGGTGGTGGGGGTTGACTTGTAGGTATTAAATCCCCATTATTTTGTCGTTGAATATTTCCATTAAATGACTTTAAAAAAATATTTTTTTAATTAAAAATAATTTATTTATTTTACATAAAATAAATTTCCCCTTTCATTATTTAATTGTTGTTTACGAGCTGTAAAATCACAATCACCATCATTACTGCTGCTATTTGTTGAAGAACGTTTCTTTTTTAATCTTTTTCTTCGATAACTAATCTTTAAAAATAAATATTTTTTTAAACATAATATACACTGCGGTGCATATGTTTATGCACACTAGTTTTTTGTTCATAAGTTTATGCACACTTATTCAAAAAATATGTTCTATATGGCAATCGAAAGCTCTATTTGTATCTCAGTTGACATGTTTCTGCATTTTTCGAAATTCTGACATTTTCGAAAACTTTTCGACCGTTCTAACAGGTACTACATTTTCAACTTTTCGAAGAAATTTTTTTGAGGTCTGTAAAAAATATATGTGATTCTCCTCTAGATTCTACATATAATACAAAAAAATCATCCAAATCGGTCGAGATTCGACCGAGTTATGAATTTTTGAAAATCGAAAAAATACCATATTTTTGCCATTTTTCGTCAAAAAATCGCTTTTTTTCGATTTTCAAAAAATGATATCTCCGTTCCGGAAAAAGATATTTTTAAGCGGTTTTGTGGAAAATACTCACAAAAATATGCTTTATCAAATGGGTTTGTTAAATTTTTTCCGAAAAATTTTTCCGAGGATATGGGATTTGGTATATCCGGTAGATCCGGATTATCTCGGCCAATTTTCATTTTCATGGAAAATGCAGAAACATGTCAACTGAGATACAAATAGAGCTTTCGATTGCTATATAGAACGTATTTTTTGAATAAGATTGCATAAAATTATGAACAAAAAACTAGTGTGCATAAACATATGCACCGCAGTGTAGTCAAATCTCATTAGAATGAAGCTTATAATTAACAGAGACGAAATCTCGGACGAAAATCTCGGTTATATCGAAAATTTTTCGAGATCTCGATTCTCGTAGGACACTCCCAGTCCGGTCTCTACTTATAATTAACGATCCCACCGAAATAACAAAACTTTCAAATTCGTCAAATCAAAATTCAAAATTTTACAAAAAAGAGTTTTTAGAAAATATTTTTAATTTTCAAAAAAACCAACATACATAACAACAACAACAGCCTAAACATAAACTCAACCAAAGTAGCAATAAAGCAGCACAAAGTAATAAACGTTTAGGTCCGGAGCTAATTAAAACGCTGAGTGGAATGTTTGGAATATCTTTAAAGAAATAAAAAAATTTTAATTTTTAAATTAATTTAACGAATATCTTTCTCTAAATACTCCTAAAGATTCACTTAAGGAAAAATAAATAAGTAAAGGTTGTATATCCTCTAATTTGATTTTTTATTGATGGATGAGGGGGCTACCTAAGCGATACCTCTAAATTTAGATACACCTCAATTTTACATAAACTATTTTTATTCCAAGGATCTATGTAAAATACTATGTAGGTGTCCGGACTGTGTAAAGAAAGTTTTTTGTAATTTAAAAGTTTATTAAAGCTAAAAATTCAAATAAATCTCTCTCTAACGTTCACATCCATGTTTTAATTGTAATTGGGCATCTAAATCACTTCCATCTAAACAATCTGCATAAGAATTACACCCCAATTGTGTTGGAATACATTCTTCTATTTTTTGAGAATTTAATGTTCTGAATATATTTAAATTTATTTTAATTAAATTTAATTTAAATTATTTTAAATTTAAATTACTTTTTACATTTAAATTCATTTAATAATAAATTTGAAGAATTATTTTGTTGGGAAGATTTGGAATTAATTGTTCGACATTTTTCAGAAGAAGAATTTGTGTAACGAAATGATGACCTTTAAATTTTAAATAATTTGTTATTATTATTTATCAAACCAAAGTAATCTAAATCCTTGTGAATTTGTTCGTAAATTAATTGATTTACTAGTTAAAGTACTGAGGGGAGTTGTTTGTTTTTGATTATTTAACTAAAAATAAATTTAAATTTAAACAAAATATTTATTTAAACATTTTGTAAATCTTCTGTGTGCCACCAAAGTGTTAAAGCATTTTGGGAGGATTCGGCTAAAATTGAACGTTGATTTAATGGAGAAGAAGGATCAGCTAAATTTAAAATTTATTTTTAATTAATTAATTAATTATTTTTACTTTTTGTTAAATCTGTTTCAATTTTACCACAAAATTCCCCCAAAAGCCTTCCGGGGGAATGGCCACCAATCGGGAGTTGTTCATTGGCAGTAAGTGTTTCTGGTTCGAGTTGTTGGTTATGATCGAATATATGTCTTTAAATAAATGGAATATTATTATTAGAGAAAGTGGGCTTTTATTAGAATAAATATATATATTTAATTAAATATTTTAGAATACAATCAAATTCGATATAGTTACCCTTCGAGATAATAAACTTTTTAAAACTTTCGAAAACACGAAGTTTTCCTTCGGTTCATTCGCAATATCGAGGTTTTAACTGTATATTTATTTAAATCTAACAATGTATCCTCCCTTTCACATTTTCCCCATTGCCCTTGAACATCAAAATCGAGTGCCTAAATTTAAACAAATTAATTTTTAAAAATTAAAATTTATTTATTACTTTTAGCCTAACACGATATCCAACTGGAACAGCAATTGTAAGGAAACAATTTCTACTAGCATTATATGGAAGAGACCCATAAAAAGGATGTGAAAGAAGTAAACCTTTAATTAATTAAAGTTAAAAATCCTTTGTTTATTTAATACCAGTCAAAGAAATTAAAGATCTTTTCAATCCAGGCCTACAATTATCCCAAGGTTGAGAACCGTCAACATAAACTTTAAAAAAGAAATTAAATAGTTAAGAAATTTTAAAATAAGAAAATTTCTAACCAAGTTTAGGTTCGGTCAAAAAAGCAAAAGAAATTAATTTTCTTTCATTATAATAAAATAAAATTAAAAAATTAATTAAAAAATAATTAATTAAATTTAAATAATAAAAATACATTTTTCTAAAAATATTAAAAATTAATTTAAAAAATATTTAAAAAATTTTTTTAAAGCTATAAAAAATAAAAATATTTTAATAGATTTCGCGAAAAATTTAATTTAGCCAGATACTATATTGGCTTATCTGCAGGCTTTTCTTTATCCAAATATATCTCAGTTAAACATAATATTGAGATACTCATTAAACTTTTGACGAATAATTTTTAAAGATTTAAAGTTTTAAGTAAAAAACTGTTTGGCCCAAAACAGTTAAATGATTTACAATTTCGAGATTAATTTTTAAAAATCTGTTTCAAATTAAGAAAAATTTTGTTTGAATTTTGAGAAAGTAAAATAAAACAGTCTCAAAAATAGTCTTCTCATTCAAAGGATTTACAATTAAAATAATATTTAATGGTTATTTATTTAACAATTTCTATTCCACTAAAAATACTAAATACTATTTATTTATTTTTTAGTTGTCAATCATTAATATTATTATCAGAAAATAAATAAATCTTTTACTTATTTTTAATAAAAAAAAGCTTTTTTTTCTTCCTAAATGAGTGAAGCAAGATTATAAATATGGTGGTTATTTGTTTATTTAATAATTAATTAATTGTTAAATAATAAACAAATAAACTAAATAGTAACCAAAAAAACTTTTATTTAAGCAAAAGAATGGATAAAAACAAATATATATTTTTATAGTTTAAAAGGGAGATTGAGGTACTATTTATTATAATGTTTTGGTCTGATAAGAATAATTGAAAAGGGGGTAGAATAAAACATGGAAAACAAAAAAAAATGAAAAAGTAAAAATAAATGATTGACATAAATAAATATTAAATAATTTTTTGAATAATATTTTTTATTTATTCTTATTTTCTGGTTATCAATTTAAAAATAATTATTTACATATTCAATTATCTTTTATTTTTTAAATTAATTTATTTTGTAAATTAAATAAATTATTAATTGTTTTTTAAAATTAATTAGCAACTAGTAAATATTAAAACAAAAACAACAAAAACAAATTACTAAAAAATATTTAATTATAATTGTTTTTTATTTAAAAGAAAGAAGGTAATAAATCGCCGAAGCAATAAATTTTGCGGCATCTTCCCCCCTTCCCCCTTCTTCCTCCTTCATTCTTTTACACTTAAAATTTTATTGGCCAAATAATGAAAGTGAGAGGAAAAATAAATTGCCAAAAATAAAAAAGGGGAAGCTGCTTATTATTTAATTGAAAAAGTAATTAAAATGTTGCAAAACTTTTCGAAGAAAATAACTACAAATAAATAAAATTATTTTCTCTGCGGGGGCGAAAAAATTTATTGTTTTAATGGTTTGATGGATAAAGGGGGGGGGGGGGGGGAGAAGGGGGTGGATATTTCAAAAAATAAAAAAAATAATTAATTTAAAAATAGTTCACAATTGATTTATTTTTAACTGTTCACAACGATTTTTAATTAAAAAATTTTTTTTTAATATTATAAATAATTTTAAAAAATAAAAAAGAAAAACAAAAATTGAAAAAAATGTACTATTCTGTCTAGAAAAGATTGAAAAAAGAAAAAGAAATCTTTCAAAGACCCGAGGGAACGGCTGCTTATTTTTCTTAACAAATTTTATAAAAAAATTTTTTTTGCTGTTTTTGTTTGGCATTATAAAAGTTTTTAGGTAGATAATATTTACTGTTGGCAAAAACTGTGACATGAAGATTAATGGAAGAAAAAAGTTTTGATTCTAGAAAAATTTTTTGGAAGAATATAAGGAAAAAGTTAGTTAGTTGATAATCTAAAATAAAGAAATATAAGTAAAAAGGCTTACTTATACTTACACTTTTCTATGTAGTATTCCCTACCCCCCCCTCCCTCCCCTCTACTTTTTTCTTCTCCAAATTCGGAAGATGGATTGGATTGAAGAAATGAAGAGATGAAGAGTAAAGGGGAAGAAATAAAGAAGAAGAAGAAGGAAAGGAAGGCCAAAAGATTCTCTTAATATTTCTGACTTTGTAATATTTAGAAGGGGGAAAGGGGAGGGGGGATGGAGGGATATATTTGAGGGGAATTGACGGATTGGTTGGAGAAAAAATGGGAAGAAAGGAAAATAAGAGAAGTAAGAAGCTTTGGGGAGGATGATGAAGGGCACAAATCAATGTTTTTGGATTATTTATGGCAAAAATAAATAATAAAAATTAAAAGAAAAATAATAATTTAAATAAACACTTTTTAACAAAAGGGGAGAATTAATAAATTTTAAATTAAAAATTTGACACTAAATTAAATTTTAGAATTAAATAATTAAAATTAAAATTAAATGTTATTTCCTGAGATATTTTTTTTAATTATTAAAATAAACTTTTATAAAAAATTTTAATGTAAATTTAAATTGTCTATTTAATTAGAAAACAAAGTTTAGTAAATAGCTAGACTTTGTTTTTCCTATAATTTAATTTATATTTAGATATAGTAAAAATTTTAATTATTTTCTAGATTATTTCAGGTTAACAAATAAAACAAGTATATATATAAATTATATATATAATATTATATATATATAAATTATACAGAAAAAAACCAAGTTAATTAAAGTACTTTTAATAAATCTAAAAAGGTGTAAATAAAGACAATATCAATTGGTATTTAAAAGAATTTATATATTTTTTGTCAGCCGGATCTTCTAAAATTCAGTTAACCAACAACTGCTCAAGAAAATAAGGGAAAAGAAAAATTGGAGGGAAGAGGGAAAGGATTATTTATAGAGCCCCATTTTTCATCTATGGCCTCACATTTTCCAAACTTCTTGAATGAAAAAATGGGTGTTTTAAAGAAAACAAGTGCCAACAAAAGTCTTTTTTGGACAAATGATGGATGCGGGGAAGGGAGGGAAAATAAATATAAATTTAAAAAAGCGAGAGATTTTTTACAAAAATAAAGTAAAAATAACTTTTTAAATATTGCTGTTGAACCTTAATTGTTGAAGTCTTTTGTAGAAAAATTTAACGTTAAAGTGAGAACGACGTGGACATTTAGGTGGACGTCAAAACGAGTACATCCACCTAATTAAAAATTTTCTTAGAGGATCTTTTCTCTCCACCTTTAATAAATCTACATTTTTATAGGAGTCTTTTAAAAATTTCCAAGTGAACTAGAAGAAGCATTTTCTGTTGCTCATCACAGAATTTTAGATTTTTCTAAATTTGTCATTAGATTTTTATATTTTTATAAAATTTTTTAAAATCTAAATTGTGTGAAAAATACTGTATGTATTTATAAAAGGATTGTGTTTAATTCGCGCACAGCAGGGGAGGAAGTTAATAAATAAATATTTAAAATAACATTCTTCCTTTAGCGAAATGGATATATAAAATAATTAAATTACTGTAAATTCTGGAAATATTTAAAAAATATTTTTATTTGGTTAGAAATAATTTAAAAAATAAAAGATAAAGCAAAGCAAAATGAAACTATAAATTTAAAGGGTCAGTGAATAAATTAGTCGAGGCGAGATTTGAGTGAAGAGAGCGTTTGAATGGCCATTGAATGTAAGGGGGCTTGGTTATTGAAAAGAATAAAAGCGGCAACACTTTTATTTTTAAATAAAATATAATAATTAAGTAATTAAATATTCAATGTATACAATTTTTAAAGATTTAATTTTGAAAATTAAAATAAATTTAAAATAAAAAGTTATCCGTCCCCATTTTCTTTTGTTTATAATTTGATCGACTAACCTTTTTATGCTTGATCCAATCCAAATAATTCTTATACCATCTCAAAGCTCTCCTTAATCTAAACCTTTTCCCAACTGGATGGACCAAGTCTGATAGCCCATTAAAAAGTTACAACTCGATAAGTACATGTTAGTTCAAGGTTAATAAAGCAATTCGATAAGTGCAATTTTTAAAATATTTAAATAAATATCAGCAATAAATAAAAAAATAAATATTAAAATCACTCATTAAAAATTTTAGATGGGAGACAAGACCTACAATTTTCATTTCAAATAACTCTTTTAGTAGTGGTCAAAAGGATTGGAGATATTTTGGGAAAGTATTTTTGGCATTTTTGTTGGGACCGTTGGGGATTTTGTATTCTTTGACATTTAAAAAGGAAAAGGAGAAAAATTATAAAGCAGAAGGATATTTATAAGAAAAAAGAGACTAGTTTAGCGATTGATGGACAGTTGGCATTCAAATTCACAAAATATAATATGCCGAATATAATAAGTAAATATTTTAAAGAGGAAAAAAGATTTTCTTATTTAATAAAAAATTATAAAAATAGAATAAATTTTTATTTGTATATTTTAATAATAATTAATTTTTTATTAAAAATTCTTCCCTTAAACTTAAAAAAATCCAAATTAAAAACTTAATTTAACATTGAGGATATTTTTGAAAAACCAGGTTTTTTGGTTAAGCGATTTATTCACTTACATGTGAAGGAGTTTAGGGATTTATGTATTGTTAGTCAATATGTATCTTGCTCTGAAAATAATAATTAACCTCTATATTTCTAAAATACTTTCTAATAATTACAATAATATATTTAATATAAATTTAAAAATATATTTAAATAATTTATTCACGCCCCCAATCTAAATATATTTCTAATCTCGGCGCAATTAAATATGAATATTTGAATGATTGACTCACTGCATGATATTTTTACATTTTTCTTTTTTTGGAAAAGGATTGTTTAATATTTTGAATTATGTATATAATTATTCGAATTTCTAAACACACAGTGCTCCATATTAAACATTTTTTAGTTTATTACCCCTAGAATGTCAAAAAATTTTAAATACTTTTTAAAAAACATTTACTAAGGTTCTCCGTTGACGAGTTTTGAGATCTCGATGATGGGATTAGGTATATGTATTAGGTTCTAAACTGTATTAAAGATACTAGTGGAAAAATTTTCTAAGTGGAAAATTTTTTTAAATTGAGCGACTTTATGGTAAGGTTATAGAACTGTATACAAAATTTATATTTAGGACATATTTAAAAACATTCAAAAAATATTAATTATTTAGACTTATTGCTCTTTATCTTCCTAAAAAATATTCAAAGAAGTGAATAATTTTTAATTAATTTTTATTTTATCTGAATGTTACGTCTTATGTGTATAAATTTAATTGAATTAAAATTTAGTATTTTTCAAAAAAACTTTATTCATATAAAAAATATTTAAAAACAAAAACATACATATTAAATAAACATTTAATTAAACACATTAAATATATAAATAATAAAGTCTAAATAATTTTCTTTATCTCTTTTCACAATTTATTTTTTATTTACAATTTGTTGAAATTGTTGAGAACTTTGAACAAACATTTGAAGAGATGCTGCCATTGCAGCCATAGCCGCTGCTAAAGCAGAAGCACTATTAACTTCTTTATTTTGTTGTTGTTCTTTATCTTCCTTTGAATAATCTTCTTCTTCTTGTTTTAGTTGGTCTTTAAAATTTAATTATTTAAATTAATTTATTTTAGAGAGTCAAAATGCCTGAATTATTTCCAATAAAAGAATTTGTAGATGTAGGTAATTTACCCCCAAATTGGGTTAACAAAGCGTTAGAAGAAAAAGTTTTTAGCCAACATTCTCTAAATAAAAGATCAAATCCTGAATTTCCAGAAGAACATTGACTTGGGGAGGGCTAGAAAATACATAATTATTTAATTTTGAAATTTTGGGGGAATTTAAAGATTTAAAATGGTTATTTTCTTTTTTGGATAAACTCAAGTTTAATCATTAATTCACAATAAACACATTATTTATTTATTTCACAACAATTAACAATACAATTTTATATAATGATAATACACACAGGCAAATAATTACATATTAACTAACAGGTTTAGGGGGAAACAAACAAAGCAATAGCAATATATACATACATTTATGGGAATAGGAGTGGGTATTATCAAGATTTGTCCACATTGAATCTTATGGTGTCATCGCTCTTCTCCTTCCTATTTCTTCAGGTTCCTGTCTCGCAGCTTTCCTCGTCCTAGCAGCTCACATGTAGGCCGACTGGTCTCCACGAGGCGGTGGCGGCGCATTGTTGCCAGACGGAGGTGCTGAGCCTGCCTCGAACTCGAACTGGTAGCTGCCGCCACGAGCAGGCTGAAAATAAAAGAAGATTTGTTGATGATTAATAAGATTGTTAAAATAGAAATATTAAAACGTACCGCTCCACCACCACCACCATAGCCGCCGGAAGGCTTCTTGGGCATAGACCAGGGCTCGGATCGACAAAATGCCAATAAAAAGTACAAAAATCTTGATTTTAAAGTACATAGGGGCAAAATTTCCACATTTAAAGTACACTTAAAATTAAATTAGAAAATATTTATTCGTGCTCAAATCTTTTATATTTCTCTCTTAAATTAATCTTTTCTAATAATTTCTTGTTTCAACTTAGCATTTTATCAATTTCAATGCATCTTTTTTTTGGGCCGAAGGCGCCAAAAAATTTATTTTTTGCGCCGCAGGCGAAAATTTTGAGAATTTTGGAGGTCCTTAAGCCAGATTTCTTCCATTTTTTGCGCCGCAGGCGAAAATTTTGAGAATTTTGGAGGTCCTTAAGCCAGATTTCTTCCATTTTTTGCGCCGCAGGCGAAAATTTTGAGAATTTTGGAGGTCCTTAAGCCAGATTTCTTCCATTTTTTGCGCCGCAGGCGAAAATTTTGAGAATTTTGGAGGTCCTTAAGCCAGATTTCTTCCATTTTTTGCGCCGCAGGCGAAAATTTTGAGAATTTTGGAGGTCCTTAAGCCAGATTTCTTCCATTTTTTTCAAAATGTTGATTTTAAAGTACATACTTTCAATAAAGTACAAATTCAATTTCGTAAGTACGGAGGTCGATTTTAAAGTACTGTACTTTCAAATAAAGTACGAATCCGAGCCCTGGCATAGACCCTGGCGAAGGCATGTAGGCGCTCTGATCTCCCATGACGATTGTTGAGCTGGCAGAGAAGAGTTGTAATTGACGATCTGTTGCGACGAAGTTGATGCGGACTGAGTGAAAGGTTTGTTTTTATACTTGGATGCCACAGTGTGTGAATACTAATTTACTATAAAAACGCAACTTTTCACTCATTTCCCAACAGTCCGTCAGCACAACTACAGTCAACTACAACTCTTCTCAACCAGCTCAAGTTCAACAATCGTCATGGGAGATCAGAGCGCCTACATGCCTTCGCCAGGGACCATGCCCAAGAAGTCCGGTGGTGGTGGTGGCTATGGTGGTGGTGGTGGAGCGGTACGTTTTAATATTTCTATTTTAACAATCTTATTAATCATCAACAATCTTCTTTTATTTTCAGCCTGCTCGTGGCGGCAGCTACCAATTCGAGTTCGAGGCAGGCTCAGCACCTCCGTCTGGCAACAATGCGCCGCCACCGCCTCGTGGAGACCAGTCGGCCTACATGTGAGCTGCTAGGACATGAAGAAATAGGAAGGAGAAGAGCGATGACAGCCACAAAATTCAATGTGGACAAATCAGGATAATACCCACCCTTATTCCCATAAATGTATGTATATATTGCTATTGCTTTGGTTGTTTCCCCATAAATCTGTTAATATGTAATTATTTGCCTTTGTGTATTGCCATTATATGAAATTGTATTGTTAATTGTTGTGAAATAAATTATGTAAATGTTCTTGTATTCTGTTTTTTATTGGGGTGATTTAGGTAAAAGTTCGACTTTTTTGGTCGGGACCAGTTAAGCTTTTATATTCAGCCTAAAATTCGGAGTGGAGTTTAGGGTCGAAAAAAGTCTGCGTTTTGAGTTCCCCGTCCCATCCCTTATAATAAGTACCGTTGAAGTAAATATTGTTGATAATTGAAGGTTTTGTTGTGCTTTTGTAGATAAGGATGAGGAAGAGGGGGAAGAATAATAACTAGTATTTGTATTATTATCACTTCCACCACAGTCTAATTTTAATAAATCTTCTACGTTATAACCATTTAAAGTGCTAGACGTAGAAGTTGTAGGGGCATCAGAAAATGTTGCGGGGGAAAATGAAATACAGCCATTGACTGGTAAAACTTTCTGAAAAAATAAATTTTATTTTTAAAATATTCCAAAAAATATTTTGACAAAAAGAATTTGGTAATTTAAAAAAATGTTAGTCTCAGTTCTTTAAATTAAATTTATATTAAGAATTGCTTACAAGGAGAGTTTGTGAGGTGTCCGACCTAAAAACGGTCGAAGATGGGTCGAAAATTTATATTGAGGGATAAACGGTCGAAAATTATTGGGAAAAATTATGCCAAATTTTGGGACTTAGGAGGGCCATATCTTGGCCAGATCAAAAAACGGGCAAAAACGGCTCAAAATCCTTGCTAGAAAGGGCACATTCTCTATCGAATGAGCCCGGTCTCAACCGTTTTTAGGTCGGACATCTCGCAACCTCTTCTTGTTAGTATACTTTAGTAGTAATTTAATTATTAATTATTAACTGTTTTATTTGAATATTGATTTGATGAATTAATTAAATTATTATCTAATATTAAATTATTATTATTTATTTGTTGTTTAATTGAAGAATTTATAGTAGTTGAGGACGAAGGGGATAATAACAATCTTGGCCTTTTCCTTGGTTTTCGTCCAATTTTTTTGGTAGACGATGAGGGAAAAGAAAAATTTTGATCATTTTGTTGTTGGAGGGAGGAGGATGTTTCTATTGGTAATTCTGATGGTGAGGAAGGAGATGTTGTTTTTGTTAAACAATTATTTAATCTTTTCACCGGCGATTGCCCCTAAAAATAATTAATTATTTATTCAAATAATTATTTTAAATTACTTCAAGAACGGGTGAATCATTACTTGCATATTCCTCATGTTTTGTTTGGTAATGCATTAAAAGACGTCGAGCATTTGAAAATTGCTGGGGGAAAATAATAATATTTTAAAATATCCAAAAAATATTTAATTACCAAATTACAAAGTTTGCACTGTCCCTGTAAAGAAGGGGAAATGGCATGTTTTTGATCGAGATGTTGTTTAAGTAAATTATGTTGGGAAAATTTAAAAGAACAACCAGAAACCTTTAATGGATTCTTAAATTGAAAACAAAAAATTTTTTTAATTTTACCGGACAATCAAAATCATTTCCTGTCTTTATATGTGTCATTGAATGTTCTTGCATCTAAATTGTAAATAAAAATTAGTTTAAAGTATTTATTTACCTGGTCTTTTCGAAAAAATTTTTTTTGACAAAATCTACATTCAAATGGCTTGATCTAAAAATAATTTAAAATTTTTAAATATAAATAAACTTACTCCAGAATGTGTGCCTCTATGTCTATGCATATTTGCTTTTTGAGAAAACTGGAAAAAGAGAGAGGGAAATTATTTTGTAAAATTATTTGTTAAATAAAAATATTTTAATTAAAATACTCCACATTAATTAATTAATTTACCGCCATTCCACAAAGATCACAAATATACATCTGACCAACAAAATTATCATGTGCTCTCTTTAAATATTTTTAATTTTAATTTTTAATCCAAATTTAAATTTACCAGATGACTTTTCATATGTTGAGACATAAATGTAGTAAATGTACAATGGGGGCATTTATGTGTTGTTTTACCTCCTCCCCCTCCCCCATTCCCGTTTTGTTTTTTATTATTTAATTTTTTATTTTTTGTTGATTTTTTAATTATTATTCCTTCTTCCTCTCCATTTTGTTGTTTATTATTTAAATTACTAAAAAAATATTTTTTTAAATTTTATTTAAGTTAATAATAAATGTACTTTTTTGTTGTTTGTTCTTCTTGTAAAAAACAATTATTATCATTATTATTACAAAATATATTTAAATTATTTTCAACATTTTCTTCTTTAATTATTAAATTATTTGTATTATTAGTTGCAGCAACAGCTTCATTTAAAAATCTTCCCAAATCAGCCAAATGTCCAAGCATTTTATTTGAATTATTTAAATTGTCACTTTCCTCCATTTTTTGTTGCTTTTCTTCTTCTAATTCTGTTAAATTCTGAAAAATAAAAAAATAAAATAATTATTTTTATAAAAAATAGAAAAAAAAGTTTTAAGCTTCAGGACAGAAAAGGCGGTTACTAAAAACTTTTTTGAATGATTAAAAACGAGATAAAATGGCGGTATAAATTAATTTTACAAAAAAGGGGGCAAAATAAACAAAAAGACAAAAAATTTTATTTATTTTTTTTTTTGTTTTTTAGAGTTTTTCTGAAAGCAAAATTTAAAAGAGGGCATAAACTTTATTTAATATTTAGGTTAAAATACTGTAGAAAACTTTATGTTTTTATGTCTAGTTGTGAAGGGGTTTTAGAATATTTCAGGCATAATTACCTAATTACCCCCATTTCAAATAAAATTTTAATTTAATAAAAAGTTAGAAATTTAATAGAAAATCGGATAAATCAGAAATTTTGATTTACCCAATCTCTAATAATACTAGGGTAATTTTGGTAGTTGATTTTATGGTATATTTTTTATCCTGGTAAAAATTTATTGGGGGTATTCTGCCCTGTGATACATTAAATAGTAATTATTTTTTTATTTTTCCGATCTTTATTTGATATATCCAAATTAATTTTTTCAAATTTATTAAAAAACCTTTTCATTTAAATTTTCAAATTTTAGTCTTCTTTTTTTCTTTTTTACTAAAAATTCTCCTTCCTCTTCCTCCTTAATTTCTTTCAATAACTTTTCTTCTTCATTTGTTTCAAATATTTCTTCTCCTTCTTTTAAATCTTCATGCCATTCTACATGTTTATTAAATTCATTTAAATCGGCCGTTGTATATCCACATTCGGCACAAGCATTTTGATCCATTCCCTTCTTTAATTTTTAATCCTCCAATTAAAGAATTTTCCTTTTTCAATTAAAATATTTCTAAAAAATTTATTTAATTAGCAAAATAGAATTTAGAAAACAAAAAGAGATGGGAGAGAAGTTAGGGAAGAATGATTCAGGCAATAAGAAAGAAATTAGGTAGATTAATTGTTGGGGCACCTGAATGTGATTAGCGAATTACATAGTAAGCAATAACAATTAGAAGGGCAGAATTTCTATTCCTGCTTGTAAACCTTGTAATATAGAGGAATATATATAGGTAGGTATTAACATTTAAATCCTAGATAAATCTCATTAATTTCCATTAAAAATAAATTATCAATACTTCCCATATTCATCAACACTGGAAGGGTCATTTAATTTTTTGGTCAAAACAAAATATTAAGAAGAATGATCCAAGTATTATTTCTTCTGATTGTAATAAACTTTTACTTGACCATTCCCTCCCTTTCTATATATATTTATTTGTACAAAAATAACCTTTCTCCTCTTTTTCTTCCTCTTTATTTCTCTCCTCTCTTTACCAACCATCCTTACTTTCAATTTTCTTATCAATGGCCTGGATCTGTTGGCTTGGACTATGAACACACCACCCAATCCTAACAACATTTTTGTTGATACTGGACAGAATGGACAAAACTAAATTTTCTCTCTAAAAATATTTTTCCTATCTAAAAGTATTCGAGTAGAAAAAGGGAAAAAAGTAAATTTATTTCTCATTGGAATATTTTTTGTAAAAGCGGAAATGCTATCTACTACTCATTTTTTAATTTATGTTTTTAATTTTTATATATTTTTGAACATATTCTCAGAAACATTTTTTATTGTTAAATAATCACAAAATTTAACTAATTTACAAAATTTAAGTCACAAAATTTAACTAGTTTTAGAATAACAATTTAATTTTAATCTTTATTTTATTTTCATTAAATATTTCCTTATAATTAAAGAAATATTTTAAAAGTAAAAATAAAAACTTCATACTTTAAAAATATCCAAAAATATAAGTAGGAAAGAATAATAAATGTTAGAGGATTGATGGAAAGAAAAAGATCCGTTTAAGTGATATCTCTTTTGTATATTGAGAAGATTTTTGCTGGAAAACGCTTAAAGGAAGCGGTACATTAAAGAAAGGTTATGAGAAAAAATAATTTAATAGAGGCCCAAAAACAGTCAAAATAATTTTTTGGTTACTTTAATAATTTTTAATAAATAAATAAATTTATTTTTTCATTTTATTTTTTTTAAATAAAGGACAATTCTACAATAAAAAGACTTTTTATCTTCTTATAATCCATCCTCCTTTTCTACTATTGGCCCTCTTTGTGGATTTATTCTTTCCCTCCAATCCTAGAAATTTTCCTTCGCTCACTCATTGGATGGAAAGGAAAAATATTTTTAAATAAAATGTTTGAATAAAAAAAAATAAAAATAATTATTTAAATATTTTTATTTAATAAAAAAAAAGAAAGAAAAACAACATAACTAAATAAATAAAATACCCCAACAACCTTAAAAAGTAAAAAATTTTGATGCGCGAGAGGAAAAGGTAAAAGGATAAGTACTGCCGCAAACATTAACGAAAAGGATGGCACCGCTGTGTGTGTAAGATCTTCTTTCCTGGGCCCTATTTCAATTGTCCACAGATTCTGCGGTCTGCGTTCTGTGCACAGACCACAGAACCACAGAAATTCTGTTTCAATTATTCCACAGATTCTGCGGAAAAAGAAGTCCGCAGATTCTGTGGAAACATGCACAGAATCTGTGGAAACATCCACAGATTCTGCAAAACATCCAAAAACATGCAAAAACCACAGAATTCTATTTCAATTATTTTTCTGTGCACAGAAAAAAATCCACAGATCTGTGGCTTTTTTAGTCGATTCTGTGCATTTCTGTTTCAATTATTTCTGTGGTCTGCGGAAAATACACAGAATTCTTTAAAAAATCCACCCTAAAATTTTTTCTGCGAACTTTCTGTGGAAAAACTTTAACAATTTTTTTCTAGGCCTAGGCTTAACCAAATTTCAAAATTTTTAAAGATTATTAAAGTTTGAATCATTCTCTATTTTTTGATATAAAAATTATAATTTTATTACCTAAAATTATTGCTTAAAATTAATTTTGAAAAAGGTACATCTTTTTTACGCAGTTTTTGTTATATTCAAGCAATAAAAAAATAAAAAACGTGAGAGATTCTGAAATTTAGAGCTATGATGTTCTAATCATCATGGATATCTCTAATGAGGGGATGTTTACCAGGATCTATAGAATATATCTGTATAGCGTATACTGGGATATCTCCCATGATCTCTCATTGATATCCGTCATAATCTCTCCTCCTATTTAATGATAGATTTCCTCCTTAATCACTCCAATATATTAAACCTCAAAATCAATGGATATCCCACTTAATCACTCCTCTACGATTTTAAAGTTCCGATTTGACTATAATTTTGGATTCCAGGCATTTTCGATTTCCAGGAACCTCAATTTCTGACTAAACAATCCCCAAACATTTCCCTCCCTTGCAACAACTTCTATCGTAGTTTGAAAAAGCCACATGTCGGATCGACATCTCCTGATTTTTCCGATCCGAACCCTGCTTTAGGACATTAATTTAATTGGAGATTTAAGGATATTGGATGAACAAGAAAATTAAGCGGTATATCAGCGGTTTTAAAGTGATATCAAAGAGATTTAAAGGGATGTTATGTGATTTGGAGGGAAAATTTTTAAATCTTTACAATATTTTTCAGTTTAATTTAAGAATTTTTAAAGTTTTACTTCAAAAAATCAGGTACCATTAATACTGCGGTAGTACCGAACTGTCCAAACCATTTTTCGTTTCAATAAAACTGTTATTTTCAAAAACGCGGAAATAAAAAATTTGAATTTAGAAGAAAAAATACACAGAACCACAGAAAAATAATTGAAATACAAATTCTGTGGATCAGTGGAAAAAATCCACAGATTTTTATATTTTCCACAGAAATTTTCATCCACAGAATCTGCGGAATGTTTCCACAGAATCATTGGATGTTTCCGCAGAATCTGCGGGCACCACAGATTCTGTGCACACAGAATTTAATTGAAACAGAATTTCCACAGAATCTGTGTTCTGTGCACAGAATGCAGAATCTGTGGACAATTGAAATAGGCCCCTGACTGAAAGTTGGAAAATAAAAATGGGTGGCAAACAATGAGGAAGAGGAAAGGTAGAAGGGATATAACGGTTGTGTAGGGATGAATATTTGAGGTATTGAGAGAGTAAAAAAATAAAAGAGAGTGTGGGGGGAATAAAGAGAGAGACAAGTTAGGAAGGAAGGAAAATCTCGCTCATCTTTTCCGTTTTTTTGATGAAGAGGTGCTATATATGTAAAATAATTGGCCTCGGAAATGTTTATGGAGGGGACTAAGGAACGGTAAGTCCTTTAAAAGAAAATATTTAAAGGTGTATTTTGCCATTTAATAAAAGACTAAAAATAAAAACAAACAAAATAATAAAAGAATACCGACTTTAAAAGGAATACAAGAATTTGAAATTAAAAAAAGGATTGGATTTATTGACAATTATATAAAGAAAGGTAAAGAGTAAAGGGAGATCATCTCTAAAAATTTCTAAAGTGTCGAAAATAGACATATGGCAAAAATATCAAAAACTGGAAATGAAAACATTTTAATAAAATAAAATTACTTTCACACATTAACTTTAATTGTGAAAATATTATTACCTAGAATTATAAAATTTAGAGGTTCTACTTTAGTCACCCTACGAGAATTTTGGTTATTGTACTTTTAGATAGCAAATTCTATATCCTCTACCTATTTGTGAAATATATTTTTTTATTACCAGAGATATGTATATCTAAACTTTCTCTTCCTTTTCTTCATTTTACTCTTGACTTTTCCAAAATTTCCCAAGATATGCCCCTTACCTTAAATATGTAGATAACAAAAAGGAAAAGAACGGTTAGAGGAGAACTATCCAAGTGGAATGTAAGGAGTAGGGGAGGGAATATATTTAGACATTCCATCCTTTATCGCTACAAAAATAATGTCGGAATTTTTAATAAAGAAAAGCCAAAAATTTTTGTCATTCCCAGATATAGCTTATCCTCCCCCTTCTTCCTTTATTTGTTGTAAATAAATAAATAAATACAACGATTACCCACTTAACCTTTTTTATATTTATTTAATTTATTTTTTATATTAAATATTTGCTTCCATTTTTGTTTCAAAGTACAAACAAATAAACTTGTTTGGTAAAAAATGGCAAAAATTTATTTAAAATTCTGGCAATAATTTTATAAAAAATTTGTTTTTAATTTTTAAAAGTCTCTAATCTAAATTTAGACTAACAAAATTACATAAAACAAATTATTTTAAAATATTAATTAGAGTTCGGATCGGGACCGGATCCAGGTCGGGATTTTCAGGATCCATTAGTCCCGATCCGGGTATTTTGATAAAAATCGGGTCCGGATAAAAAATTCATAAATCCCGAAACGGATACGGCATTTTCCAAATTCCGAACTCTAATATTAATAATTAAAATATAAAATTTTATAAAAAAATATGTACATTTTATGGCCATCCCAACTTTGTATATAAATTTCCTCTAAAATAAATTTAGTAATAGATAAAATTTATGGGCAAATGCGCAGTTTAATCCGGCGGTAGTTACGCCACCCATCACTATTTTTTGGATTAAAAATATTATTTGTTTTATTTGGATTGGTTAGATTATTTTGTTATTTTACTGGAATTTTGGATTTTACGTGGAATTAGAACAATTACAAAATGAGGGTGGATTTAATATAAAGTAAAATTAAAAAGAAATATAATCGGTAGGGCCTGAAATTTATGTTTAAAATAATTTTTAGATAAAAGCTGGAAATTTATAAAAAAAAATGGGGGCTGAAAGGAAAAGTGATGTTAAGCGTTTATAAATTTAATTTAACTTTAAATTTAATTAAATTTCAAAATAACATAAACTAAGGCCAGTACCCCTATTTTCGGTTTTTAAAATTTCTTAAAAACGGTTAATTTTTGGCAAGAAATATCAAAATTTTTAGTTTTAAACCCGGTCGTGCCCACCCCTAATATAAAATATTAACCACAGAAAGAAAGACACTCCAAAAAATATACAGATTTGTCTGGATGATCCAAATACTCAAAAACTCTTCAAAAACTTTGTTATAGATTCAGAAGATTATAATCTTTTTCTGAAAATGATGGAAATGAGAGTAAGGGATTTAAATAAATAAATATATCCTCCCCCATCCATGTGCACCTTCTCTTTCAATGGCAATTTTCTCTGCCCAAATAAATACATAAAAATATACAATTTTTTCTTTTATTTCACATAGCGCAACTCTTGACTATCCAATGAAATATTAAATTGAGTGTACAAAACAACACCTAATACTTTTTTCTTCCAAAATAATTCCTTCCTAACGACCAATCCTTCTTTCCTTCAAATTTTGGCCTTGGACTATTCTCTCCCTTCCTTTCTCTCATCTCGCATTCCACCTCTAAACTACACACAAGTTTCCATCAAAAAAAGCTTAATTGCAATGACACACCCAATAAAACTTACAAAAATGTCTTGAAGAAATTCTATCAAAAATATGGAAAAATAAAGCAAAAATTAGGGAATAAAAACAGGAAAAGATTACTGTATTTTATTAAATCCAAATTTAAATATATTCCCCTTTAAACAATAAATTCATAGAAATCTATTAGGATATAATTGATTTTAAGCGGTTTTATCTGGACTTAGCAAACTTAACTAAATAATTATAAATTTTAAGCTGAATTTAATCTCAGATTCGAAAAAATATGGATAAAGATTCATACAGATCATATGGCCTCAATACTTTAGCTATTTCATACATTACTTAAATATATTTCCAAGTTTTATTTTTAAATATTTCTTTTTTAAATACTTTCATTCATTTATTACTTTTTTATCTCAACAATCTCTCGCATTATTATTATCTAACTTTTCCCAAATAAATGCCAAATAATTTTTCCAGTCAATTTAACCCCCAATATATAATAAATAATCGGCACTTAAATAATATATTGTAAATCCTAGTAAATAAATAAATAGAGGTATTAATGGGTAAATGTCCAGCTCACAATCCATATTTCCGCAAAAGACATTCTGCAAAAATGCATTTTTTCTACAATCAACCAAACTAGGACATGGATACGGATATGGATAAGATACTGTAAAAATGCCTGCGGATATCCGTCTGTATCCGCCGTAAATATCCGGATACGGATAACAAAATCAGTATCCGTGTCATAGTCTGCAATCAACTCCTTTCCCATTCTACCTTAATTTTCCTCAGGTAATCAAATGATAGCTTGATTTCCTAAGATCTTAAGTGAGCAAAGGTTCTTAAGATTTCTGAAATTGGAAGGGGGTGGCAAAACAGAAAAGTACCAGATTTTTTATCAATATTAGATATCCAAATAAAATAAAAATAAATTGTTGAATGGCCCAAAAGAATTCAAACAATAAATAATTTTTAAAGAGACAACAAGAATGCTGAAGAAAAGGACATTAAATGAGAAAAAAAATTATTAGTCTAAAATATTTTTTTTTGGAAAAAATCATTTAAATATTTTGAAGTTAACCAACTGTAAAAGGACACTTTTCTTGTAATAGTTGTGCTATTTATTTTTTTTTATTTTTAAATTAAGAATAGTTAAAGAAAGAATAAAAATGAAAAAAATATTTTGAAAAAATTATTTAAAAACATTTTTTGGATTTTTTGGATTAAGTCAAAATTAAAGGCAAAGAATAAAATAAGTTTGTTAAATTTTGAGGAAAATTAGTTTTGAGAGCTTAGACTCGGATATGGATGACGCTTCTGCAATGGCAGAACACGAATATGTATTAGTTTTCTAAATCTAAACTTTTTATTTAATGGAAATAAACATATTCTCTCAAAAAATATTTTTATTTTATTTTCTTTTATTAAAACGTTCAATCAAACAAAAAACGGGAATTAGTCTATAGGCAAGTTGATTGGCCGTTATTTTAATTCCCAAACATCTTATTTTTCACCTTTCCTGATATTTTTTGTCTTTTTTTATTTTTATTTTCTCCCTAACCTGGACTGCCATTAAATTTTCTTTTTTATTTTTGTTGCCCTTATTAAAAGGTGAAATAAAAAAAGAAAAAGAGCCCCCCAACAATTAATTGTGGAAAAGGAACGGGAACGAAGAAGAAATACATGCGCAAGAAAGGGAGTGAGTATTGAAGTGAATGAACAAAAAAAAAAGAAAGGAAAAAATAAATAAAAACGGGAATTTTAGAAGAAAATTTAAACAAAAAAATATATTTATGTATAGCCACAAATTTTACCAATTACTCAAAACTTTTTTTTATTTTTGATTTGGGAATGGAACGGTTAAGGAAAAAAGAGAGAATTGTCGGGAGTAAAAAGGAAGGAAGGATGAATAAAAATATTAAAAAATAATTTAAACTAAATAAACTTGTCCTTATATTAAAGTTTTAAGGTAAAGGAAAAATAAAAGAAATAATTCTTTAATTAAATTCTTTATCCGATCAAATATTTTTGTGAATCAGATAATAAACACTTAAATATTATTATTTCTATCCGAAGTTAATTAATTTAGAAAAATATTTAAAATACAATTTATTTAGTAACAATTTCAGCCCTTTTATACAAAAATTCCTTACAAATTGAAAAAAAATATTTTTTGTTGAACAGAAAAATATTTTTTAAAACAAAATTTAAAAAAGAAATTTAGAAATTGTGTAAAAACGAGAAAATTAGAGGAAATAAAGGTGGTGGATGAAGAGGAGGAAGGAGGGAGGAGATGAATGAAAAGAAACGGAAATTGATGAGGAAATGAGTAATTAATTAATTTAAATTAAAATTTTTGGTATTTTTATTTGGAAAAAAGGACGGAAAAGATTGGGATTTTTTAAAAGAAATTTTAAATTAAAATTGGAATTTTGTTTTTAAAAAATAAAAAGTAAGCTACTCAATAGAACTGAATTAACAAGAAATCGAACAAGTTTTTTTAAAGTTTTATCCAAAACTTTATAAATATATTTTAGCAAAACACGATAAAAACACAAATATTATTCAAACAATTTACTTAAAGTTAATTAATTAACACCAAACAATAATTAATTATTTTTATCATTTCCAGAAATATTATATCAAAAATCTTTTGCCTTTTAAAGAAAATTTGAAGTAGCCAAAATATTATAAAGAATATTATATTCAAATAACGGAAAATAAAAGAGAAAAGATGCGCGAGTATTAAAAAAATAAATTATGTGGAATATAAAATAAATTAGTATTTATTTGAATGAAAAAAGGATAGAAGAATTAAAGGAGAGAGGTGGAGGATTGTTTTGTGTGTGTTTGTAGTAGTAATGAATATATAGGGGTAAGTTTTGGTTGGTTGGTTGGACAAAAAAAGGAAAGAAAAAGAAAAACCAGGAATAAAAAAAGAGAGGAAGGGATTGGTGTTTGGCCTACGGTGGTTGTTAACTTCTTTCCCTTTCTTCCTTTTATTTTACTCATCCTCTAAAAACTGTTCCCGCCTTTTTGGCAATTTTGTTATTTTAAAAACGGAAATTAATTTGGAAAGAGAAAAGAAGTTTTCTTGTCGGGAATAAATTGTTGGAAGAAATTAAAGGAAAAGGGAAAATATAAAGAAGATATTTTAGTGGAACGAAAGAAAATAAAGAGAATAATTAAATATTTTAATTAAATTAGTATTAATTTATCTACATGATTTAATTTTAAGAGTTTTATTATTTTCTTTTAAATTATACCTTGTTCCAAAAGTATAAGGAAAGAGATGCGCGAGTATTAAATTTTTAGAGGTGACCCCTGATTTTTTAGAGGTGATTTTTAGTTTTTTAGATGTGTATAAGATCCATAATAAAATATATTTCGACTAGACATCGGACCAAACAAATATTTTTTTCATATATGTACATATTTTCAGATATCAAATATTTTGAGTTGATATTTGGTTTTGCTGTTTGTCCGATCTCTAATCCCGACTATGATTTTTTAATTTATAATACAGTTTTTTTTTATTTTCTAAGTATCAATATATTTGTTGGAATTTTTGTGGATTTTGGGAAACCTCTAAGGTGGAAATTATTAAATTTATAAGTAGTTAATTATTTTGACTGTAAAATTTTTGCTATGGAAATGATAACATTTAATTTTATTTAAAAAATAAAATTATTATTCGACATTTTCCTATTAAAATAAAATATTTTTAGAGAAATAACTAAAATAAAATTTAATTTTCATTATTTATAAATTACAAAAATTATTTTTATTTTTATTATTATGTCAATAAACGTCTAAATCAACTTAAAAAGTTTCTTTTTTTATTCTCCAAAAATATAATATTTTTTACCTTTTCGACGATTTCCGAATTATTTACGTCAGTAAATATTTAAATAATTTCGGAAATTAACCTCATCTTTTCTTAATTTTTGTAGTTTGTTTATTTTTATTTTTAAAAAATAATTAAATAAGAATTTGCCAAAGAAAGGATTTTGAACGAAAATATTTTGGAAAAAAATTTTTGGAATTTTTAAATTGAAAAAGTTTTGGACGTAATTTGGAATTAAAATATAAATTTTGCAAAAATAAATATTTTTAGTTATGGAAAGTAGAATTGTTTAGATTTAATAAAATAATTAGTAAGCAAATTCAATAATCAAATTTAATTAATTTAAATAATTTTAATTGAAGTTTTGAGATGAACAGAAATTAATGAAAAAAAGTTCGTAATAATTTTTAACCAAAAAATAGAATAGTCAACCTTTTCTAATTTAAAATTAATTAATTATCCAGAAATAAGTTTTTTCAATATTAATTACTTTAACAAATCACAGCCAGGTACCAAAAACTTATTATTGTCTTTTTTTAGAAAAAAGCCCATAATTCATCTATATAAGAAAATATGCGCCAAATAAAAAAAGAAAGGCGTTAATTGGCAAGAAATATTTAATATATTCTCTCTTCCTTTTTTCCTTCAAATAATTTTATAAAAAGATGATGAATAGAAAAAAGTTTTTTTAATTTTTTAATTCATCCGCAAAGAATTAATACTTGCACAGCCCTTCACCCCCCCCCCCTCCCCTCCCTTTATTTTATTCTCCACTAATCGACACAAACTTCTATATATCCGTAACTATCCTTTCCTTTCCTTTCATTTGCCAGCCGGTAAAAAGAAGATGGCAGGCGGCTTTTTTAAGAAGCTAAAAAAGGTGTATTTGAAGGGTAACGGGGAAATGAAGTTTTTAGAAAAAGAAAAAAGGGAAAAAGACAGAAAAAACGTTTGTTCGTCGGCCTTGCCGCCACTTATATAAAATAGTTAGAAAATCTATTCAATTACTAATTGGTGAATACTACAAAAAAACGCGATTAGTGGAAGAATAAAAAGAAAAAAATACAAAGGTTGAACGACTAAATACTGACAGACTTTTTAAAGGAAGAAAATGGGGAAGAAGGATGAAGAAGAATATATTTTAAGTGAATGGAAGGAATGGACAGCTGGATGGATGGATGATTAAAAAGAGAAGAAAATTAAATTTAGAAAAAAAAGGATGAATAAAAAAATAAAATTAATTTTTTAAAAAGATTTAGTAATTTTTTATCACAAATTTTTAAGAAAATTATATCTAATTATTACAATAACCCAAAAACAAAAATAAAAAGATTTTTTTCAATTTACTCTTACCGAATAAAGGGTTTACTAATTAATATATAAAAATACAATAGAAGAATAAATAACAAAAAATTCTCATCAGACTTGTTATTAAGTGGAGATGGGTACTTTTATATATGAAAAGAAGAATTCTTTAAATAAAGGTATATTTAAATATATCCCCTCTTAAAAATCACACAATAAAAGCAAAATTACCGACTTTTTAGCCCCATTTCCGGCTCAACAATCTTTTTAGTTTACTCTACTTTTGGAAATTTTTGGATTTTTTAAAATAGGAAGAGGGGTTTTTAGGGGTTTACTCGATTTATTTTTAAGTGAGAGGAGATTTTTTTCTTTTCATTTTTTTCAGGTAGCGGGTTTCCTTCTTTTCTGATTTGTTTGTTGTTTTGTAGACTAAATGAAGGTAAAAGTGGATTTAAAAGGAGATTTTGTTGAATTAATCCTGAATGGGAAAATTGGAAGGGAAAAGGAGGAAAAGAATACCAAAAATACCGAAAAAGGTAAAAGTAAGTTAATAGTCCTTTTTTTATTAGTAGAGAATTAATCCCACCTTTCTCATTTTTGGCATCTTTTCTAATTTTTGTTTGCCGACCGGTCATCGGAAGAAAAATTAAAGATTTAATAAAGATAGTTTAATTTTAATTAAAGAGAATGTGTGAATTTTTAAGAAAATACATATTTTTGGTATTAAAAAATTAAAGTTAAAAAATTTTTTAAATTTGTTTTGTTAGTAAATAATTATTACTGTATTTACTCAAATAATTACCCTGGATAATTTTTTGAAGCTCTGGCTGAAGGAGGTAATTATTTGTGTGAATACAGTATTTAAAATATCTTAGAACAAAATTTTCGTAGAGGTAGAACAATTTTTCGAAATATCAACATATTAAATAACAAAATATTGAGTGTTAATTTTTTGGGTTTTCAAAAATAAAAATATTTTTATTTTTTTAAAGTATTTTTTGAATAACTTGCGCAAACAAACAGAAAAAGCAAAACAAATTTGGAAACAAAGAAAAAATATAAGAATAACTTTTATTAAAGCAAAAGGTGTTGTTTAAGGATGGCACCTTCAAAAGAAAGGAAATGAATAACAAAATAAACACTGTGGGGTGCCAATTTAGGTAAATATTTTAAGAAAAACGAGAAGAGATTTTTAAAAGTTTTTTTTAATTTAAATCAATTTTAGTTTAGAAAACAGCAGGGATATACTTAGGTATATTAAAACAAAAAGAATAAAAGAATATCTTGTTATTGGGGAAATATTTGGGGATTTAATTTTTAAAAGAAATTTTTAAGGGAAATAAAGTAAAATTAAATTAAGTAACAATAAAAAATACAATTAATTTAGTCTTCCAAATATTATTTTTAAATAATTCTTAAACAGAGAGGGGAAGTCTTCTTCCCTTTATAAACTTGAATAAATGTTCTCAGAATTTGTCCCCGTAATTCGAGATAAAATTTCTTTTTTAGAATTATTATTTTGAGAGTTTATTTAAATATTATTTAAAATATCTTCCAATAAAAAATGAAAGGAAAATTTTAACCAAAAAATTTCAAAGTTGCGCAACTCCGCTTTTGAAATTTTACTTAAAATGGGCATCACAATCAGCGCCGATCTACAGAATAAAAAGAAGAGCTATTTGGAGGGGAAGAGGAGATTAGTAAAAGTTAATTAATCTAATCGAGAGTGTCTGTCAATTGTCGGTAACTCCTTTTCTTCTTCTTCTTCTTCTTCTCCTTTTACTTGCACTTCATCTTCTTTTTCTTCTTCTTCTTCTCAATTTTCTTCATTTAATTTTGCGCGTTTTTCTCATTTTATTCTGTCGCCTTCCCAAAACTTTTTTTTTATTTTAATTTGTCCTTCTAATTTTTCTTTTTCTTTTCCTTGGATTGATGATTATGTGCCCCCACGTATTTTGAAGAAAATATTCTCTTCCTGTTTTTGTCCGTTTTTTGACCTTGACTTTCCTTATTTCTAATTTTTCCTAAACGGCCGTGATGAAAAGAAAGAGATTTTTACCAAAAAAAACAGGAAAGAGTAATTTATTTATTAAATTATTTTTAAATAAAAAAATATAATTTCTACAGTGGCGGAAAGTTACTTATTTGTTAGGGAAAAATTTTCTTTTCAAGTTTTTTTAGGTTTTACTCAAAAAAATTTCTTTTGCCTTTATTTATTTTTGTGTATTTTTGTAGCCTTATTTAATACCTATTAAATGAGGTCCATGTAAAACTTTCTATTTGGCTAGAAAAATTTATAATGGATAAGTATTATATGTAGATAAGTAAGTCCAGAAATTGCGCAGAAATTTACTTAGGGAAAAAATGAAGTTTAATTTATTATCGGAAACCAATGTAGGAAAAATTTCCCTAATTACCCACCAAAGGAAAAGAAAGTTGGATTAAATAAGAACAGAAATTTAATAATTAAAATATTTTTTAAAAATAAATAAATTTTGATTTAAAAATTTTATAATAAAAACCAAAGATTACTAAAAATGCTCTTTTACTTTATATCTGTTATCTAAACTTAAATTGAGTAAAGAAATGTAAAAAATAAAAGAATTGTGGTTATGTTTTTGCCCTCCCACGGCTGGCAATTATACACTGGATTTAATTTTTGTTTAGTATATGTATGGATGAATGAATGGAAAAGCATAAGGAGCGGTAAAAAGGTAATAATAATTGGCAATCCTTCCACGCATACGCAGGTAAATTGGTTATTGCCACCTTTACATTTCAATGCATTTTCCCCCTTTCTTTCCCAATTTATTCATTTTAAACAGCCATTCAATTAATTTTCCTTTCATTTATTGGCCGCAATTCCAAGTATTTACCCCTTGTTGCTAATTTGCAACCTAAATATTAAATAAAAATTATTCAAGGGGAGGACTTTAATTGAAAAATACTCAGGGCTTCTATAAAGATATTTACGGTATCTTTAAACTGTCAAAAATTAAAGGCCAGATATTAAGGTTAGACCCTTCTTCCCGTGCCACTCAATACTTTATTCACTTTCAAGGGAAATTTGACGGCTGGAAAAGGCAAATTGCCCCCACATACAAATTATTGCGCGTGCCGTTTGTTCAGTCAGGCGCAAAATAAAATGTACACATTATTCCTCAATTCCGAATAATTGGCAAATGAGAAATTCTCAAGTTAAAGCAGCTGGATGAAAAGATAAAATCTAAACAAATTCTCAATAAGGAGGCGCGCTAAAGACAAAACCGTCGCCAAATTTCCCAGGTAACCAGATTTGTATAAAAATGGAAAAATGGCAAATAAGTGCCAGGAACAATTCTAAAAATCTTAATTCCTTGGGTGTAATGGAAAATGTGTAATTTAATAGGCAATTATTTTCAGATTCTCGGTTAGTAATTCAAAGTAATAATCAAATATAATAATCCAATTTTATTTTACCAAAAAAAAATAAAAAAAGTAGTGGGCACAAAGTCTTTATAAAAATAATTTTCTAATAAAAAAATATAAAAATATCAAGTTTTTGGTTTAAGCTGATAAATAAAAGGTTTAAAAAATATGGCAAAAGTAAGAGAACCATCAACTCTTGAAATTATAAATGCCCAAATATTTGAAGTTGCCTAATTAAATGGTTAAACAATTAAATTGGGTCAAATCTCTAATAAATTTTAAATTACCTACAAAATTAAAAAAGTTATATGCTATTTAATTAGAGACCGGCCGGAAATGCCGATATTTTTCAATTAAATACCGACACAGAAAATCGAAAAAAAAATCAAATCAAGCCGATCTCTATAACATTTTTTAAAATTGTTTTTAGGTCAAAAAAATTTAAACTAAAAATCATATAACTAATTAATTGACAATATTTTTTTTAAATGAAGAACAAAAAAGGTCAATGTAATACCCGAAATTCCGGTAAAAACGCTTCACTATTATTTTCTATTTAACTTTAGAACATTTTCAATTATTTGAAGCGCTTTCTATTCAAAACATTTTAATTTGGAATGAAAAGAATTTTTGTATATATAAAGAGATATCCTATAGAATTACAATAAAATCTAAACAAAAATATTTATAAGATTTAATTTTCTTAAAGAATCCTACCAAAAAAGTATATCAAAATTACATTTAAGAAATAATATAAAGTTAATTAAAAATTTATATATATAATTAATTATCTAAATTATAAAGCAGAATCTGTATATCTAGAAATACAAAAAAAATTAATTTTAAATTTCCTAATTATAAATAATTAAATGGGTCAAAATGATCTGAAAAATAATTTTAAGCAAAAATATTTTTAAAATCAATTAACTTGCTTTTAAAACTATTTTCTTCCTAAAACAAGAATGGAAGTGAGTGATTAAAGTCAATGAACAATGTTCTCACAAGCGGTCCTATTATCTTTATCCTCACACATTTTTTGAGCCCTCAAAACATCTTGATCCCAAGGGTTTGAAAAAGCTTCATTAACCTCATCGTCTATTACATCAACGGAAGAAGATCTTATTAATTCCTCAGCCTCGTCTGGTTGAAACGGTTCAGACAAAGAAGTATAACGTTGATAACGCTGATAATATCTAAAAAATAACAAAATATTTAAAAGAAAAAAATTATTTAAACCTTTCTCGTTGCATATCGAGCATTTTTGCTGGAACTTTATATCGTTTTAATTGCCCGTCCCACTCCAAATCGACCAAACCACCACGTACAGCTATTGCCTTTTTTACTCGATTTGCAAATTCAATAGCTGATTCATCCGGCTAAATAATGTAACTATATTTAAATTTAAAAATCTTTACATTTCTGCGCATTGCTGGCAAATACCAAACGTTACAAATTAATGCCCATGATGACATCATTTGCATTAAATACTCAAAATAACTTTGTTCACTTGAATTCCAAAAGGCATCTCCAAATCGTGAATCGTATTTCATGGCTATTGGATAAATATTTGTGTCAACCTGGGAAAATATTTTTAAAGCTGATGTTTCTGGTTATAAACTACTTCAAATGATCCCTTTTTGAACATCATAACAGAAGTGTTATTGATACATGTTCCTTCGGGGAAAATAAGAACTGGTAACTTTGTTGGATCATTAACGTGGTCATGCAGTCTGAAATATAAAACATATGTATAAAATAATTTATTGCTAAAATGTCAGAAATTTCATGTTTATTTTAGAAGAAAAGCTAACCTTTTTGCTACTAAAGAACGATCCTTTGCTTCAGAACGCTCAAACCAGATGTGTGAACTCGCCCGACTTAGCGCCCTCTGAATAGCGCCAAGAAAACCATCATGGCTCTGTCCAATTAAAGCATAAGCAGCATCTGTTGCTAAAATCATGACATCAATAGGAGAAGTATGATTTGCAACACAAATGCCTGAAATAGAAATTTAAGAACGAATTTTCAAGTTGACAAAAGAAATAAATCTCGAAAAAAATTCTTAAATGCTTGAAAAAATTAAAAAATAAAAGCATGTTTAGTGTTGATATAACAGGTGGATTGAGTCTGACGAAATCGTTTTTTCAAAGTCTCAAATTCCCCGACTTTCGTGAAGAGGTACAACCCTATTTAATATCAGAACTAACGATAAGCTAAAAGCGATAAAGTTTAATTACCTCCACTCGTGGCCTTGTTTTCGATGTCATGAAAGTAAATAATTGCAGAGAAGGCACGTGAGCCAATTCGCATACAAACCTAAATAATCGATAGACAAAAAAAGATGTATTTAAAACCTTCATTAATTTTTCGTTCATCCAACGTTTTAGACGCCCACCAGGAAAAAGTCCAATAAATGCAGTTCCAAAAATAACAGTAATAAGTCCAACAGAAAATATAATTAAACGCATAGGAAGCAAAAAGAAATAGCGGAATAAGAAGCCTAAACCCCAAAGAGTTGCCAACTTCCAACTAAAATATTTTCAACATTTATAGAAAATAAATAATTTTGTTTACTTAACGAATTGATAAAAGTTAACACTTGTACGCGTCAACATATTCCATGAAGCAAGTTGCTCAGCTCGAAAACGACTAGTCACCTCATCCTCGATGATGGCCTCAATACCCGCCTAAAATATCTAAAAGTATAAAACAAGATAATTAAAAATCACCTTCATGAAGTAGAGTGAATCACGAATAACTTGCCAACCCCGTGAATTGACTAGAGTTCTTTCCAAATGCTCATCTTCGTCCAGATGTATTGCTGCCTCGCGAATAATTATTGATTGCGCAGATCCATTCCGCATACGAGCACTAGATGATGAACAAAGACCTAAAAAGGGAGAGATATTTTAATGAAAATTAAAAATAATATACTTGTTGAACTTCCATTATGCATTGAAGATTTACGAAGACTTGGTAAAGAATTTAGCGAACGAGCCAATGGAGAGTCAAGTATCAAACCAGAATCCGTTGGACTTTGTGTTGAACTCAAGTCCAGAGAACAGTAATGACCAGCATCAACATTCTCAAAATATTCCAAGTCATCTTCATCACCTTCTGCAGCACCAAGGTCAAAAGACATACTTCTAGTAACATCCTGAGACGTTTGAAGTTCACCGGCACCCCACTGAAATTTTTGATAAATTGAAAATTAAAAAAATAAAACCTCAAAGATTCTCAATAAAATGCTAACATAACGCTCTCGTAGTCCAAGCGATTTTCCGAAGGTAGCCAGAAAAATAACTAAACCGACAATGCAGAAAACAGGGGGGAATAGAAGAGCAGTAAGATATAGAAAGTGTTCAGTTGCAGCAAAAAATATCGATGTAGTCATTTAAACTTCCTTGAATAATAGTAAAATATCACTCTAAATTTTGGTGAAAAACCTCCTAAATTATTTTGAAAAAAAAAATAAAATTTTAAAAAATTGGGTACAGCCCAAAACAACGCGGGCCAAAACTACGCGACCGAAACTACGCGACCCAAACTACGCAGGCCAAAACTACGCAAGCCCAAAACTACGCACGCCCATAACTACGCAAAACTATTTAGTACATTCAATTTGAATTCTGCTGTTGATCAATTAATCACTTTCTGGGCCCGTAGAATAAATTCATGGGTAAGGTTACCCGGGTAGCGGCAGCGCCGACTTGACCCTAGGCAAAGGGTTTGGCGCCGCTACCCTCTTCTTATTCTCCCTATTTAGGAAAAAATTCATAACTTTTTGTAAAATGGAGATAAAAATTTTATTTTTTTGCCAAAATATAAATTAGGATGTTATCTATGGTTTACCAAAAAATCAAAAATTTTGACCGATTTTTTTAAAAGTTATGAATTTTCCAGCAAGGTACTACTTTTACTTAAAAAATGACTAAAAATTGAGGTACTTTTTGCTAAAAATTGCCATAAATTGATTTTTATAGAAAAAATTCCAAAATTTATATCATTAAATAGAGGATATTTCAAACTATCTAAAAATATGAAATTTATAATTTTTCAATGAGATTTCGATTTTTAAGGATTTTTTAAATAAAATGTCTACACTGCCCCTTAGCAGTGTAACAATTTTACCCTCGACCTCTACCATATCCTTTTCCTCTTTCTTTTCTTCTCCATTTCTTCGGCGCAAAGATTCTTCTCTTTTTTTCATTTTGTGGGGGAAAAGTTACTCGGGTAACTTAACCCCGAATTTATTCTACGGACCCTGATGATCAACCTTTATCAGTTGATCACTCTCTGATGATTCTTTCTTTGGAATCCGGAAAATTGTTTCCTGAAAATCTGGAAAATTCAGGAAAATCTGTACTATTCCGTAACCATTTTCCTGAAAATAATTTCCGTAATTCGGAAAATATGTATTTTTCCGGAAAATACATATTTTTCGGAAAATAATTATTTTCCGGAACTCGGAAAAATTCAAACGGAGCCGGTCCGGCACGAGCATGGAATTCAAAATCCGGTTTTCGGATCAAGAAACTGATTTTGCCGGACATTACTAAATAGTTAGTTTTGCGTAGTTATGGGCGTGCGTAGTTTTGGGCTTGCGTAGTTTTGGCTTGCGTAGTTTCGGTCGCGTAGTTTTGGTCGCGTAGTTTTGGCCCGCGTTGTTTTGGGCGTGTCCCTAAAAAATTTTAATTAATTCCTGTCCATTCGAGTCCTAGAATCTCTGTAAATATTACATTTCAGAATAGGGTTGCACGAGACCGTTTAATTCCTCGTTTATTTTTCCCTGTGGCGGACTTTTTCCTTCTCACTTTTCTTTTTGACCTGCCACAGGGTTCAAAAAGTCTCGTTTTAAACGGTCTCGTGCAACCCTATTTCAGAATTTAAACTGAATCACATGTTTCTTTTTCTACATGGATCAGAGCCTCGATTCCAGCCAGGGCGAACCTTACATTTCCTATAAAACCAGGGCTTGGGTTTAAAAAAATCAAATTAGATTTTTAAAATCAATCAATTCAGCATTTCTAATCAAGACTAATTAAAAGATTTTTAAAAATACATTAATTATTGGCCTTGTGAATATTAAATGAAATTGGATATTTCTCGATTGATCAATTATTAGATAACTTACAATTAGTCATGTTGATTTGTATTGTTTGTGATATGAGGTTGGTTACGTAATATTTTAAGAGGAAGTTGTGTAAATGCTGCATTCGTAAAACAAATAAACAAATTAAAAAATAACTTTTCCCAAAAATATAAATAAATGATAAGAGTTGACCTTCATCTCAATTAAAGAGATTCCCGACTTTCCCAATTTAATATTTATTACTGGCTAAACCTTATCTCTTATTATTCACATTCTGTATTAATATTTACCCATTTCTCGACTCTGCCCATCTCAATAACAATATTTGTTTACCCAAATTCCCACTATATATATCCGCCACATTCTCATCTATTTTGTCTTATATTGAACTTTCACTCCTTTTACTTATAATATTTTACCCCTTGAATAAATTTGTATATTCCAATTTGACCAAGGCTTAGAACCGAGGGTATTTAGAGTGAACTTACAAACAGTTCATTTTTAAGTTCACTCTAAATACCCTCGGTTCTAAGCCTTGGTCAAATTGGAATATACAAATTTATTCAAGGGGTAAAATATTATAAGTAAAAGGAGTGAAAGTTCAATATAAGACAAAATAGATGAGAATGTGGCGGATATATATAGTGGGAATTTGGGTAAACAAATATTGTTATTGAGATGGGCAGAGTCGAGAAATGGGTAAATATTAATACAGAATGTGAATAATAAGAGATAAGGTTTAGCCAGTAATAAATATTAAATTGGGAAAGTCGGGAATCTCTTTAATTGAGATGAAGGTCAACTCTTATCATTTATTTATATTTTTGGGAAAAGTTATTTTTTAATTTGTTTATTTGTTTTACGAATGCAGCATTCCTTCCCCCTTAATTAAGATGACGTCCACGTCATGATTAAAATAAACGGAGGAGATTATAATTATTTTTTAATTTGTTTATTTGCTACAAATCGCATTCTGTAAAAACAAAAATTTTATTCTAGAAGCCATTTAAGGTTCCATTTTAGCTTTGAAATTTTATCGAGGGATTTTTTTAAATTTATTATTTTTAAATTCTCCTCTTATTTTATCTTTTTTTTTAATTTATTTAATTTTATAGTATTTCTCCCATTATGGGATTAATTTTTTTTTTCTCCGACATTAGGTTAAAGGGGTATAGAAAAATATTTAAATTGGATTACAAACTAAAAAATTAAACTATTAAAAGTAAAAAAAATTTTAGGGAATTTGATTAATTATTTAAAAGGAAATGGGGTAAGGAAATTGGTGTTTTTTTGTACAAGTAACACTTTTTATATTACGGATAAGCAGCTATTCTTATCTTTTTGCATTTCGGCATTTGTCCATTCATTTGCCGATTCCATTCCTCTACCTTTGTGTGTCCTGTCTGTTGTTTTGACGTTGGCAGTCTTATCTTTTGATGCTGGATGTGGTCTATCTCTGATGGTCCTGCTTTCTTTGCCGATTCTCCCATTTTAAAGTTAGGGGGCCTTATCATGAATTTGTCCTCAACCCACTTTTTTCTTACTTTTTTATTTGTGGGACTATTTTTCTGATAATTATGTTTTTGGCTTGGGCTTGTTAGGTTTGTGTCTATTCTCAAGCCACAATTCTTTAGTGAATTATTATTTTTATTTATTTCGTGATTGTTTTTAAATTCAATATTTTCCATTAATTTTATTTTCGCCTTTTCACTATTATGATTATTTCTAATTAGCGATTTTGCGGTTAATTTCAATGCACTTTGCTTTAAAATAAACATCAGTAAACATATTATTGTGCTAGCAAAGAAAAAGGCGAGAAATATCCAAATTTGATTTACTATAAGCAAACTCGCATAATTTGAAGATAATTTGCTCTCATTATTTAATTTTGTTATTTTCCAATTGTCCAGTATTGTTTTCTCTTTAAAGGTAAAGGGTGAGTAAGCGGGACAATTCATTTCAATTTGTGGTGCAGAGCTAGCCAAAGTGGGACTTATAATAGCAATAAGTGCAAATATAGTTAGCAAGTATGGGCTAGATATCCTTAGTGGACTTGCAACTCGGCTTTCACTATATCTCACATTTCTAGTGGGTGACTGGCTGTAATTATTTGGCGAATTTTCTCTATAATTTTCGCGATTTCTATCATTATATCTGCGGTTATCTCTATTATATTCATTTCTATAATTATTTCTGTCTTCCCAAAAATTATTTTGATAATTTCTTCGCTCATAATTATTATATTGGCGAGCTTTATAATTATTTCTTGCTCTATTTCGGCAATCCGCTATAACGTGTCCAGGTTTATGGCAGTAATAGCATAAGCGTCTTGTTTCTCTAGACCGATTAATTGCTAGGGCTTCCATTTTTTCTGCCAAATCCACATAATGATTATTTTGGTATTTTTGGCGTTTTTCTCCTAATAATAGTTCAAAATGTTCGGCAACTTCAAATGCCTTAGTATAGTCTTCAGGTCTAGCAGCTTTTACTTCGAATTGGAGATCTGGCAAAAGCCTATCCAAAAATTCATCTAGCAATCGCTGTTGTATTGTATTTTCTTCATATCCAATCATTACAGCACGTACTGCGTCGTTTAATCGCTGCGCAAATTCAAAAACTCTTTCTCCAGGTGCTTGTTTAATTATAGATAGGGCTTGCCTAGCTACCGTACGAGAATGACCATTTACAAATTTTTCTTGCAAAAAATCTATAGCTTCTTGCAGAGTAGCTGGTTGCGGGACTTTAGCATCAAGTTCAGCACGAGCACGACCTCCCAGGCATACTTTTAGACGACTAAGCTTTTGTGCTTCATTTAGGGGAGTAATTATTAAATTTAGAGCATCCATGAATCGCTGGAAAAATTTCGAGAATGAGCTAGTCGGGTTTCCGTCATAGACTCCGACAGGGGTCATTAGACCATTTAAGAATGGGTCTCCGATCATAATCTCAACATTTTCTCCAGTAATGGGTTTCTTAACATCTTCAGGCTCTTTTTCCGGAGGTTTGGTCTTGAGATTTAGGTCAACAGATTCATTACTTCCGTGACCATTCCAGGAAAATCCGGATCCTCTCGATCCATTTTCTAAGACTTCTACTTTTGCCTCAAGACTTTCAATTTTATCAATTAGTTTACGCGCATTTTTAGCAATAATTTCTGCTATTTTTTGCTCACTTTTAGTTAAATTATCCTCAACTTTTTCCATCCCTTCCTCTAGGATGTTTAGGCGTTGAATTTGTGAAATTTGTTCTTTTTCTATTTCCATATTTTTAGAGCGTAAAAAGACTAATTCATCTTTTAATTCTCTATCCTCAATTTTATTTTCAATTTCTTTAATTTTTTCTTTATTTACATCATTATCAACTCCTAAATTTGATATTTCTTCTTTTACAATTTGTTTCAAATTTTTAAATTGATTTTCTAATTTTTCAAATTTTCCATCTATTAAAGCATTTATTTTGTCAATTTCAGATGAGGACGAATTTAGTGTCAAATTTTGTCCTTCAGTAATTTTCGACTCGATTTTACGGAAATTTTTACAAACAGCCTCTTCAAAGCTGCGTAATCGGAATAACAAATTATTCCAATGACGACCTTCTTCAGGCGTAAAAAATTTATTCGCAAAATCTGATCCTGTTGTCTGTGTCTGATTTTTATCCATTTCTAAGATACTCCAGAAAATGTTTTCAGGGGCAGGAAATCCTTTATAGAGCTTTTCTGAGAGTGGAAAATCCAGTTCCTCTCTTTTTTAAACTGAGGATTGCACCCAGCAATTTCCTCTACTTTAACCGTAGCACACAGCAGGAGGATAGAGCACCAAGCAGTCTACCTCGTTTTTCTAAATTAATTAATTACGTGGGGTATTTTCTTCCCACAATTTCTTTCACAACTCTCTAAAACTAGCTCTTTTCAGGATCAAAATATCCTTCAAACAAATTCTTTTTCTCTCAAGGCTTTTACCCGGATTAAGTGGCACCAAAATGAACTGTTTGTAAGTTCACTCTAAATACCCTCGGTTCTAAGCCTTGGTCAAATTGGAATATACAAATTTATTCAAGGGGTAAAATATTATAAGTAAAAGGAGTGAAAGTTCAATATAAGACAAAATAGATGAGAATGTGGCGGATATATATAGTGGGAATTTGGGTAAACAAATATTGTTATTGAGATGGGCAGAGTCGAGAAATGGGTAAATATTAATACAGAATGTGAATAATAAGAGATAAGGTTTAGCCAGTAATAAATATTAAATTGGGAAAGTCGGGAATCTCTTTAATTGAGATGAAGGTCAACTCTTATCATTTATTTATATTTTTGGGAAAAGTTATTTTTTAATTTGTTTATTTGTTTTACGAATGCAGCAGTAAACTTCCTATGTACTATAAACAACTTACTATATTTTATATACTTACCTATTTAGTTCATTCGTAAAAAATGTAAAAGATGAGCAAGTCTGAGAAAATTATCAGTCACTACTCACCTTTGGAGAGGCGTTTGGATAACAGGCGGGCTTACTTCGAACCCTCATCTTATTCGAGGTTCTTATCAGTTTTTACAATCTTTTTACAGCATTCCTTATCTTTATTATTTAACAGCTCAATGTCTGAAAGTAATGAGTGCCATCAATGGTCAAAGTACACGATACTTGGGGCAAATATTATTTTTATGGTAAGCTTTGTTTTTTATGTTATGTATTATTTTAATTGTCTTCTGCCCTCCACCCCTAAAAATCAAAATTTTTGGCGCCAAAAATTCGATGCCAGAATGATCCCCTCTCGTTCGAAATCCTGGTTACGGTTCTGCTAATGTGTATAACATGTCGAGTTCTCTGATTAAAATATATTCAAAACCTTTGTCATTCTTGTATCAAATTTTATAAAAATTTCTAAACTTCACAATTAATAATTTTAGGTTGTCGGTTGCATTGTTTTGATAACAGGCATTTGGCTAAGGACGGACAGTCATTTTCGTGGTTTTCTAAGTGAGCGTTATCGTCAGGCTGTTCATGAGGCTTTTTGGGAGGCGCCAACTCTTTATGCTTTTTCTTATATTTTGATTGTGCTGGGATGTGCTCTTATTCTTTCAACAATTTTTGGATGTTATGGAGTTGCTATTAACTCTAAACTTTTGATTGGAATCTATGGAGCAAGCACATTTGCTTTGCTTATTTTTACTTTAAGTTGTGGTGCTTATATTTTCTACACTAAAGATTCGGTATAATTTATTCTGATATTTAATTTTGGGATTTTATATTTAGATTGACGTTGAATTAGCAGATGCTCTTAATTATATGGTTCAACACTACTATCAGGGCCCAGGAATTGTACAAGAGAGCTTGGATCGACTCCAACAGGCATTTCGCTGTTGTGGTCTGTAAAGTTTGAAATTATTTAATTATTGTAAAGTTACTCAGGAAATGCTGGCTGTTCCGATTTTCGAATATTTCGTCAGGATCCTCCAAGGACGTGTGACCTACGATGTGATGGATGCCATTATCGTATTTGGATTGCATTACGAATTGGTTTCTCTGTATCGTTGGCAGTTTTTTCCATTGTTGTATTTGCCCAGGTTTTGAATTTATAGGTTTTATATTTATTTTTTCTTTAAATTTTTAGCTAGTAGCTATTGCTCTTTCAATAACGATGATTTTTGATGTCCACCAATCAAATAATCGCTCAGTGTTTAATGCCATGCGTCGTAAGGAATTTGCGAAGGCGAGTGCTCGCAAACAAATGGAAATGGAATGTCTACCTAATTTCAGCAGATTTGACAAAAGGAAGCATCCTTACTATTTTTAATTTTTTAGAGCTTATACAGTTTTCCTTTATACAGGGTGACCCAAAAAGTTTAGGACAAAAGTAATTTTGCCATAACTTTTTTTCTCGTAAATATTTTTTTATATTTTTTCGTTTATTTTGTAGCTCAATTAATTCTTTATCATATAGTAAAATTAAAAATTTTTTGATCAAAATTAAGATAGTTATGTAATTTTAGGTACACCATATCAAAATTTTCCCCCCAAAATTTTATTTTCTGTATCTCAGAAAGGAGAAATCCAAACGGTCTGATCTCAACAGAATTTAATTAAGAGCGAACCGGACAAATCTGAAAGATAAAAACTCCAACTCCTACATGGATGGCTCTGAGTAGATGTAAATCAGTTTTGGGGGGAATGCGATTTTCTCATTTTGGGAGGGTTACGCGCAATCGAATATCTCTTTAAGTGTTAATCTAAAAAATTTTTTGGTTTATGATTTCTATAGATAAAGGACTGCTCTAGATGCCAAAAAAATTTTATGTAATTCCTGCAATTTATTCTAATGTTATAAGCAAAAATGTCTCAAAAAAGGTGCGACCTGGAGCAATAATTTTTCGCAACTTACTTTAACCTTATCTCAAAGAAGAATCGGAAAAATTCTAAAAGCTTTTTATATTTTATTCTCCATTTAGTTCTCTATAATTTCATCTTTATTTTATCTCATTATCTTAAATTTGAACAAAGTTATGGCAATAATAAAGTGTCCAATTATTTTTGGGTCACCCTGTATTATTTTACTCTGCAATACTTCTTTCTTTAACTAAGTCAAAATTCTGTATTTAATTTTTATTTTTACATTTTTTTTTATTTTATATCTTACAATGTTAGGCACGTAGTTGAAGAAGTTTAACATTCTCAAGAGTTATCATCCTCTCCTTACGAAAATTTTTTCTGGTGCGTGCCTGGACAATGATACTTATAAATTTTTAACTTACATTTGTACCGTCCAATAAAATAATTTAAATACTACATAACACCGATTAATCTTCTGATCTTAAATTTTTAATAATGCTGCCTTTAATTAAATATTCTCTTTTTCATACCCGTTATCTTTCATCCCAATTTAATTATTTAATTTAAAACTGATTTTTAATTAATTTTACACCTTTTGTTTTATTTGTTAGTTTTCAATTAATATTTTTATTTATTTTAATTATAATCATTTATTTTTGATAGATTTATTTTTCTTTTAAAATGAACCTTTCGAATGCTGGCATAATTCGCCAAAATAGTTCAACATCAACACGCCAATCTTCTGGAAGTGGTCAGCAACAACAGCCACCAATAGCGGGAAGCTGGCGTTGTGAGGTTTTTGTCGATGTGAGTTATTTTTTGACAATTTTATATTGTATTTTAACTGATATTTCGTCTTTGTCAGACTCCAATAACGCGTGAACTAATGCATGGTCCTTTGAACATTCATCTTCCGCCGCTTCCATTACCTAGTGGATTAACAACATTTATGGAGCATTTGACTAATAATACTCAACAAGGTGAACATCAGACTGCTTTAGCTGCCGTTACAGATGTATCTTTAGACGAGCAAAGGCCGCTTCAGCAACCACAAAGTCCGACTTCGGTGACTCCAACCCATGGGCGCGCACATTCAACACCAGCTGCGTTAAACTCCAGTGATGGCTCAAGCAATGGCAGTGGTAGCTCATTTGTCATAAACATGGAAGACGATTTGTCTCGTGTAACCAATGTCAGTTAAAAGTCGATAATGTGTTTTAAATGAATTTATTTTTTAGCAACTCCATCGAAGACGTTCTTCATCTCCTCTAAGAAACATGCATAATGATGCTGCTTCATCTAATGGTGTTATTCCTTCATTCTCTCCCCAACTTACCCAACGTACTCCCACAAGCAATGCAGCTACCGGGGCAAGACAAGAAGGGGATGATCAAAATGCTGTTACTACAGTTGCAGTCGCGTCAGGCGCATCTGACGCAAGTGGGGGAAGCGGTGATTCTGATGAGGATGAAGATCCCACTCTTCGCAACTTGAGGAACCGTTTTCGGCAGTTGCTTAGAAGGCGACATCAAATTTTGAGAAATTTTATTCAACAAATGGGGGAGGTAACTTTGTTTAAAAAATTATGAATCATTTCAGCCACTGTTTGATTGATAAAATAAACTTTTTTAGTTTCCGAGTTTGTATGTTTTCGGTGTTCTAGTCTGTTGGACTCTTGTGATATTATCTGTTTTACTCCAATTTTTCACTATCGAATTTACTGCTTGCCTTGCACTATTATTTTGCTTCTTTCATTATTCAGATGTGGTGGCTTTTAAAAGGTAATTTATATTTTTAACATTATTTAAAAAATCATTTTTCAAGATATATCTCTGGTACGGGTAATGGATGGTTTATTGGCGGCAAAATCGCACTTCGTCAATTTATGGTTCTTCAAGTGCTTGGACAATCATCATTTGTTTTTCCAGCTGCGACGTTTAGGGAAACATCTGTTTCATTTATTAATAATCCATCATTTTGGTCAACGCTGTACATTGTATTGGTTACTGAGTATTTCGTTCTGGATTGTTTACTTGCTGCAAAACTTTTGGTATTTTTGTATTTTTATTGTTTCATCTTTTAAAAAAATTAGGTGGCAAATTTACCAAAATGTTCTACTGTTTATAAACGAAGATTATATCAATGGTTAGAATATAGTGGTGCGCTTTATCGCTTTGCGCTCCCATTTGTTCAATGGAATGCTTATTTGGGAGCTCTGTGGTGGACTGTTGTTTATGGCGGAATTAAGGTTTTTCTTTTAAAATTTATTTATGAATTTTTTAAATTTTGTCAGATTTTACTTTCTTTTGCTATGATTTGGGGTTGGATTTTGACAACTCTTCGCATTTTTCGTTTTACCCATCTTGGGACTACACCGACTCCTTCTGAATGTAAACAGAATGAGAATTGCACAATTTGTTTTAGCGAATATACTTCGCCTGTTAAGGTTGATATTTCTAAAAATTTTCTAGACAAGTTTTAATTTTGTTTATATATTTTTTATAAATTTAATTTTTTTTAAATAAAGCTCAAATGCTCGCACATTTTTTGTTCTGAATGTATCCGAACTTGGCTTGATCGTGAACATACCTGTCCTATTTGCAGAACAATTGTAACAAAAGAAGACAATAATTATCGAAACGGAGAATCTATGTTTCCATGTATATTCTGATAATTTTTGTTATTTGTATACAGTCCGAAAACAGGTTATTCCACATTTATTTTTATTTGACTCACAAACAGTTTTTTGCATGTTGGAGTTAGTGCCCTATGAAATAATCTTAAATGTCTTTGATTTTATCAAACAAATTACAAGGGCGGTCTCCTCATGCATCAAAAATTTGTGATGGTAGAAAAGATTTATTCAAAATATTACTATACGTATATATTCTATCTTTTGAGATAAATGATTTTCCAAAAAAATTTGGATATAGTTTTTAAGATTGCCTTTATATCATAAACTAACAAAAGTATTTTTGTCTATAGATTCTAAGGTAGAATTTATTCTCAACGAATGTATTAAATAGTTTTTTTTGTGTAAATTAAAGATTGTTTAGATTCTACCAAAAAATTTTATTCACAAATTGTAACATAAAGTATTTTATATTAAACTTTTTCTGATAAAAGAGATGGAATTAGTATATGTTTTTCTTTTACTAAATGTATAATCAATCATTTTTTACAAATATTTATGAAACATTTTGTCAAATAAGGGATCTGTACACCAACTAGAAAAATTGTAATAAAATTTTAATGCTCAATGATCAAATATTTTTGGAATTTTTGATTTTCTCTAAATGATTTTAAAAGTGAATATTTTCATTGAAATTTTTGTAATAAAATTAGAGTGAATTAGGTAGTTAAATTTATTTTCATACATATTATTCTTTTTTGCAATAACTGAGACATTTGGGGAGGCTCATATTGTATTGATTTTCTACCCATGCTGTATGCCAGACTTCATTTGGTCATGTGGGTGACTCGCTTTCTAGCTTTTATTTTTCTTCTCCAATTCACTCTAATTTGTTAAAATAAATAATTTTAATTTTGGTAAATTTAGCAAAAACAAAGTCTAAAAATTTATTTTGATTATTTAGTATTTTAAGATCTTTATTTTTCTGCTTCAGTGTCAATTATTTTCCTTTTTAATTAGCAAATGATTTTTCTTGATGAATTCACTGACGAGCTTATTCTTTTTCTTGAGTCATTAATTACTCGTGATATTCAAGTCAAAGGCATTTTTGAACAATGGAAGATGCAACTTCGGGATAAAGTTCTCTTGTTGGCCAACAAATATTTTGAAGAAAATCGTGGTGGTGGAGCTAACAAACTTGAATTTGCTTTGGGAAATGGTAACTAAAGTTTTCTTGAAATTATTTTCTATACAATGTAATATTAACACTAGTTCGCTAATAATAAATAAAGAGTAACATTTTATAGGTTTAAATAGTAACAATTAAGGGTAGGTTGGAGAGGGGTAGCGGGAGAACTAGAACAGGGATTAGGCAAAAGAAAGATTCCAAAAATATTAATTTTAATTTTTTAGAATCTTATATTTAGCCATCGCTTTTTTTAAATTAATTTTTTATTTATAGATTCCGAACTTTCAACGGTTTCGGCAACTTCGCTAACAATTCCTAAAGATCAAGAACTAACGAGTAATTCCTCTATTGCAAAATCTATAAGTGCTGTTGATCTTCGCCTTCTTAGAGAAATGCGAGAAGGCCGACTGAAACATCGTAACTTAGAACAACATTGTTGTAGTTCACTTAAAGCGTTAGTTTTTATTTTATAAAGTAATGTCACGCCTTTTTCAGTGTTGAATTAAGACGGATTCATTTGGAAGAACGCTATCGAATTCCTTTGGAAGTTCTTCCTTATGAGAACTATAACTATGATGAGGTATTTCTCTTTTTATTTTTTAAAATAAATTGAAAATCTATAATAAATATTTACGGGAAAATTTTTGTTAGAACGGGTGTTACCGGTCCTTTCATTATGTCAGTTTATTAACACTAATTGTGTCTGTCGTTAAATCCTCTTTGGTTAAGTTGGTTACGTGTAGGTAATTTGCATCTATAATCAAGGTATTTGACTGCTCTCACATCATTTTCCTCACGGTAGATGCAATAGTGAATAAATAACTTTAGCTTGATCGTTTAAAATACCTTTACTATTATTTAGTCGATAGACAAAGTTATTTACAGTTTGTATCCTTTTTATTTTTTATACCTATTTATTTTAAAAAGGTGAAAAATGCTTGTTGTGAGAATGTAATAGGATATATGCCTGTTCCTACGGGTGTTGCCGGTCCTTTATATTTTGATGGCGAAATGGTACCTATTCCACTATCAACTACTGAAGGAGCGCTTGTTGCTTCTGTTAGTCGCGGTTGTCTCTGCCTTAATGTATATACCTTATTATTTTTAAAATACGTTTGATTTTAACAGGAATCTGTAAAATTGCTTGGTGCAGATGCATTTTACACTCAAGTAATACGTGATGGAATGAGTCGAGCTCCTGTTCTTGAATTTGATTCAATTAAAGATTGCTAGTAAGTAATCTATTTTTTCCTAATATTTGAGTTTTTAGTGATTGTTTTCAATGGGTTCGTCAAAATGAGTCATTTGAAAAGATGAAATTGCACTTCGACCAAACAAGTAGATATGCAAATCTTCAAAGGGTTGACCCCCGAATTGAAGGCAATTATTTGTTCTTACGTTTTGTGGCAACTACTGGCGACGCCATGGGAATGAATATGGTTTGATATAAAAAAATCTAAATTAACAACTAAATTTTAGGTAACGAGAGGTACTGGTAAAGCAATTGAATGTCTACGATTAGCTTTTCCACAAGCCCGACTTTTATCCATTAGCGGAAATTTATGTGTCGATAAGAAAGCGAGTGCATTAAATTGGATTGAAGGACGCGGAAAATCAGTTGTTGCCGAAGCCTTTATTCCAGCGCAAATTGTTGAACGTGTGTTAAAAACTAATGTTGTATGTTATTTTTGTTATACAAAATTTCTGAATACTTGTATAATCTAGTTTTAATCTAAATATAATCTAAAATAATCTAGTTTTGGATAAAAACATTTTCAGGATTCAATGGTTGCAATTGGTCATGCAAAATTATTGGTCGGATCTTCAGCTGCATGCACTATTGGTGGCTGGAATGCACATGCTGCAAATGTTGTAGCCTCCCTTTTCATTGCTACTGGACAAGTATTTTTTTTAAATTTTATTGAGAAAATATTTTTATAGGATGCTGCTCAAACTGTTAGTAGCAGTATGTGTATGACCCAGCTTAACAAACGGGCACAAGATGGTGCATTACACATTTCTTGTACAATGAATTGTTTAGAAGTTGGTGCTATTGGTGGTGGGACTATGTTAAGTCCTCAAAGCAAATGTTTGGAGGTTTTTATTTTTTAAATTTTCTATGAAAATCTTATTAAATTAGATTCTTGGTTGTCGACGAGATATTTTAAAGCCTGGTCAAAATTCTGAACGTCTCGCACGAATTGTTTGTGGTGTTGTTTTAGCTGGTGAGCTTTCACTGCTTGCATCGCAGTGTAATGAAGGAGAGCTGGAAAAGAGTCATTTGCGATTGAATAGGTGCTTTAATTTTTTTATTATTTTTAATTTCTTTATATATTTTTTAGATCTAGTAGAAATTTAATGTTAAGTGACACTTCAAATACTCCTCCGTTGTCATCTCCTGTTCATTGTAGAAGAGCTAGTTCAGCAGCTGTTATTCCTCAATCAATACCTGAAAGCCTCCCAATTTCTTTGGATAATGTTTCAATAACAGAAGGGAGAAGACAAAATATTAACATAAATAGAGGTAAATGTTTTTTTGAAAACTGAAGAAACTAAAAAATAGAAATTTTTATCAATCACTAATTTACCTTATTTATTTAGGTAACGAATCAACGACAGGATCTAGTGCACTTTCTATTCTTACCCAGACTGGAACTAAATTGTTGAAGAAAGCAAATAATGGTCATATGCCTTGTGGACCACTTTGATAATATTAGATTTTACATAATTTTAGTTTTTATTTAAAGCTATCGTGTCTTTTGTGATTAATTTTTATAATCATAAATTTCTGATAAAATTATTTAGTAATTTTTCATTAACCTTTTTTTATTTGCTTTTTCTGCATAATTTACTTTAAATTAATAAAATTGAGATTTAAATGTAAGACAACTGCGAAAGATTGTAGGGTAAACAAACTATTAATTGTCTGAAAATGTCTTCATTGCCTCATATTGAGACTTTTACCCAATGGGTTACGCTGGGTTGCGGTGTAAAGGTTCGGTTTACAAAAATGGAATTTAATTGGGATGATTTTGACGCTGAAGGGAATTTTGACGCAAGTCAAGATCAGACAATATTTTTATGCATTCCAGGTAATTTTTGAAATTTTTTAAATTGACTTACAATTAGTGACAATGACTTTAATTTGTTGACAATGCCATTAATTTGTCTAAAAATTTAAGGAAATCCAGGAAATGACCAATTCTACCAAGTGTTTGGGGGTTTTTTGTTGCAAGCTTTTGCTTTGGGATCAGCTTACAAGCATATCAAATTTTTTTCTATTGCTCATGCTAATCATGTTCCTTTGCCGCCAGGTTAATTCTAATTATATTTAATTTTAACCATTTAAATTAGGAATTAGTGAAAATGACCCGCAATGTAATAGACGATACAATTTGGACGAACAAATTCTTATAAAAATGAGATTTATTGACGAATATTTACATACAATTATAGGCCCGAAAAAAGCAAGAATTTTTCTTATTGGACATTCCATTGGTGCTTATATTGCTTTGAAGTAAATAATTTTTTGAAAATATTTTTAATAATTTATTAGTCTTTAATTTTCCTTTCTTTTTAAAAATAGACTTCTCCCAAAACTTTTAAACGATGGATGGGATTGTGTTGTCTGTTATTGTCTTTTTCCTACGGTTGAGGATATGGCATTGACACCGAATGGGATTCGTATGGGCCCTATTGTTAAAGTAATTTTGAAAAAATTTTAATTTTAACTATTTCCTCTTTTTAGTTTATCAATCGTTTAGACTCAATTTTTAAATGGATTTTTTCTTTAATTAATTGGTTTATCCCTCAAAGTTTTAAAAGATGGGTTGTAAGGAAAAACTTTGGCGAACTTATGGCTAATAGCAATGTTGAAGCAGGTGTTGAATTAATCAATCCTCTTGTTGTTCGGAATATTGTACACATGGTTTTTCATGAACTCGAACAAGTTTGTTATTTTTTTATTTAAATCTGAGTAAAAATAGAGAGAATAAGGAATAATAGTTAAATAGACAATCGAAACTGCAAAAGCTGACAGTGAGGCGTGATTCAATTTTAGTATCATAATCAAAGGTAATTTTGGATAGAGATTTGAAGTAAAAGATTTTGAGTTTCTAAACAATGACTACTTTACAAAGAGAGGAAAAGAATAGATATTTTAATTATTCAAGGTACGCAATTTCGACGACTCGCTCCTCGCTGAACCTCAAAAACATTATGTTATGTTTTTCTATGGGCAAGAGGATGGTTGGGTTCCGGTGGAATTTGCAGCTAGAATGAAGATGCGTGCACCAAGAGGAACTCTCCAAGTTTTAATTGACCAAAGGAGTGAAATTGACCATGCTTTTGTTTTGAAAAATTCGCGTCAAATGGCTGAACGATTAAATCGGCTTATTATGACAAAACTTGGAATTTTCACTTTCTAAATTATTTTAAGGTATTTTTAGATGTTTTCCTTTCTTTTGACTTTTTATTCAAATTCTTATGACTTTAAAATTAAGTATTTCACTTTTGACATTATTTAAAGCCTTTCAGGTATTTATTTGTCAGAATATTTATTATTTATAATCTTAAAAATCATCTATATATTTAGACCGTTGGATTGTTTTTTTTCGAATTAATTTGTGATTCTCGCTAATCTCACGATATAAATTCCGTGATCTGACAGAATACATATATGTATTTCTTAAATAAAATTTTATTTTTTTTGTTTTTGATTATTTAATGTATTTTCAACATTTGATAATTTATTTTAAAGAAATTATTTTAAAAACTTTCAAGTGAATCCATTTAAAACTATTTAAAAAGATTCTCAAAAAAGCTTTTGTTAATGTCAACCCAGTTAGTCAACACTTGACAGCCACAAGTGTTGATCATTTGGGTGTGTTACCCAGCAAGGAATAGCTTTGCTAATTTATTAATTTTTCTGTGCAGTATGTAATATCGGATTAGAACATAATACATTTATTTAGATTATTCACTTTCTTACGTACAGTTTTTTTAATTTTATTTTATTTAGAATTATAGATAAAGAAACGCCTGACAAAAATGCACATATCATTAAACAGCAATTAATCAATTAAATAATCTTCGAGAATAATTTTACTTTACGGGTTTGTAACTTCAAAATTTCATGTTTGATTCACAATTTGGCGATTCACAACAACAATTTGGTTGTACAAATATGTCGACAATCTCGTCAGCTGCTACCGGTGAGTCAAGTTGTTCAGCAGCGAGTGTAATGATTGCAAAGAGAGAAAGAAGGCTTAGACTTGAAAAAGTTGGTTCTTACCGAGTTGGACGAATTCTTGGAAGAGGAAATTTTGCTCAAGTACGAGTAGCCTATCATGAAATTGCAAATGCTAAGGTTTTTATTTTTTAAAAGATTTTTTAATTTAAATATTAGGTGGCCATGAAAATTGTTGATAAACGTTCCTTGGATGCTGAAAATTTAGCTAAAATTGAACGTGAAATTCAAATACTCCAAAAACTTAATCATCCATTTATTGTAAAGCTATATGAAGTAATACGAACCAATCGTTTTTTGTATATTGTAACGGAGTATGTAAGCAATGGAGAACTTTTTGGTAAGTTATTTGAGATTTGATCGTTCATCTAGTTGCATTTATTCTTTTTATTTCAAATTTTGTTCATTTCAATAGATATGTTAATGGATGGTGGACGGCAAACAGAGGTTGAATCACGTCGAATATTTCAACAAATTGTTTCTGCAGGTTTGCTAATAATTTGAGAAAAAAGACATTTAATTTTAGTTGTTTATTGTCATGCGAGTGGAATTGTTCATAGAGATTTGAAAGCTGAAAATTTATTACTTGATAAAAAAGGAAATATAAAAATTATTGGTTTTTTTAAATTTAATTGACTTTCTAAAATTTTTCCTTTAAGATTTTGGTTTCAGTAATTATCAACAACCATCACAATTATTGTCCACATGGTGTGGTTCACCACCTTATGCTGCTCCAGAATTACTTTTAGCTCAAGAATATGATGGACGTTTATCTGATGTTTGGAGTCTTGGAGTTATTTTATATATTTTGGTTACTGCTGGTTTTCCTTTTCCTGGTGATTCTGTTGAAAAACTTAAAAGAGCAGTTCTTAGTGATCATTTAAAAATTCCATTTTGGGTTTCTGTTGGTTAGTTTAAATTAATTTTTAAAAATTTTCTAAAATTTAAATTGTTAGAATGTGCTGATTTAATCAGAAAAATGTTAACAATTTCTCCAGCAAAACGATATAATTTACAGCAAGTAATTCAACATCGTTGGTTTTCTGCTGGCAAAATGCCTGAACAAATAAAAATGCTTTTAATAACATCTGTGAATAAAGAACAATTAGTAACATTAACTGATGAGACGATTAATGTACCACCCGCAATTAGACCAATTTTGGATCCAACAGGTTTAAAATAACTATTTAATTATAGTTTGTAGCAGACCTGGTCATGGATACGGATATGGATACAGATAATATCAAGATGCCTGCGGATATCCGCCTGTATCCGCCGTAAATATCCGGATACGGATACCAAAATCAGTATCCGTGACCAGGTTTGGTTTGTAGTGTGTAAAAGTTACTTGGCATTTTAAGCAATAAATGAGACTATAACCAGAGGGTAGGGTTTCTCTGAAACATCGAAACATTTTAATTTATTCACTTTTTTATATATACCACCCACAATTAGACCAATTTTGGATTTTATATTTAATATCTATTTCTAAATTTAAACCACAATTAAATTTTGTTTAAATTTTTAAGTTCTCGTCTTTATGCAACAACACACTGGCTGGTCAGATGATCAGATTTCCGAGGTTCTTTTTAAACAAGTCGATAATTTTAAATATTTAATACGATGAAGATAACGTGCCTACTGATCACACGATATCCATTTCTCTTTTGCGAGAGAAATCTCTGAGGAGTTTTTGGCACAGGGGCCATCTGAGTATTCGAAAATTATTTCTAAAATTTTGATATAAAATTTATTTATCTAATTATTTTATTTTTCAGGAAGTTATCTCTCATAACTATGAATCACCTATATTTGCTACTTACGAACTTTTACTTGCTCGTCTTTCAGAGTTTCGAAGTGCTGAAGCAGCCGCAGCACTTTCAACGAATACTGGGGGATTTTCTGGAATGGGAACTAATTTTGCTTTTATGGAGAATGAACATACTCGACGTGGTTCTAGAGGTTCAATCATTTCTGGCAAAGCAAATATAACTCCAACAGAAACAACACAATGTGCTACTATTCCGACACATCATTTGGCCAAATTGAGTCTTTCTACTAGTCCAGATTATGTGAGATTATTTTTGTTTTGCACTGTTCTGTGCTTTTTACCTTGGGCAATCTCAATTTAATAAAACCTAAATAATTTCCCAACTGTCTTATAAACTTTTAAACTTTAGGATTCCGACGATAGTGACAGTGCTAATGATTTAGTTGATTCTATGTCTAATGATGACATTACTTCTTTATCTTCATCAATTCCATTTATTCAATCACAACAACAACAACAACAGCAGCGTTCTCCTAATGTTTATAAATCTAGACGTCGTGTTTATCGTCGTAATCAAGCAACTAATGAGCAACATCAATTAATTGAACAACAACAATTTCAACAACGACAACGTTTTCCATATGCTTTAGAATATCATCAATTAAACCCTTTACTTAATGCGGTTGCTCAACAATTTGCTGTTGACACGACAAGAGCATGGGTATTATTAAATGAAAAATATTATTATTTAAAAAATGTATTTTTTAAGGCTAATGCAGCCGCAGCTGCAGCACTTTTTGCCTCGCAAATTCAACAACAGAATAGTAGTGGTGGAAGTTCTTCTGGTACTGCAGCTTTACAACAGGCAGCAGCATTAAATTTGGTTTCATTGCAAAATTTTCCATTTGTTGACTATGCAAGAATGATACATGTTCCAAATCGTAAAAGATTTTAGAATTTGTAGTACATTTTATATTTTTATAGAAGAACGTCGTGCTTCAGCAAATGAAGCTTTGCTTGGGTTGAACAGTTATGCTCATTTGTTGGCTGCTTGTTCTACAATGGGTGTTGGAAGTGGTGGAGGAAATGGAAGTGGAGGACCAGATACTCGTTGTTCTTCCAGTCAAGGAACTTCCAGTAGTCCAAGACAGGTGCTTCAGACTCAGCCTCATCGTTCCTCTTGCCATCAACAACCAAGACGAAGTGTTGAAGAAGAGGGAGAGAGCTATTTACTTGGGCAAAGAGGAGCAAACAAGAGAAATACGGTAAATAAAATACAAATAAAATTTTAATTTAATCGATTAAATTTTGGGTTCATTCAATTACTGGTGGATTACCTATTTTTGCTGGAGGCACCGGATCTGGTTCTTCAGGGGTTCCAGGAACTTCGTTTCTGCAGCGTCATAGTCGTACAATGCCTTACTTCAAACAAATTTTGGGTGATGAGCGACGAAGTAGTTGGGCATCCTCTTGCTCTGCCCCGATTACTTCTGGATCTGTAGCAGCCACAGCAGCTGCATTGGCCATCAATGCTCAACAACAAGCACAACTTGAGCGTCTATATAGGTTACCTGTTATCCACCATTTTTAAAATTATTTTGGGCTTTATTTAATCGCGAAGACAACCCTAAACACTTCGGGGTTCAGGTCGGGGTTTTGCCTAAAAATCATCGGGATTTTAGGTTCGGGTTGCTACTCTAGTTTATTTTATTAAAATTAAAGATATCTGCTTAAATATTACTAATAAATTGTTCAAATTATAGACAATCAATCGCTCAGACAAATGCCGCAGCTTCATCTTCTGATGCATCTGCTTCGTCTGCCCTTTCAGGTGTTCAACAATTACAGTTAGAATTTCAAAAATTATATGCAAGTACAAAAGAAGGTTCCCCTGGTCCTGGTGGTGTAGGAGGAACATCTTCGGCTGCTGTTAATACACAAAATCCTTTACTTGTGGGGTAAATTTTATTTTTTTTATTTTATTTGTCCAATCTTTTATTTTAGTGGGTTAATGAATGTCGATCCTGGAGCTTTATTTATTAAGTCTGCACTTGCACAGCTGCAACAACAACAACAAATGCCAACTATCAATATTACTGATGAAAATAATCAAAATGTTGAGTCTGCATTTTTATCTTTGGAATCGAATTCGATTTTGGTATTTACAGAATTATTCTTATATTATTTGATTAACTTTTTATTTTTAGCCAAATACCGACCCTCCAACACTTCCAAATGTTTATTCTGCAACAGGAGGTATTGGAAACTCTATATCTTTAACTAATTCTCCAACTGATATTGGAACTAATCAACCATTAAAATTTGTTTATATTCCTGTTTGTATTGAAACAGCAACCCAACGACTTGAAAAGTATGTTAAAAATAATCAACTTTTGTGCGAAGTTCAATGTGACGAGCAAAAGGAGGCATCAACACAGATAGGTAGTTTTTAATTAATTTATTTTTTTGAACATTTTTCTAATTATTTTTCACATTTTTTTATTTTTAAAGTTAATTCTGTACGTATTCGCGTTGCACCTCCATCGAATGAATCAAATAAAGCAACAATTCTTGAATTAATTTTATATAGAATAGATCAATCGCCAAATATTAGCCGAGCAGCATTTACTCATATTCAAGGTGATGTTAATGAATATGAACAATTACGTGTTAATTTATTATCAATATTCAACGAAGTTGTGTGAATTTTTGTGAGTTGAACTAATAAACAATAATTAAGCTCAATTTAATTTTAAATTTACAAATTTTTTATTTTATTCCCTTGTTTAGTTTTTATTAAATTAATGGGGATGCTGACATCAAAACTGGACAATAATTATTATTTTTACATTAAACTTTCTTTGATCTTTTGATATTCAGCATCCCCAAATCCTTGCTTTTCTTTACAAATTAAATATTAGTAATCTTTTAATCATAAAATACTTATATTAAATTGTCCCCAATACCAACTTATTTTTATTTTACTAGTCCATTTTTTTAAATTTTTTTCCTATTTTATAATTTCTAATAAAGACTATTCCTTGAAACTTTAAATGAGTTTTATTTAAAAAATATATTCTTTATGTATTGTGATTATTCTCTTTCTCTATTTAGATTTAAATATCTTAAATAAAATTTATTATTTTAATTTTTTAAGAGAACAATAAAAAGTACAAAAATAATTTTATTTTTTTTCTTCAAGTCTTTGGACATAAAAAAAGAAAGGAAATAGGTGGAACGGTTTTTATTTTGTTTGGTGTGAAGAATACCTTTAATTGATGCTTTTAGTATTTTCCAAACAATTAAATAAAATAATGATAAAAGTGTATAGAAAACATTAAAATATTAAATAGCAATGAGATGTTAAAGGGAAGGGCTTTCTATACTCTTATTTGGCATAAACTTGAGCCTAAAACTTTTTTAGAGTTTTATTCTCTTTTCAATTTATGGGTATTTTACTAAAAAAATCTCCCAAATAAAAATCAAACTTTTCAACGTTTGTATTTCAGTTTCACATTTTAACAATTTTATTCCCATTAATTTAATTTAAAACTAGTATTTTATAAAATTGAACAGAATTAACATATAAGTATTTCTAAGAATTATTTTTCATTTTTTAAAATTATTATCCTATTCTGTTAAATACTTTTTACACGTCGTAGAAAAAAACTTGTCTAATAATTTCAATTATTATTATTATTTGTTCTATTTAAAGCCTGACTGCGTAACTTTCCTCAAAATAAACCAATTAATGCTCTACTTTTAGGTTTTTGATTTTCGGAGCAGGATTTTGTGTGAGGAGTTCCTTTCCTTTTATTCCACGCAAAGCTACTAGTTTTTAATCGATCTTCTTTTTAAATCTTCTTTTTCTTTTTAATTCGTCCATGCTCATTATCTTCTTTTATATTTTAATTTTAACTTGTTTTTCTTTTGTTTTTCCTCTTTTAAAGGAATTTTTTAAATTTTTTATGGAAATGAGTGAAAGTTAATTAAAATATTTAAATTTTAAAATTAACAATCAACCTTCATAAATTAAAAAATTTATTTTTAGAGATAAAAAATGTACAAAATTTATCGTTAAAATGAAAAGAATAACAATTATTTTAATTAATTTTGTTTTATTTTTTATTTCTTTATTTTTATTTTCTTTATTAATAAATGCTGAATTGAGTAAAAATAACGAAAAAATTTCTTGGATTGTTGGTAGGTAAAATAGTTTTTAAAAAAATAATTAAAATTATTTTGTCTAAAAAAGGTAAATGGCGTTCAGAATTTTCTGGAAAAGTTGTTTGGCCAAGTATTCCAACAATGACTTTTGGAGAAGAATTAAATATACAAGAGGCTCCAATGGCTGGAACTTCTGGGGTACAATTCCTTAATTGGAGGTGGGAGGAAGGATTTTTGTTTATTAAATTTTTGGATAAATTTACAAAATTAAAAACTCTAAAAGTCGCCAAAAAACAATGACGATGTTATCATAACACTTCCGCAAATTTAATATTTATATTAAATAATTTCAGTGCTCGTGCCTGGTCACATTCCACAAAAGACCATTTCCACGATGAATGGGGATTTATTACAGTAGAACCAAATGGGAATGCAACTTTAATGACGGCAGGGAATAACGGTAAATTTAATTTAAAATAATCTTAATTTAAAAATATTTAAAGGTTTTACTACTTATGAAGTTGGAGAAGTGACTAGAAATAAAATGATTTTAACTTTAAAAGATATTGGAAGGATTTCATTTTCGAGGGATTTACCAGTAGAAGATGTAAAGAATTGTTTAAAATAATTTTTAAAAAATATTTTTAAGCTTCGGAGAACTTTTATTAAACATGATGATACCTATATGGAACAAATTTTGGAAATGAGAACAGCAACACACCCTAGACTAGGATATTTAGAACATACAAGAGTTGTTTATACAAAAATTGTTTAGAAATAGAAGAAAATCCTTATTGTATATATTTTGATGATTTTTTAAAATTTTTGTTTGTTAATAGAATAAAAATATATTTTTAAAAATATATTTATTAGGATGGAATTTACACGAGATCTCGTGAAATTATTTCCGGAGGTACGGTAGATCAATTTTCGAAATAAGCAAAAATTTGTTTTGACGCGAAAACTTTTATTTTATGTATGTCTGACGTCTAACAATTAAGTGATACGCAGAGATAATTATTTACTAGAAAAATTTTTCGTGTCCGGTTAACTCATCTACTCGTTAACTCATCTACACGGCCAAAAACGTTCAACTCATCTAAACGGCTAAAATTCCTTAACTCATCTACACGGCCAAAAAGGGTAAACTCATCTAATCGTTAACTCATCTACTCGTTAACTCATCTACACGGCCAAAAAGGGTTAACTCATCTAATCGTTAACTCATCTAATCCTTAACTCATCTACACGGCCAAAAAGGGTCAACTCATCCAATCCTTCGGAACGAGACTATTGAGTACCGGCCGTTTGAGTCTTTGGCCGTCTGAGTCTCTGGCCGTCTGAGTCTCTGGCCGTCTGAGTCTCTGGCCGTCTGAGTCTCTGGCCGTTTGAGTCTCTGGCCGTCTGAGTCTCTGGCCGTCTGAGTCTCTGGCCGTCTGAGTCTCTGGTAAGTTGAGTCCATGACCAGTTGATTCCATGGCCAGTTGAGTCCATGACCAGTTGAGTCCATGGCCAGTTGAGTCCATGGCCAGTTGAGTCCATGACCAGTTGATTCCATGGCCAGTTGAGTCCATGACCAGTTGAGTCTCAACCGGCGGTACTCTACTGGCCATGGACTCAAACGGCCGGTACTCAATAGTCTCGTTCCGAAGGATTGGATGAGTTGACACTTTTTGGCCGTGTAGATGAGTTAAGGATTAGATGAGTTAACGATTAGATGAGTTAACCCTTTTTGGCCGTGTAGATGAGTTAAGGATTAGATGAGTTAACGATTAGATGAGTTAACTCTTTTTGGCCGTGTAGATGAGTTAACGAGTAGATGAGTTAACGATTAGATGAGTTGTATAGGAGCCAAATTTTTAAGAGCGATAAAGATTTTTCTTTGAAATTTCTTAAAGGCTGGCATAGGTTTATAGATTTTTTGATTAATTTTGATTTATCCATTTCAATTAAATTATTTTGAATATTTATATTCTTTTTCTCTTAATTTTTCCTCATTTACATTTTTTTATTTAAAGGTTTTAATAGAAGAATTTAATGATTTTATTGTTTATAATATTTGGATTGATCACCATGTCAGGTACATAAGAACTTTTATTTAAAAAATATTTTTAATTAAATTTAGATGCTTCGGTTCGCAGTGCAATGTCTATTGATTTGGGTGTTGAATTTATGAAAATGGCGCTAGTTAAACCTGGTGTTCCTATGGAGACAATTTTAAATAGAGAATCCCAAAGGAAAACACCTTTTGCTTTGACTATTCGAAATGATGAACGTTTCTTTGGTGATGAAGCTTTGAAAAAAGTTTTTTAATTTAAATATTTTTAGAATTTATTTATAAAATTTTAGGCAATATCTGCTCCAAAGCACACATTCCTCTTCTTTTTGGATTTGATTGGAAAGCCATTTGAAGATCCTGCTATTAGTGACTATCAGAAGAGATTTCCTCACTTGGTGTTGAAAAAGAATGAGCAGAGAGGGGGTGTTGATTTTGTTACTGAGTTTGTATATTTCGTAAAATTTAAGATTAGAAAATTGTTTTTTTAGCGCTGGTCAACTCCCAATTGAAACTTTACTTGCCATGGTTCTTACAAATGCGCGTGCCGAAGTAGAGGCATATGCTGGTAATCCAGTTAAAGATGCAGTCATTGCAATTCCTGGTTTCTTTGGAATTTCTGAGCGTAAAGCTATTGAAGCAGCCGCCAAAATAGCAGGAATAAATTTAATTCGTTTATTGAGTGCTGGTGCTTCTGCTGCTTTGAATTATGGAGTTTTCCATTTTAAAGATATTACTGAACAGCCTAGTGTATGTTTTATTATTTTAAATTTTTATTTGATTCCTTTGTAATTTTTAGACACATTTAATTTATGATGTTGGCTCAACGAAAGTTCAATCAACTTTGGTTCGTCTCCAACTCTACAACGAATCGTTGCAGATTCCTGTACAGGAGACCAACAGCACTGAAACATCTAGCGCTGAAACGAACAAAACGGCGCCTGCAACCACGACAAAAACTTCTGGAGAGCCTCAACCTCGTTTGGAAGTTGTTGGCCATGGTTTTGATGCTAATTTGGGAGGACTGCATTTGACACTTAAAGTTCGGGATTATTTAATTGAACAGTTTCGAAAGCAACATTCAAATCTTAAAGATGATATAGCTGAAAATCCTCAAGCTATGGCTAAGTTATTGAAAGAGGCTGGAAAAGTTAAACAGGTTTTGAGATAATTTTGAATTTTTTCTAGAAAATTTTTAAAGGTTTTATCAGCCAACACGGAAACTTTTGCTCAAATTGAAAGTGTATTTCAAGACCTTGATTTTCGTACAAAAATTACTCGAGAACAATTGGAAGAAATGTTCGCCGAATTTGAAGAGCGTTATATGTTACCAATTAAAAGTGGATTAGAAATGGCAAAAATTGAAGTAGACAAATTGGACAAAATTTTGTTAATGGGTGCTGGTACACGTGTTCCTAAAATTCAAGAAATGCTTACAAAATTCTTTGATGGGTAAATTTTATTGTAAATAATTTGAGTAATATTTTGGGATAAGCCGGTTTATTTGAAAAATTTATCTTTAAATTAACTTATTTTAGTAAACAACTAAGCCGTAATTTAAATACTGATGAGGCTGTTGCTCTTGGAGCCATTTATCAAGCTGCTCTTGAATCCAAAGTTTTTATTATCAAACGCCGTTTTGATCTTTTTGACATTCAACCATCAAAGCCTTTGAATATAACTGATGAAGCGCAAAAAGAAGAAAAGATGGAAGTTGATGAAACAATTTTGCCAAAGCAAATGAGTGACAATGAAATTGCTGAAGCGAAAAAACTGTTCGAAATATTTTTAGTTTCAAGTTATTTGATAATTTCTTTTTTAGTTTAACAGAATTTGAGAAACGCGAGAAGGCTAAAGTTGAGAGAGATGTTGCCTTAAATTCTTTGGAGTCTACAGTTTTCGATTATGCCTCAAAACTTGATGAAAATGAAGAGGAGTTTATTAAATATGGAACTGAAGAAGAACTTAGAGATATTGGAAAGAGAGTTGCAGAATTACGTGAATGGCTCGAAGATGTTCCTTCTGAAACTGATGCTAAACAGTTTAAAGATCGAAAGAGAGAATTGACTAAACCTGTCAAAAAGATTCAGAAAAGGAAACAGCAAAAGGAGGTTTTTTTAAATTTAATACAAAGTAAAAATTAAATAACAATTAAAGGAACGTCCTCAACATATGAAGACATTAGAGGCTTCATTGGACGAGGCAGACAAACAATTTTTAGTTTTCCGTAATATGACTGAAGTTTTTATTGGAGGAGAATTGGAAACTTATAGTAAACAAATTGCTGATCTTAGGAATTTCTTCCAGTCTGCCAAAAAGGAAGTTGAGAAATTGCCTGATAATAAAGATGCTTCTTTCTCTACTGATGATTTAAAAACTAAAGTTTTTATTTTTAAATTAAATAATTATTTTTCAAACTTCCAGTCTTCTTTGTTAACTCGGGAAACCAAATTTCTCTTCAATAAAGTTCTCACTGCTCTTCGCGTAAAGGAAGAAGCTGAACGTGCTGCAAAGAAGGCAGCAGAAGAGGCTGAAGCTAAATTAAAGGCGGAGGAAGAGGCAAAGGCTGTTGCTGCTGGTGAAGATGAAGGAGAGAAAATAGAAGCTGAAATTAGTCCTGAAGGGGAGGAGACAAAGAAAGAGGAAGGCGATTTGAAGAAAGAAGACGGTAAAGAATTAATTTGAGGATTAGCTAAATTTTATTTTTTTAGGTATTAAATTAGAGGAGAAGAAAATGGAAAATGATGAGGCTTCAAAGATTAATGGAACTGATATGAAAATGGATGTTGACGATAATAAGAAGGAAGGTCAGAAAGAAGTTGACACCAAAGAAGATAAAAAGGAAGAACTTTGAATTGACTTTTATTTATATATTAAGTAAAAAATGTTGGTTGTAGTAACCATTCCAAAAATAATATTTTTTTGTTTTCTTTACTTTGGGTTGCCGGATTAAAAAATTTTTATAATTATTTTTTAATAAGTAAATTAGAATCCACGTTTTTTGTTAAGTCCTTTACAAAGTAATTAACGCAAACTACAAAATCTGGCAATTCTCTTTATTATTCTCATTCATCAATTAATTTTGATTTATTTAGGTAAATGGGTTTCCTTTTTGGTACCTTTTTTGACCATTTATCTGCTCTTAAATTTGTTTTCAATCTTCTTTTGTTTTCTCTCAAAATTTTTGATTGACTTTCGATAATTATTTTATGTTTGTTTTGGTTTTATTTTAATGTCACAATATATTTTCTATTGTTTTGTTATTATGCTTATTATTATTAATTTTGGGTATTAAATGGTATTTTCAAATAATTATTTTCTTTTGAGTTTGAATATTTATCCTTTTTATTTTTTTTTAAATTTAAGCTATATTTTCTTTATTAGTTTAAAGTTAAAAAAAATTATTTTTAAATAATGAGCAACAGTTCAGAGGAAATTTCTTGGATTACTTGGTATTGTGGATTACGTGGAAATCAATTTTATTGTGAGGTAGGGCTTTTTTTGAAAACTTTCTTAAAAATTTTTCGAAAGGTTGATGACGAATATATTCAAGACCGATTTAATTTGACTGGTTTGGTTGAACAAGTTCCTTATTTTCGTCAAGCACTTGATATGATTCTTGATTTGGAACCTGAAGAAGAGGAACATGACGATGCACAGGCTGATTTAGTTGAGCAGGCCGCTGAGGTTTTTAAGTTTTGTTATGTTGAATATTTTTTCTTTACATATGTATGTATTTACAATTTAAGAAATTTAATTTTCCCCTTTTAGTTGCTTTATGGTTTAATTCATGCTCGTTATATTCTTACAAATCGAGTTTGTTTTTCTTCAGTTTCTCTATAATTATAAACAAAAATTTAGGGAATTGAGCAAATGATTGAAAAATGGCAAAATGAGGTTTTCTACTTAAAAAGATTTTCTTTAAAAGTTCTTTGTTTAAGGATTTTGGCAATTGTCCACGTGTTTTCTGTGAAAATCAGGCTGTACTGCCTATTGGTAATTTTATTAATTTTGTAAAATTTATTTTAAAATAATTTTATTTGAGGCATGTCAGATATCGTTGGTGAAGGTTCTGTTCGTCTTTACTGTCCTCGTTGTTGCGATATTTATTTACCGCGTTCAACAAGACAACGTCGAGCGGATGGAGCTTATTTTGGGACTGGATTTCCTCAAATGTTATTTTTTGTACATCCTCATTTACGTCCAAGACCGCCATTTAAAAGTTATCATCCAAAGTATTTTTTTTAAATAAATTTTTAAAAAAATACAAAATTAATTCAAGATTATTTGGATTTAAAATCCATTCATCAGCTTATAAACCAATTCCGAATGAAGAAAATATTGCCGGTCCATCTACGACAAATAATAATGGGAATATTCAATTAAATAATAAAATGAGAGTTGAAAAAGGAGGAATTGTTAATAGACAACAAAATCAATTAAAAACAACAACTCAACAAATAAATTCACCAACAGTTAATTTGGGGAGTTCTATGGATGATGACTATGATGGAGGTTCGAATTGGAATTTTAATAAAGCAAGAAGACGTTTATTTCATTAAATTATTTATTTTTTTATGTTTTAAAAATAATTTTGAGTAATTTAAAGCCATTTAAATTTTAATATTTTTGGGATAAAAGGAGGAAAATAAGGCTGAAAATGTTTTTAATTTAAATTTTGAAGAGAGGGGTTATTGAAAGGGGGTTTTTTGTAAAGAAATTTTGTTTTCAAAATATTTTTTAATGAAATAGATGGAATTGAAAAATACTGTGAAAAGTCCTTTTTTAATACCCTCTAAGTAAACATTAATTTCTTAACATATTTTTTGGAATGTTATCCAAATTTCTTATTTTTAACTAAAATTTGGCTTTAATTTATTGGGTATTTATTAAAATTTTGTTAAAAAATAAAAATAAATTTTGTTAAGAATGTCAGCGTTGAACTTCTCAATAACTGAAAATATTAAAGAAAATAAAAAGAAGAAAATGAACAAAATATGCAATATATAAATATTTTTTTAATTTAAAAAATACTCTCAAATTTATTTTTGATTATCTCTCTCTTTAATTACAATTTAAGTATTTTTATTTTTGCTCCAAACAAATTTAATTATTTCAGTTTTATTGTATAGTAGAGACACGGGTCTCGCTGTTTTTTCTTCTCATATTTAAATATTTTTGTTTTTTTAATTAAATGAATAATCATTTTTTAAATTAATCATCGACTAGAAAAAAGAGAAAATATTAATCTAAAAATTATTTTTAATTAAATTACTGCTAAACTGCTGACATAATATATTTACAACTAAATATCATTTAAAAATAAATTCAAAAGTATAGATTATTTTTTTGTTTTTTAAGTTTTCACTAAAAAATGATTATTAAAATTTTATTTTTATGTATTATTTTTTATTTAAATTTTTGTTTTGCCGATACAGAAAGTTTTGAATTGTAAATATATTTTTAAATATTTTGTAATAATTTTACAAAGTTTTAAAAGGCATTTAAAAATAATTAAAAATTCAGAAAATAATTCTTAAAAATAAATTTAAGTCAAACAGAAAAAGGACTTTCAAAAATTAACAAACTTGAATTTGTTGATTCAATAATTACTACCCAATCACCAAAATGTTCTCATTCTTATGGAAATTTTGCTTTACGTTTTTATTTACCCGAAAATTTGTTTTGTGAAAAGTTTCTTTGTTAAAAAAGAATTTATTTATTTTGACTTTCTTTTAAAGATTTATTATTTGTTTTGTCAGTCGACTTGACCCTAATTTTGTTAAAGTTAATCCAATATATCAAGTAAATTAATTTTTAAAAATTAAATTTAATTAAAAATAAAAGATTGAAAATCGTAAATGTGATGGAAATCAACTAGCCTCAAAATGTACATTAAAAGGTGTTGGGAAAACTTTTTGGCATGCAATTGAATTTAATTTTAAAAAAGATTTTTTAACTAAAAAAGAAAATGTTAGTTTACGTTTTTCTTATGGAAATAAAAAGTATAAATTAAAAAAAAGAACTAAAACTTTAAATGTTTTTTCAGTCAAACTTTTTATAATTTTGAATTACCAACAAACAGAACATTTTATTTACATATAAACTTTAAATCGCCTTTAAAAGCTTTAATTTCTTCTGACAAAAATGGAAAAAATATTTTATTAAATGATGAAGAATTTCGCCCAAAAATGGAAAAATTAAGGAATGGAAAGGCATTTAAAGATGAAAATTTGGGTTTGTGGCAATTACCGTTAGAGTGGGCGTGGTTAAGACCTAAAGAATTTTTAAAAAGAGAAGAATTGGGATATACTAAATTTAATCCGATTATACGGACATTTGTTGGTAATAAATGTGAAAATTTGGAAATTAAAATTGTTGGGGCTAAGGTAAAGGTTTAAAAAAAGAAAGGGGGGATTTCTTTAAAATTGTCAATAATATTTAAATTTAAAAAGCCAACAAAATTACCGGAATTATCGCTTAAAGAGGACTTTGAAATACTTTGGACAAAACCAGATATAGCCCCCCGAACATATTACGGAAGGGCAATTTTATCAAATTTTACTTTTAATGGCTATAATTTTTTGGCGGCCCTTATTGGATTTATTGACCGTCCAAATTTAAATATTTCTGCTGGATGTTTGGAGTTTTTTAAAGTTTTTTTTTCTCAAATTATTTAAATAAAAAAATATTTAAAAAGGATCGTTTAAGAAATCAGTATATTTACTGTGATGGAATGAAAGATTTAATTAATGAATTAATTTTAAACCAAACAAAACCCCGTTTTATTGGAATACCCGAAAGGTTTTTAGATTTAATTAAATAAAAAATAAAATTTATTTAAATAGGAGTTTAATAAATAAAAATTCTGTTGGAATGTTTTTTGCTTCTTGTGAGGGGGCTATATTTGGATTACCTTTACTAGATCCGAGTAAATATGGAAATGAAAAGGAAAAGGTTACTAAATGGGAAATTAATTATGATTGGAGTAAATTAAAAATTAATTTTGAAAATTGGAATTGGAAAGAAGGATGGCCACAAAAACAACAAAATAAAACTGAAAAAAATTAAATACCTATTAAATTTATTTTTATGAACTAAACACAACATACAACAACAACAATAATTACACAAATAAATATTTATTTATTTACTTTTTTGTACTAGCATTACTACTAATATTTTTAGTACTTTTCCCCCCTCCTTCTCCTTTACTTTCTTCTCCTTTCGTTGTTGTGGTTGTTGTCTTTCCTCCTTTTGTTGTGTTTTTTGTTGTTGTTGTAGTCATTCCAACATTTGTTGTTGACATTCCCCTAACAACATTACTTTCCCCTTTTGTCTCCTCATTATTCCCTTCTTTATTATTTTTACTAATCATTAGAATAAATAAAATAACACCTCCAATTATTAAAATTCTTTAAAAAAATTTTTAGATTTAAATTTTTAACAAAATTTACATTAAAATACTTCCACCAATTCCCCCAATTAACAACCATTTTGCACTACCCCCCTCCTCTTCTTTTGTTGTTAAAATATTTGTTGTTTGAATATTTGTAGAATTAATTGGAATATTTGTTGTTGAGAGGGAAGTTGAAATATTTAAAGTTGTTGGAAGATCAACATTTTCCCCATTCATTAAAAGTTTGTAATTAGAGCCATTCTAAATAATTATTTTTTTAATTTAAATTAAAAACACATACAAATTTAATTTGAATTTCTTTACAATTCGGTCCATTAGGCGATTCCTTAATAATACCTTTACAACTTCCATCATAACAGCTATGTTTAAAAGTAGCCTTTTGTGGAAGTAAATAAAAAACAAATAAATAATTAAATCCTCCTTCATATTTTCCCCCAATAATTTCCCAAGCTTTCGGCTTAATTCGATCTTCTTTTTTATAACATTTTGGATTTTCTTTTACGCGATCTCCTTCATATTCAAGCTTTGGTTCGTCAATTTTAAACCATTTTTCTTCTTCAATCGTCACTTTGATTTCTGATTGTTTATTTGAAGGTACATCTTTGCTGTGTCTTTTATCCCACTCTTTTGGCTCCCCAACTTAAAAAATAATTTTAAAATAAAAGAAAAAAATTCATTTACTCGGCCCCATATGCACATTAACTCTTTCATGTATACTCCAAGCAAACTCCAATCCAGTCCTTTCCATACATTTATCTTTAACAACATCACAGAAGGCACAAGAGCCATAATTATGTTGGGGACCTTTCAAAAGTTCTTTAAATATATTCAAATTAATACTAAAGGCAAATGGAAGCCTGAAAAAGAAAAAAAATTTTTAAATAAAAATAATTTTTAGATTTACGTATTTTCATTCATTCCACTCTCCAACTTTGGTTTTAAACATTTTCCCAATTCCTCGGGGTCATTCATTATAGTAGCAACAAACTCGAAACGATCACTCCATTTTTCTGTTGTCAACATATCCACAACACAACCTTTCTCTTTAATTGTTCCTTCTTTTGTGTAATGCAAAATACTTTAAAAACAAACAAGAGAATATATTTTAATTCCAAAATTTACATATTCCCTCCATCATCAATCGAAACATTACAAGCATTCTCAACATTTCCATAGCCTTCCAAATCCTTATTTTTGTTTACAATCCTTTGAGCTACCCCCATTTTTGTAATTTTCTCCCCTTCTTTTGTGTGTCTACCATAACCAACAACTTCTTTCTCGGCATTTAAAAAAGGCACAAACAAAATAAACAGAAAAAGGACAAAGCAATTATTTAATAAAAACATTTTTAAATTGTTTTGAAGAAATAAAAGTTTAGAATAAAAAATGTTTTGCCTTTTATAGTAATTTGAAGGAAAGTACTTTAATTATTTGGAGAATTCTAAAATAAATTGAACAGATAATGTATCTGTAGGTATATGTTTAAGGCTGGGGCGAGGGTAAACGATCTAAAAAGGGAAAGGAGAAAGTATTAGTCGATGCTCCGGTAGATCAGTGGTAGAGCTCCTGTATGTGATCGAAGTCTGCTCGGTGGCTAAACTTTTGCTATAACTATTTGTTCTGTACCTAATTTTGTTTTTATTTTTAATCAAAAATGAATATTTTTTATTTAATTTTTTAAATCTTATTCAACAAAATTTAAATGTTCTTATTTCATATCTCCATATTTTTCCAACTTTTTATTAAAAAATTAAATGTATTTTAATATTTTGGGGTCATCAATATAAAATTGAGAGAATATCACAAAGTTTGGGAAAAATAACGTCATGATTTGGGGAAAAATTTAATCTTTCTATGTTGAAATACTTCATAGCCAGAGATCATTACTTTTGTCCGCAAGTATATATTAAATGATTTATTTGATTTTGCCTTTTTTAAATAAAATTCTTTTCCAAATCTGATTAAATAAAGTTTTAATATATAAATTAATTAAAATATTTTAAAAATAAAATTATTATTTTATCACAAATTTCTGTTCGAAGCTTTGCCCTTTTTCTCAATTTTAATTAAACATAATTTTTCTTTATTTTATTTAAATAATTTTTATATCTTTATTTTTAAATAAATATTTTTAAAAAATATTTTCCCTCATTTTTAACTTTTCTCTGAAAAAAATGAAAGGCTTCATACATTAAATTAAATACAAACAAAAAAATCATAAATTTTGAATAAAACCTTGACAACGTTAAATAATACCTAACTACTATAACAACAAAACCTGCCCCGTAACCAAGAGAGAACAAAAACTAAATAAATTTTTGATTTATAAAAGAATTTTATTTTATTTTAAAAATGAAAAAAATTTTTGAAAATAATTTTTTTTTATTTTTTAATTAATTTAAATTTGCTTGACAAAATTTTATTTATTTTTTTAATTAAAAGTTGTAAAATAATTTTTTAAATGAAAACTAACACTAAACAGTTTATTTATTCCACATTCCCTTATACATTCAATTTAAAATCCCCTTATATAGTCTCGTTTATTTTTGAAAACTTCCATTCAAACAATCGTTGTTTACTTTTATTTCCAAAAATTTTTTTAAATAATTTTTAAAAAATTTCATCGAAAGTGAAATTTTTTGTTTTTCCATTTTTCCAGTAATACAAGAAAGTGTAGAGTTTGGATATAAAATATTAAAATTTAATTTTTATAAAATAATTACACGTTTACTAAATAATTAATGGAATTATTAATTATGTAAGTTAAATCTAAATATAAATAAACTTTATAGTTAAACTTAAAAAGTACTCAATTTTCTTCTAAATTTTGGATATTTTTTAATTTTTAAATTAAATAACAGATTAAATATATTTAGAACAATTTTACCTTTTCATCTAAATATAAATTAAATTTTTGTAAAATTTAAATGTCAATTCAACAACAACAACCAACATCCCCATTTAATATTCCAGAACCTCCCCCTCCATATAGCAGCCCTTCTGGTAATTTTTAATATAAATTTTCTATTTTATTTTTATTTTTTAAAGTCCCAGAACAACAAATATTTACAACAACACAATCATCATCACCAACTTATACTTCTAATTTTCCTCCTCCTTCTAACAATCAAAATAACAACAACAATAAATATACTACAAATATTCCTTTTAATCAACAACAAACACAACAACAACAACAACAACAAATTCCTCAAAATATTAATCCTCCCCCTCCTTTTCATTTATTGCCTCCAGGGGGTTTGTTTAAATAGAGATAAGAAAATTTTGATAAAAAAATGTTAAAAATTTAAAAAAATAATAAAAATGGGGTAATTACAAATGGAAAATATTTCTTTATTCACTCAAATTAAAAAATATTTATTTAGCAGTTCCCCCCTTCCATCAACAACAACCAAGTTTTGTAGTACCAAATATTCAACAACCACAACAACAACAAAGACCACCACCACCACAACAACCTCCTCAACTAAAAATTATTTATTCAATTCCTTTAGGCCCTCACGAAGCTAATATGGAATGTTTTAATTGTAAACAAACAATTCGAACTAGAGTGGTAACTTTGTGATTTAAAAAATAATTTGGAAAAGAAAATTCTTTTTAGATAAATCGTCCAGGACTACTTTCTTGGTTAATTTGTGGGGCTTTAGCGTTATTTGGATGTTGGCCTTGTTGTGTATTACCTTTTTGTATGCAATCTTGTCAGGTAAATTAATTGAAAAGTTTTAAGTATTTCTGATTTTATTTATTTCAGGATACTGAACATTGGTAAATATATTAATTTAAATAATTTATAAAAATTAAATATATTTTTTAGGTGTCCAAATTGTAATGCATTTATAGGGAAATATTCAAGAATATAATTTTTAAAAATTAATTTTGTAAATTTTATTTTTGTAAGATTTCTATTGCTGAAATAGTTTGGGTTGTTTTGAAGAAAAATATAAAGCTGACATTAAAAAGAGTCTAATTTTTGTTAATTTTTCCTCAATTAATTTTAATTTAGAAAAAAATACTGGGACGGAAAATGAAAATTAAAGGCAGAAAATCGGGATTCTCTCATATTCCCTTTTAATCCCAACACATCCAAAAAGAAGTTGGGAAAAGGGAATGGGAAATAAAACCCGCAATCTCATTCCTAACTCTATATTAATTTTAAAAAAAATTGAAATTTTAAGTATATTATTTTATTTTAAAAAAATATTATTAAAATATTCCAACAAATTAATATACTACATAACAAAAAACTTGAAAGTTTGGGGTCAAAATTAAAATGAAAGGGCCTTTTGCAACTGAAAAAAGAATATATTTTATATAATAAATCTGATAACCAAAAAAAATTTTTTTTTGTTTTCTTGCAATTAATTAATATTAATTATTTCTTTAATATGTATTAAATTTATAAAATTCTAAAAATTAACAAGAAAACCAAAAAAATTAAATATAAATGCCAAAAATTGAAATAAATTTTGGGACAATCAAAAAGTCAAGCCTAATTTTGCTTCTAAAAAATTAATTTTTAAAATTCAAAAAATCAAAAAAATATCAAATCTTTTCTAAAGCAAAATAAGGCAGTTAAATTTTATTAATTTCGTTCCAGAATAAAAATGGAAAAGGCTTAATTAACACAAAAAGCGAATGTATATATTTTGTGAAAGAAATAAACAAAAAGAAAAACCCCTCTCCTCTCTGTAAAGCACAAAAATATACAAAAAATTATGTGTTGTCTGTTGTTCGATAATTACTACCAGACTGTTCTAATTCAACAATATTGACAACTGTTGATGTTGGGGTAATTGACATATTTGGATTTGTTGTTTCTTGTTGTTGTTTTATTGTAATTATTGTATCTTTCTGAAAGAGGAAAGAATTGAAAAATTAATTTATCAATTATTTTCCCTAGAATATATTGTTAGAATAATCTATTTCAACCAGGGCTGCTCGTAGTTGTGGATTGTGTGTTTTATTGACTTGCGGAGTGCGGCTGCAGACTTTAAAATTAAAATAGCATATTGCGGCTGCTGAAAATTTTTTTCAGTTGTTTGCAGCCCTGATTTCAACAAATTTTTGGTCTAATTTTTTAAATTTACCCAAATATACCCCAAAGAATAAGTTAAATAAAAAATTACTTTTGGTGGACTTCTCTTCTCTTTAAGTCCTTTTTCTCTACTACAACAAGTAACTAAAGCACTCTCTTGTACATTACAATTATTAGGTAAACAAGCAAAAGCACATTCAACTTCTGAATTATTTGCTGAAGTATCCATCTTAAAATTTATTTTTTAAAAACAAAATAATTCTTTAATTTTACTTCAGCAAATTCTGGTTGTATTGTTGTCGAATGAATGTGATTATCATGAAAAAGTGAACGAATTTGTTCAGCAGCCAATATATAATGCTTTAAAGTACGAAAACGGATATGGACAGTAGCAATAATACATTCACCAACTAAACGCCAAACATGAAATTCGTGGACAGCAACAATGCCCTCAATCTTTGAAACAAATTATTTTAAGAAAAAAAAATTTACATTTAAAAGTTCTTTTTGTAATTGATCAATATTAACAAATTTTGGTGTTGTTTGTAATAAAATAAGTGCAGTTTCTCTGACTAAAAAATAAATTTATTTTAATAGTCCTCTAAAAACAAACCCAAAGGCACCGTTGTACAAACCATTAACAAAACAAGCAAAATACTAAATTTAATTTAAAATAAATATTTAAATAAAAAAAACCTTAAAGTTGGGTCCATATAAAGTTTAAGCCAATCATATCCCTCAATTAACCAAGAAACGAGTGCTGTTGCAATAACAATAACTGAACCAACAGCATCTAAATTTAAATATAAAATCTCTGAGAAATAAATTAAATATTAATTACCACTTAAAACATGAAGAAAAACTGCTCTCATATTTAAAAAGTCCCCTCCTCCTTTCTTACCTAAACAAAAAAATTAAAAAAATTTTTTAAATTTATTACTCGAATTATTTTTTAATTTTGGAGTATGCATCATTAAAGATTCTTCAACCGCTTCCAATTCAGCCATTACCATAGCTCTATCTTGATGTGAATGTAATAAATGTTTAGACTCTGTCCCATCAATAGTTCCACAATCTTTGTCTAAAAGTGTTGATTTGGCAATATCTTCAACTCCATGAGAACCGTGAGAATGCCCTTAAAATTATTTTTATCAATTTAAAAATTAAAAGAAACCAACCAATATGTCCATGAAACATAACCATCCCAATTAAATTTATTAAAAAACCAATAACCCCAACAATCAACACATATAATGGATTTTTAATTGGTTCGGGCTCTAGAAGGCGTTGAATCGACTAAAAATATAAATTTTAAAAATATTCATCAGAATTAAACCTCGATAAAAATAGTAAAACAAAGAGCTAAAAGAAATACTCCATTCACCAAAGCACCCAGAACTTCAGCCCTAACCCATCCAAATGTATTTTTAGCACTTCTACTACGTTCGGCAATCTTTTTTTTAAACAAAATTAATTTTCAAAAAATCTTTTAAAAAAAACCTTTAAACATCCAAAAGCAATAGTTAATGCCATAACATCACTCATCATATGAAAAGAATCAGCAATTAATGCCATTGAATGAGATACATAACCAAAAACAAGCTCGATTAAAAAATAAAAGAAAGTCATTCCCAACATAATTAATAATCGATTTGCTCTAGACAATATTCCAAAAGGACTACGTTTAACACCAGAATTGGTATTTGTGTTTATTGCCTCATTATTTAATTTATCAGATTGTTGTTGTCCACAAGTTTTGAGTTTCTTGGATTGATTCTAAAATTAAATTTTTTTTGTTAATAATCGTTCTGATAACAAGGGCGTAGCCAGGACGTCGATTTCAAGGGGGGGCTTTCAGCGCCACAGGCGAAATTTTTTTCGCCTGTGGCAATTCATTTCCCTCCTAAATTTTTTCATTTCCCCATTTCAGGGGGGCTATAGCCACAGAAGCCTCCCCCCTTGGCTACGCTCTTGTCTGATAATAACAGGGTTATTAGATTTACTGCACTTACTCTCAATAAACAAAATAAAAAATATCTAAACTAACCTTTCTATTTTTATCAACATCTCCATCCATATCTTCAACATAATGCACACTTGTAATTGTCATTGGTTGTTGTTCTTCCCTATTTATTAGATTGTCGTTGGAAATCATCTTTTCATTTATAAATAAAAATTAAAAATAAATTAATTAAAAATATAAATTTGATTAAAAAACCAAATAAATTCTTTTAAAAATTTTTAAAAATTTAATATTTATCTATTTTTTAACAAAAAATTATTTAAAAATATGTTCCCCCCTTTCGACTTTTCTTTTTGCTAGAAATACGTTCTTTAGCCTCCAATCTAGCTTGTCTTGCAAGTTCTTTTCTTTAAAATTTATTTATTTTAATTTCTCTAAATTAAAAAAAACCTTTCCTCAACTTCCTCCAAATATTCTTCAGAAACAAATTCCCGACGTTTTTCTGTCACTAATTCTAAACTAACTTCTCTCAAAATTTCTTGTAATTTATCAAAACAATCATCCATATTGTTTACCTAAAAAATAAATTATTTTAAATAATTAAAAAATAACCGAAGATCTTGTCTTCATTGAAGTAAGAAAGAATTCTTTATTATTATTTATATTTCCCGAATATTTTTGTTGTAAACGTTCTCGGACTTTTTTGGGTAGCCAATCGGCTTCTGAAAGAGAGAATCTAATTTCAGCTTTTGTTGAATCTAAAAATGGAAAGAAATTATTCTTTTGGACAAACAAAGAAAAGATTTACTTGCATTTACATTAGCCCCTCCTGGACCGCTACTTCTTGTCCATTTCTTTAAAATTTTGTCTTTAAAAGGAAATAAATAAATTAAACAAATAAAATAAAATATACTTTTAGGGATTTCTCCATCAAAATAAAGACCTTCAAAATAATCAGGGCCTAAATACTAAAAAATAAATAAAAATTTTAAATAAAAAATATATTCTCTTACATTTTCATTTGATGAACTTGAATATCGAATATATTTTAGAGATGAATTAATTGATAAAAGAGAATTACTACAATGAGAAAATGGGGAATAATGAGTAATAAATGGAAGCTTTAAAGCATCAACAAATTCTTTTGAAAGTGAACGGATAAACATTTCTAAAAAGTTTTTAATTTAATTTTTTTATAAAGCCCAATCTTTCTGGGATGGGTTTTGGGGACGTTTTACTCCCCTAATAATTTTAAATTGCTAACCAATTGCAGTCTTACAAAATTTAAATATAAAATTTATTTTCTACATGTTCAAGTCAGTCAAAGAAAGGCAATAAATATTCCAATTAAATTAAAAAATATTAAAAAGCAAAAATGATAATTTATAAACATTTTTATATAATTTTTTGGTTAAAATTAAAAATTAATTTATAAAATAAATCAAAAAATTTCAATTGCTTGCTGATTAAAATCTAGGGGCAACAATGTCCACAATCTGCGCCCAAATGTGTCGTATTAGCTAAATATATTTGTGAGGCTTATAAGAGGATTACTTTTAATTTTAATTTAATTTATTTATTCACTGAAAAGGACCTTATAAGAAGGTCACTAACATTCAGATAAAAATTGTGAAACAATTGTAAAACAAAGCATATAAAAATGATAAAAATAAAACAAAAAGTAAAAAAATACAAGTCACAATAGTGTATAAAACAAAGAGTGTCCACAGACTGTAAGGAAGTTTATATGAGTTGATTACCCAAGTTGTTTAATCTGGGAGAATGTGGACGCTTGTTTGTTGTAGACATTTTTAAGAAAAATTGAAATGCACAGGTGCTTTAAATTGCAAATCTTAAAATTTGAGTTATATAAATATTAGAAAAAAATAATAAATCCAATTGTTTCTCAATGTGTTTTAAAAATGCTTATAAAGTATTAAAAAAACTTATACATTAATGCAGTGAATGCAAAAAATGAGGGAGGGAAAAAACAAGTGGAGATATTACTAAATTATGAAAAGGTCAAAATGTAAAATACAAAATATATATTTTTAAAAGGGAAATGTCAAAATGTAAAATACAAAATATATATTTCTAAAAGGAAAATGTCAAAATATAAACGTCAAATGAACAGTTATGGTATGCCAACACAAACAGTCAAAATTAGTAAGGTTTTATGGATTTTTAGCTAGTAGTATATACTTCTCTTCTCTTTAAGTCCTTTTTCTCTACTACAACAAGTAACTAAAGCACTCTCTTGTACATTACAATTATTAGGTAAACAAGCAAAAGCACATTCAACTTCTGAATTATTTGCTGAAGTATCCATCTTAAAATTTATTTTTTAAAAACAAAATAATTCTTTAATTTTACTTCAGCAAATTCTGGTTGTATTGTTGTCGAATGAATGTGATTATCATGAAAAAGTGAACGAATTTGTTCAGCAGCCAATATATAATGCTTTAAAGTACGAAAACGGATATGGACAGTAGCAATAATACATTCACCAACTAAACGCCAAACATGAAATTCGTGGACAGCAACAATGCCCTCAATCTTTGAAACAAATTATTTTAAGAAAAAAAAATTTACATTTAAAAGTTCTTTTTGTAATTGATCAATATTAACAAATTTTGGTGTTGTTTGTAATAAAATAAGTGCAGTTTCTCTGACTAAAAAATAAATTTATTTTAATAGTCCTCTAAAAACAAACCCAAAGGCACCGTTGTACAAACCATTAACAAAACAAGCAAAATACTAAATTTAATTTAAAATAAATATTTAAATAAAAAAAACCTTAAAGTTGGGTCCATATAAAGTTTAAGCCAATCATATCCCTCAATTAACCAAGAAACGAGTGCTGTTGCAATAACAATAACTGAACCAACAGCATCTAAATTTAAATATAAAATCTCTGAGAAATAAATTAAATATTAATTACCACTTAAAACATGAAGAAAAACTGCTCTCATATTTAAAAAGTCCCCTCCTCCTTTCTTACCTAAACAAAAAAATTAAAAAAATTTTTTAAATTTATTACTCGAATTATTTTTTAATTTTGGAGTATGCATCATTAAAGATTCTTCAACCGCTTCCAATTCAGCCATTACCATAGCTCTATCTTGATGTGAATGTAATAAATGTTTAGACTCTGTCCCATCAATAGTTCCACAATCTTTGTCTAAAAGTGTTGATTTGGCAATATCTTCAACTCCATGAGAACCGTGAGAATGCCCTTAAAATTATTTTTATCAATTTAAAAATTAAAAGAAACCAACCAATATGTCCATGAAACATAACCATCCCAATTAAATTTATTAAAAAACCAATAACCCCAACAATCAACACATATAATGGATTTTTAATTGGTTCGGGCTCTAGAAGGCGTTGAATCGACTAAAAATATAAATTTTAAAAATATTCATCAGAATTAAACCTCGATAAAAATAGTAAAACAAAGAGCTAAAAGAAATACTCCATTCACCAAAGCACCCAGAACTTCAGCCCTAACCCATCCAAATGTATTTTTAGCACTTCTACTACGTTCGGCAATCTTTTTTTTAAACAAAATTAATTTTCAAAAAATCTTTTAAAAAAAACCTTTAAACATCCAAAAGCAATAGTTAATGCCATAACATCACTCATCATATGAAAAGAATCAGCAATTAATGCCATTGAATGAGATACATAACCAAAAACAAGCTCGATTAAAAAATAAAAGAAAGTCATTCCCAACATAATTAATAATCGATTTGCTCTAGACAATATTCCAAAAGGACTACGTTTAACACCAGAATTGGTATTTGTGTTTATTGCCTCATTATTTAATTTATCAGATTGTTGTTGTCCACAAGTTTTGAGTTTCTTGGATTGATTCTAAAATTAAATTTTTTTTGTTAATAATCGTTCTGATAACAAGGGCGTAGCCAGGACGTCGATTTCAAGGGGGGGCTTTCAGCGCCACAGGCGAAATTTTTTTCGCCTGTGGCAATTCATTTCCCTCCTAAATTTTTTCATTTCCCCATTTCAGGGGGGCTATAGCCACAGAAGCCTCCCCCCTTGGCTACGCTCTTGTCTGATAATAACAGGGTTATTAGATTTACTGCACTTACTCTCAATAAACAAAATAAAAAATATCTAAACTAACCTTTCTATTTTTATCAACATCTCCATCCATATCTTCAACATAATGCACACTTGTAATTGTCATTGGTTGTTGTTCTTCCCTATTTATTAGATTGTCGTTGGAAATCATCTTTTCATTTATAAATAAAAATTAAAAATAAATTAATTAAAAATATAAATTTGATTAAAAAACCAAATAAATTCTTTTAAAAATTTTTAAAAATTTAATATTTATCTATTTTTTAACAAAAAATTATTTAAAAATATGTTCCCCCCTTTCGACTTTTCTTTTTGCTAGAAATACGTTCTTTAGCCTCCAATCTAGCTTGTCTTGCAAGTTCTTTTCTTTAAAATTTATTTATTTTAATTTCTCTAAATTAAAAAAACCTTTCCTCAACTTCCTCCAAATATTCTTCAGAAACAAATTCCCGACGTTTTTCTGTCACTAATTCTAAACTAACTTCTCTCAAAATTTCTTGTAATTTATCAAAACAATCATCCATATTGTTTACCTAAAAAATAAATTATTTTAAATAATTAAAAAATAACCGAAGATCTTGTCTTCATTGAAGTAAGAAAGAATTCTTTATTATTATTTATATTTCCCGAATATTTTTGTTGTAAACGTTCTCGGACTTTTTTGGGTAGCCAATCGGCTTCTGAAAGAGAGAATCTAATTTCAGCTTTTGTTGAATCTAAAAATGGAAAGAAATTATTCTTTTGGACAAACAAAGAAAAGATTTACTTGCATTTACATTAGCCCCTCCTGGACCGCTACTTCTTGTCCATTTCTTTAAAATTTTGTCTTTAAAAGGAAATAAATAAATTAAACAAATAAAATAAAATATACTTTTAGGGATTTCTCCATCAAAATAAAGACCTTCAAAATAATCAGGGCCTAAATACTAAAAAATAAATAAAAATTTTAAATAAAAAATATATTCTCTTACATTTTCATTTGATGAACTTGAATATCGAATATATTTTAGAGATGAATTAATTGATAAAAGAGAATTACTACAATGAGAAAATGGGGAATAATGAGTAATAAATGGAAGCTTTAAAGCATCAACAAATTCTTTTGAAAGTGAACGGATAAACATTTCTAAAAAGTTTTTAATTTAATTTTTTTATAAAGCCCAATCTTTCTGGGATGGGTTTTGGGGACGTTTTACTCCCCTAATAATTTTAAATTGCTAACCAATTGCAGTCTTACAAAATTTAAATATAAAATTTATTTTCTACATGTTCAAGTCAGTCAAAGAAAGGCAATAAATATTCCAATTAAATTAAAAAATATTAAAAAGCAAAAATGATAATTTATAAACATTTTTATATAATTTTTTGGTTAAAATTAAAAATTAATTTATAAAATAAATCAAAAAATTTCAATTGCTTGCTGATTAAAATCTAGGGGCAACAATGTCCACAATCTGCGCCCAAATGTGTCGTATTAGCTAAATATATTTGTGAGGCTTATAAGAGGATTACTTTAAAAGTTAATAGAGGTATATGTATTGCAAGAATTAAATTTTGCTTTTTTCTTTTTTCGAATTACATATTTCAATTATTCTTCTGCACGTATAGCAAGGGTGTATCGAAATGATTGTAAAAAGCGAAAAAAAAGGAAAAGGCGAAAATTTTAGAAACGAAATTTAGATAATTTTAAAAAATTAGAAACGAAACCTTTATTGTACAAAAAATACATTATCTTAAAATGTATTATGTATTAATAACAATTATAAACAACTATATATGTATACATTCATTAATTATTACAAACAATATTATTATACCCTACATATTAACAACAATTATCTACATACATTATTCTTATATTTATTTATTATCCATTTCTTTTATAGTGCCATCGCAGACTTTGCAGTTACCGCCATATTTGACATAGAAGTTCCCGTACTCGATGATTGAGAGACAGATTTGAATGTTGGCTCGTCAGAAATGCAACTATCTTTAACTGATATAATATCAGAATTAGCCATAGATTTCACAATCACTTTACTATTTTGATCAATGTTTAGCAGAAAAGAACTCACAAGTGTTGGCTCTCTTAAATTAAAAAAAAATATTTTTTGTATTCACATTTTAAAAAGGTGGACAATCAAAAATGAGCATTATTATTAGGGTAGTGACGTTTATGGCCCGACTCGATAAAAACAAGCCCGAAAGAATGCCTTCACCGTCGGCCCGCTCGAAAACGGCAACCCTACTTATTATTATCAAAGGCCTCATTAATAACAAATATAATTCCTTCAAATGTTCAAATCGTAACCAAAGAGTTCTCGGATGTCCACATTCAAAAAAATCAGAAACGGAATCTTATTTCATTTATCTACTACAAAAAGTTTACTCACTTTTTAGCCAACCCCTCATCCTCAACAGCCCAACCACAACACAAACGTTCCTCCACAAAATTTCTAATTCTCAATTTTTGATATTCAGGCAAATTAATCATTGCAAGACCAAATTTATGATATTCTTTACATTCTAATTGCCAAAGACTTTTCCGTTCCAAATTCTTCAATCCATACTTTTCAGCTAATTTCAAATGATTTAGCAACTTTTCTGGACTGTCAATTAATTCATTAATTAATAACTAAAAAAATAATTTTTTAAGAGGAATATTTTCTTCTTTAAAAATACCTCTTCCATTTCTCCAACAATTTCATTCATTTGATGATCATTAGCAAAAATAAGACAGGCCCTAACTAAATTAGACTGAACATAATTATTGACACCATAAAGAAGTTGAAATAATGGAAGGACTATTTGAATTAAACGAAGATTTTGATTGGTCATTTCTTCTTTTAAATCATTCGAAATTTTTGGATGATAAACACCTTTATTTTAAAGAAAATTGGGAATTTTTGAGAATTAATTTGAGAATTACCATTTTCAAAATAAAAACACTCCAAACGGCTAAAAGTCCTTAATATCCCAATATTCACAAAAATTATCTTTCCCTCAATTAACATCCCAACATTATTTGGATCACTTGCATCTGTTGGAGTGTCAAAAGTAGGTAATTTGTGAGGATATTTTTGTTCATACAAACAACCATAAACTTTTGGGTCATAACTTAATTGGTCTCTAATAGCCTTTAAAATAATAATTTTTATTTTTTTTCAAAGTTTAAATTACTTCAATAATTGTTGGAATAACAGTTTTATAGTAGGAAGTATCTCCAAAATAATCTCTTGCATTAAACCCTTTCTCTTGAAGATTTTGCCATTCCCCACTTTTAACAGCATTATAACACATTTGTTTAGCTGCATAATCTAGGCCTAATTGAAGTGCTTTATTAACTCTTTGAGGGAAATCTAACTGAAAATAATGAGAGAAGAGTTAAAAGAATTTCTCTCAAAAAATTTACCGAAGTATCATTAACAATATTTTTATATAACGGCCAAAGCAACAATTCATTCCCTAATTTACTTGCAGCAGAACATAATGCCCGAAAATTATCCTCATTTAAGGGGCATTTTGAACGATAGATTCTATATAAGAGTTGAATAAATTCTTCTCGTTCCATATTATAATCAGGAAAGAAAGAAGTACAGGGAGGCATAACTTCACCAGACATTACTTTAAAAAGGAAATAATTTAATTTTTAAAATTTTTATTTACCCAATTTTGGAGTGTACAAAGCCATTAGAGCTCTATCCATTAATGCTGGAGAACTGAATGGAGAAAAGTAAACACTCATATCTCCCTTATAGAATGTTGGCAATTCATTGTAGCTCTGTTAAAAGAAATTATAAATAAAATATTTACTTAATTAATACCTCATAGATATATCTCATTTCCATTTTCATAGTAATGACATTTGGTCCAAAATTTAAAGTCAGAAGATTAGAAGAACATTCATTACTCAAACAAAGAATCTCTGAAAATGCCAGCTTTAACTCATCAAAATTTTCGGAAACATAGAAACGAGCTTGTACAATAGCCTTCCAGCTAGCACCAGAAACTCGAACTTGAGGTACAACAATAACAGAAGTATCGAAATAATCCTAAAATTAAAAGAAAATAATTTTTATTTAATTTTATTTACTTCTGGATTGACATTTTCCCCTTTAGAATGTTTCCCTTCAACATATTTGAATACCAAATCAACATATTTTAATTCAAATTGCACAGAAATATCCCCACGATTTGAACTTCCAGTCAACATTCCTTCTTCGTTTGTTTCCAAAGTAATACCCAAAATATGCTCGTCTGTTCCCATAAACCTAGGGTTGTTCCCAAACAATCCACGAGGATCTGCATTGACTAGAAGAAACTTTGGCCATTCTACAACATCATTTGGTTCGCCGTCACAAGTGACGTTTGTCTATAAAATATTTTAGAATTAAAGAAGAAAAACAAAAAATACCGAGGAACTGCAACCTGACATTTATGAACAAAGTTGTAGGTAGAGGAGGAGAGAAGTCTCTCTTATGTTTATAAACTTTGAAGTTGGTTTAAAATTGGAAAATAAAACATTTTGGTTTTTATAATAAAATATTTTTCAACAATTTTAAAAATAAAATTTTTAAGTTAATATAACAGAAACACTTATTATTTTTTAAATATCCACTTTAATTAATTTTATTTTCATTAAAATCTACATAATATTTATTTATTTTACCCATATAAATATATCCTTCCTTGTCATTAATATTCAAGCAATATTTACTCATAAAAGGTTCGTTCATTTGCAAATAAATAGGCGGAAACTTAAAATGTAAAATAAAATCATTTTTATCGAGAGTTGAGCATCTGCTTTTTTTTATTTTTTCTCTCAATGTTGTAAAGGGCTATTAAAATGTATGTATATTATTATTGCCGAGGTTATATTTCAAATTATTCTTTGATTTAATATTTATTTTTTTGAATATATGTATACCTATCTATATTTTAAGTAATTTATTTACTATAAACGAGAACAACATTTACTTTCATTTTATATTTAAAATTAAAAATTATTTTTAATAATTAATTTAAATAAAAAATCTTTTTAATTTTTCCAATTTCCTTCATACATATTTTTGTCATCTTTTTAAATATATTTATAACCCAAAATCAACTAATTTTAGCATCCTCTTTCTCTCATAATTAACATTCTAAAGATTAATTTATTTATTTTTCCCTAATTAAGAGTACTAATTTTAATATAAAAAATAAATAAATAATTTACCCCCCCCCCCTCCCTTCTTAATTGTCCTCAAAAACAACACAAACCCCCTTATTTTTATTTACAAATTTATGTCACTCATTTAATTGCTAATTGTTAGTTCTTTATTTTAAAAATTACTAAAAATTTATTTATTTATATTTAAAATTGACAAAAATTGAAGACAAATTATTATCTAAATTAACAAATTTTTATATAAAAAATCCTTTTACATACATATGTAAGCTAAAATAATTAGGAAATTGAAAAGTAAAAGAAAAGTAGAAAAATAAAATCTTTAATAAAAAGCTTTAAATTTAAGAAGACCCTCTTTCCCCTCCCCTCCCTCCTCCCTTCCCCTACCCCCTTCCACCCAACCCAAATACTACTCCTTTCTTTTCTAATTTTATTAAATTTATTTTCGATTAGATTTCCTCTCTTTACACTCTCATCTCCTGTGGGAACTTTGGCCAATTTTATCCAACAAATAAAAATTTAGAAGACCGATTGGACAATAACAACACAAAATAACCTTCTTTTCCCTTTAAAAATTGGGAAAAGCTTCTCCCCTTCCCCCTTTCTTCTGATTCTCTTCCAATTTCCACCCCTTTCTTCTCCTCATTTTTGTTGTTACAAACCAATTGGCCACTACCGCTTAGGGAAATGAGGAAAGAATTTGTAAAAATGAAATTTTAAGAAAATTTTTTTTACAAAATTTTTAAAATTCATTTTTGTTATAACCTTTCAATAAAAAAATTAAAAAATTCTTTTCAGTATATGTAATTATTTCATAGACATACTATGTATAATTTAAATTATTTATTATAAAATTAAATAATTTTATATAAATTTTCAAGATAAAATAAATTATTTAATAATTTTTAATGCTTAGATTAAAGTAAAAAATCCAACTACATATTTTTTTCACATTCATTTCAAATTAAATCCTTTATTTAATTATTCTGATTTTTAAACTAATTTTTGAAGCTAATTTATTAAACCTTTTTATATTTAATTAATCATTTTATTTCTGTCACTCTCATTAATTTCTTCTTCTTCATTCAACATTTGTAGAAACCTTTTATTTTAAACTTTTTTTCCTTTTTATTAAAAACTAATTTTTTTCTTAAATTTCCTCATTTATTTAAATAAAAACATAAAAATCCTTAGGCCAATTTAGTTAATTTTATAAAAATAATTTTCACTCAAAAAAGGCCAAGTTAAGTGTGGATATTCTCTTATATTTCTTTATAAGAGGCCACTCGTAAAGCTTTACCCCCTCCCCTCTTCTCCCCCTTCCAAACACTTTTTGGTCTTTTTTCTTCATTCTTTTCTAACTGATGATGAGGATTGGCAGATGAGAGAAATTAGAAAAGAGAAAATTTTTATTTTATTTTTATATCCCTTCTTGGTTATTTAAAGATTTTTTGTTGTTTTTTTAAAGATTTATTTACGAGTTTAGTACAAAAAATGTTAAAAAGAATTTAATTTAAAGGAAAGGAAAAGTAAAGAGGTTTTCTAAACTTTGAGTAAAGAACGAAAAAATAAAAATACATATTTAAAAAACCAAATTTTCCTCTAAAATTTCTCTGCTGCCTTAATTTAATTAAATAATTTTTTAATCAAGAATCTATTCGATTTTACATAATTTCTTAATTTACGTATTTCCCCTCGATGAATTCGAAGAATTTTAATCTTTTTTAATTTACTATTTATTAGACATTTGTCAAAATTTTGTGAATTTTTCAAATAATATAATAAATATATTTAATATCTAAAAAAGTCTAGCCATTTTTAAAAAATTCGAGGAAAAATTTATGTAATTATTAATGCTATTTATGTATCTATTAAAAGAAAGCTACTTTTATTCTATCAAGCTAAAATTTAATTTATTTCCTACAACATAGCTTTGTCGAAATATGTACAAAGCTCTTCATTTAACCCCCTCATTATAATTCCAACAAAAACATTTATTATATAAATTTTCAAATTAAATATATAAAAATTTTACATAGTTAAGAAGTATCGAGGAGATATTTTTAATTAAAAACATTTCTTTTCTTTTTTAGTTTTAATATTTTGCAATAACAAAAAATAATTTTAACAAAAATTTTCTTTAAAAAATGTTCTTCATCATTTATTTAATTATTTTATTTAAATTAATTAATGGTAAATTAACTTTTTATTAAAAAAAAAAGAATTTTTATTTAATTAAAGGTGAAATCTCTATTCGTCCACCAGGAATTGGAAAAAATAATTCAATATATATTTTAAGTTTAAATTCTCCTTTACAGATAGATTGTGAAGTTGAATATGGAGATTTTGATGATATTGAGGATATTAATGCTTTGGAGTGGGTGAGGGGGAAAATGAAAATTGGAAATAATTGGTTGAGGTATTTGGAGTTTTTAATTAATTTAGTAATGTTTTTATGCCCCCCTCCTCCCCTTCCCAGGGCTGTCTGCAATTGAAAAAAAATTTTCCGCAACCCGCAATTTTAATTTTAAAATACGAAAACGCAATCTTAGCAATTGCGGACAGCCCCCTTCCCTTTTTTAAAATAAATTAGGTAACTTTTATTCAGTATTAATTTTAATTAACTCCTTTTAATCTAAAAATATTTTTTATTTTTAAATTTCAAAAGCATATATACACAACCAAAAATTGATGAAAAGCGTCGCTGGCTTCGTCAATCACTTTACATACCAAAAATAACTGAACAAAATTCTGGAGAATATAAATGTTTATTTTTTGATGATTTACAAAAAACAATTAATTTATTTATTTTAAGTAAATTAATTTTAATTTAAAAAATATTTTCTTTTTTAAAGAAAATTTGGAATGGAAAACAAAAATAAACAAAATAGGTGCACAAATAGGGCAACCATTAACAATAAATTGTGGGGCAGAAAATATTCCAGATGAAGCAATTCAAATACTCGATTCGAAAGGAAGGGCTATTGAAGAAGTTTTGGATGAAGTTGTGGTTACTGGGGCTGAAATTACTTTAACTAAAATTGGAAAAGAACATAAAGGATTGAAAGTAAATATTTAAATAAATTATTTTGAAAATATTTATGAAAATAGTAGATAATTATTATTTACATATAAGAGCGGGGGCGTTTCCTCCCCGCCTATAGAAAATGAAGCAAATTTTTTTTTAGATTTTTAGAGCTTTTTTGGATCAAGCCCCATACAAACTTTTGATACATATTTTCTGGGATGAGTTCGGCTGCTTTACTTTATTTAAAATTAAAAACAAATTAAAACATCCTTAAATATCCTAAAGTAATTTAATAAAAAATAATTAATTAAAGTAAATATCTACATTAATATCCGAAAAATAATTTGTAAAAAATATTTATTTATTATCAATTTAAATAGATTCGTTGTGTTGCAGTTCGCCCAATAAATTAAAAAAATTTGGGATTGAGTGAAGATTTGGATATTAATTCTGTTGATTCTGTACATACAGATGAATTAGATTTAATTATTGATGTTTGGAGTAAGTTTGGAATATTTTTAAATAATTTAATATTCCCTCCAAAAGTTCCCCCAAAATTTGACGATCATTTTTCTTCTTCCAATCACCGTCATTATGCAATTCCCGGCTCTAAACAATTACTTCGTTGGACTATTGAAGAATCTAACCCTTCAGTTAAAATTTGGACTTTAAATAAAGATGGAGAAATTTTAATTGAAAAAGAAAAAATTAAAATAATCCAAAATTTAAATGAAACAACAAAACCTTTTTTTGCTGTTTTGGTTTGAAATTTAAGATTTAAATTTAAAAAAATTATTTTAATAGATAGAAAATGTACAGGATGAAGATTATGGTCGTTATACATTAACTGCACATAATGGAATATTAGAATCCCAACAAACACAAACACTCGTTATTACACGTTTGTTTTTAATTAAAAGGAACAAAAAACAAAAATTATTTAGAGCCTCCTTCACAACCAAAAGTTTTTGTTGATTGGGTAAGTAGTAATGGTTCTGTTAGTTGGAGAATAGAAGAACAAAAACAAAATAAAAACCAATTAAATGTTGCCTATTTTTGGATTTTTTACAAACAAATTAGTAAAAGATTACAACAACAACAACAAATTAATTATTTTAAAGTAATTTTCAATAAATAATTAAACAAAAATAATAATTACTAATTTTAAGTATAATTACTATAATTAAATAGTAAGAGAGAGGTGTTGGTAGTGAATTATAAATATTTAGTTTCTAAAAGCGACGTAAGCGAGCGGGGGTAAATGATATTGTAATTAACTACTTAACTCAGCTTTTAGCATAAATTTGAGTAAACACATTAATTAATCTCTCTCTATTTTCCCCTTTTAAGCATTTTCTTCTTCTCTTTCTAAACTTCTTAAAATATTTTTAAACATTTTTTAGAATAATTCATTAAAAATCGAAACTACAACTTTGTCTAATTTATTATCAAATACAACAATTTCAATCCAAACATATAGAGTTAGAAGAAGAAAAAGTAAAAAATTTAAAAGAGAAATTCTAATAATTATTTTTTAATTAAAAAAGATTTAAATAATTTATACGAAATTGCTGGTTTAGAGCCTTTTACAGAATATGAATTTATTTTTGTTGCTGGAAATCAAGCAGGTGAAAGTGATCCACTTTCTTTTAATTTAGAAATAATTGAAAGAAATAAAAGAAACGATAAAAATAATAACGAGGAGGAATATTTTGGAATTAATTATTCGACTAAAAATTATTTTAATTATTTTTTATTTTTAATATTTTTTATTTATTTTAATTTATTTAAAATATTGTAAATTCTTTAAAAGTTTTTCAAATATCAATTATAGACTTATTCTTTTAAATTTAAAAAATAATTTATCTTTGGGAATTTCTCAAATATAAAAGTCTATAAATTAACTGAGCTTTTTAAAGTTTTTTCGTCTTTTTTCTCTGTATAATTTATATTTTAGTAATTTATTAAATTCAATTTTAAATATTTTTTAGTAAAATTCAAAGAAAAATAGTCTAAGATTGTTTAAATTATCTTTTTGTTTTTAATTCTTTTTTAATAAAATCCAAATAACAATTTAAAAATAATTATTTAATCCATCAAATTAGAATATCAAACATGAAGTGATTTAAATAAAAAAAATTAAAATAAAAGTGAAAGTTTATTTAAAAAATAAACAAAAAAGTTTAAAGAAAAATAAAAAATATTTTTTTCATTTCTCTAAACTTTACCATGATTAAATTTTTAAGGAATTTATTTAAAATATAATAAAAATAAAAGCAAATTAATTAAGCATTTTTAATTTTACAAATATTCTCCCTTTAAAAAATTACCGGAAGTGTCAATTTAATTTAATTCTTTTAATTTTCACCAATTTTTGTCAATATCAATATTCCACGACCATTCAAGCCAACGATTTTTATCATCATCAGAAATTAATGAACGAACTCTATATTTACCTCTGCTTATTATACCTGAAAAAATATTAAAAATAAACTTAATTTTCGAAAAATATTAAAAAAAATATCTCCAGATTTTTAAGTTCCCCGGCAAAATTAAATTGGAAAAAGGGAGTTGTTTTTTAAATAAATTCGCTTATTTAAATATCCCCCACCCTAAATATATTTCTAAAGCTAACAATAAGTGTAAAAACTTACCAGAAGGTGCTTCTTCTAATGGAGTATCACAACTAAAAATTTAACATGTCTACAAAAAATAAAAAAAAATTAACCAATAAATTTCATGTCTCGGAGCAAAAGATCCAAGCATATAACATTCCTTTGTTACTTTAAAAATTAAATCTTTTAAATTAATTTTCGATTAAAAAACCTGAAATTCCAAGTCGGGTAACTTTGTGTAAATATTTTAGACCAGAAACTATTTCTCTTTGAACGTGAAATTCAAAACGAATTTTATAGGCACAACCCTCTTTAACAGAAAATGTAAAGTCAGTACTTGCTAAACAAAATTTTATAACAAAAAAGAAATTCTTTCAAAAAAAAAACCAGGTAAATCCATGCTGTGTTTAACCTCTCCATCAACTACCAAAGAAATTCTTTTGACAATAACATTATTTGGATTGCTCGGATCAACAACTATTGGCCCATCTTCGGCAGGCAAAAGAGTCTCTTTATATCTAAAAATTATTTTTTTAATCCAAAAAATATCTCCAAACTTTCTAAGGCTTTCATCTTCCTTGTCTGCCTCCAACAATTCTACCACAGATTTTCGAGCAGGAATTAAATAACTTGCAGTCATAAACTCGTCAACATCAATTGGGGAATCACCAGAAGAGGAAGTTGGAGTATTTTCAGACATTTCTTAAAAGAAATTTAAAATTTTTTTTAATCTAAAAACATGTAAAAGTAATTATTTGTAAATTTTGTTGATTCATTTTGTAACAAAAAAAATAAAAAAAAATAAAACTATGAGAATAATATTGATTCTTCTATTTCTTGACTTGCAAATTTTTAAAAAAGAAAAAGTGTGTCAACGTGAGACAATACTGTTGGGATTTTTAGAAGGAAAAAAATAAAAGTTTTAATGTTAGTATTAAAGACAATCCCGTAGGACTTGCAAAATTCAAGGTCATTTTTTATGACAAATGTTGTTTTTGTAAAATTTTTGAAAAGAAAAACATGACAAAAAAGCTGACTGACAATAAAGAAAAAACTTTAACGTGAAGTAATAAAATAGTAGTTAGACTCTAATGACCTTCTTCTTATCTCTTGAACTTAGAGTAAGGAACGGGATCGGGAATTCCTGGCTTTACCGTTTCAGACCCCAGACGAACAGGGAGAGCCTAGAATTTTCATTTCACGTCTCCCAATTTCGGATTCTTTGGACCGTAAAAAGTTTTAACAGCAAGAAATTAACAGATTATAAATTTAGATATTATGCATTTATTATCTGTGATGTAATGTCAACAGAACATGAAATAGCTTCTCCCATTCCTCGTCCAAGTCTTTCTTTGAATAGTGCAACAAATTGTGAATGTGTCGAAAAGTTGCTTTCTCACACAGCTAAATTAGTTAAACGTTCTTTTACATCTTCAAGTCAAACAGGTAAAAATTAATTTGTTTTTTTATTTTTTTATTTTATAATTTAGAAAATACAAAAGAACATTATGAAAATAAATGGGCAAAACTATTCAAAGAATATATTCTTAATCATGAACATTGCACAAATGAAAATTGTGCTTCCCACCATGATGGTATTTTTATTTTTTATTGATTTTCTTTAACAATTTCTAGACATGCTTTGGTTTGTTCCTCTAACCAAAGTTGCCAACTCTTCCACAATAACTAATGAGGTATGACTAACATTTTTTGATTCACATTTTTTAGCACTTTAAGATTAGTCATTTGCAAGTATTTCGCCGTCAAAGTCGGAATAAACCTTCCGTTGGTGATCGGGATGTAAATTGGCATGAAACTTTATGTCTTAATTTAATTTTACAGCAGGTATTGTTTATTTTGATTTAAATTATATTTTTTAATTTTTTAAGTTGGATTATTTTGTTACATGTGCTGTTTGCACCAAAAATTCGCCAACTAATATGCAAATTCATCGGAAAAACTTTCAGGTTCCAATTTTCCTTTTCTTCTCTAAATTTTTATATTTAGCGTGTTTATCCATCTCCGAGTCGCCGAAGAATGGATGCAAAAGGAGAATGTGAGGAAATAACCTATCCAAAAATTTACTTTGCTATCGACAGTTTTGATGAAGTAAATTAAATATTTTTGATTGATTTTGAATTCTTATTTAGAATTTTTAAAGGTCTTTAATGATATGATTATTGGGGAAGGTGAATGTATTTGTGTTGAACTTATTGCTAAAGATCGGAACAGAAATGTTGAAGCCGTAATTTTTCTTGGTTCTATTCGCTATGATATTTTAAAGAAACTTTATGATTCTAGAGTATCTGAATTTAAATTAAATAAATTTAAAAACAAATTAGAATTCTGGAACTTGGAATTGGGCACAACGCTGGATGAATGTAGGAAAGCAACGCCACGAATTTGTGAAAATGCGCGGACCACGAGGGAAAGGTTTTGCTGAAATGGCTGTGACAAAAGTTGCCGGATGTGGATTTGATACTCCAATGAGTGAGAATGGTTTTGATTTTAGTGGAGGCAGAGGATTGGGAGGATATGATGTAAAATTTTTTTTCAAGTGCTGACACTTACAATTAAAAAAATTTTTTAGCGTCGACTCTCAGATACAGGTGGAGGGTTTTTCTCTCGTCTAATTGCTGGTGCTGGCCCAAGAAATTCGGTGTTTGGTGGTCGTACTCCTGGAGGGCAAGCACCTCCTTCAGCAACACCTACAATTTATGCAGTTGGTCAACGTGCTTCAAGTCGTTGGTTTCCAGAAGGTGAACATAACACTGATGATGAAGGGGCAGATATTGTAGAAGCGAATGGTAAATGGTAATGGTTTGGGGTACATTTAATTTTACTTTTTAAAGATACTCGAAGTTTGGCTGGAAATATGGCGTCTTTAGTCAACAGAAATAGTTGGTCTATGCGTCAGATTGGGAATACGCTTCAAATGTTAAAAGAAAAGAATGAACAGCCTGAGCAGTTACAAGCTTTCCTGACTTACATTAATTTGCCTTGGCCTTCTATACTCGATGGTTAAAATTTTATATTTTTTTTACAATTTTTATGTACACGTTTTTCAGATATTCTTACAACAAACAAACGTAAACCTATTTTGACTTTTGATTTTCAATTACAAAAACCGCCGGGCATTGCTCGAAATCAATGAGACTATTTTTGTTTTAATGTTTTTTTTTAAATTCTACTTGCCATCACTAGTCTAAATAAACCTCGGTTTTTAGGCATTTATTATATTTATTCTTGCCCCTTTTATTTTTAAACTTGTAGAAATCTTTATTTTTGAATTTATAAGATTAGTTATTTTCTTTTAATACAGAATATTGACATTTATATTTAGTACTTCATTTTTATCTCTTAAAAATATTATTGAACTGATTCTCTCACATTGAACATCATTCCAATTATTTCTGCCAGTAATCTTCCACATATTTAATTTTTGAATTATTCCAATGGTTGTTTATATTTTTATCCATATCAAGTCTATTTGACTAGTCCTAATAAATATTAGAATTTATTTATTTTGAAATTATTAATTAATTACAATCTTATTGCTAATATTTTACAATTTTTCACATTCAAGTTTATTTTAATATAAATTCAGAAACTTAATATAATAACATCGAATGCCTCTAGGAAATGATGTTAGCGGTACAGAAAAGAAAGGCCCAACAGAAGAAGTTGATGATGAATTCGTTTGTGACTCTGATGAGCTACTTCCTTTTTACACATACAGGGATTTATATCTTCGTCCCATTCACAAAGTTAGAATACAGGTGGATCTTCCCAAGCTACGACAGTTGGGACAATCAATTTCTAATTGGGAAATTAGAGAACGACTAAAGAAAATGCTTGGAAAAGTTGAGGTAGATTTTATAAAAAATAAATCTAGTAAAAAGTTGGTTTGATTTATACTGTCAATTTAGTTATCCGATTTCAAAGTGCAAGAAAGTACTCTGGAAGAAGTGGTTTTTGTGGCTACTGTTAATACTGGCGTCAACGCAAAAACTGTTAGTATTAAAAAAATATCTATGTTATATTAAAAATATTAAAAGCTTAAAATTTCTTGCAGGCAATTAGTCTTTTGAATGGCATTACCTTCCGAGCTATTGGCTTCACAGAGCCACTATCGGTTAAAGCAGAATGTGCCAAACCCGATTTTCCAACACGAATTGATTGGGATGCGTTCTTTGCGTCAAACAAAAATTTGGATGAAAAAGAACCAGGAGAACGGCCAGATACAGTTTATATAAGTGGATTGCCATTCGACTGGTTCAAGGTTATTTTAGAATTGCCTGTACTTATTCTTTTTAAGATAAAATTTTAATCACCTCTAATCTCGTTTAGGACCCAATTGAAGGCTCTACTGAAAACACTTTCAAACACATTTTTGCCGAATATGGAGAAGTTATTTGTGTGGACATTCCTCAATGCGATCCAATACGAAAGGAGATGGACCAGGAAATTTCAGGGATTCAGCTTTCTTCTTGGCTACTTGGACAAGTGTGAATTGACAAAATACAGATGAGTAGAAAATTTTTGGTTTAAGTTTAAATTTAAGCCAAAAAATTTAGAACTCTAAAAAACTTTTTAAAATATATACTAATTTCTATTTTTGATAGGATCCATTCTTTGAAGTTTATATTCAATTTCGAGAATATGTTAGTTTTGCACAAGCTATGGCTTTTCTTGGAGGTAAAAATTTGGTACAGAAAAATCCAAATGGAGAAATTCGAGAAGCTAAAATTAGGGTAGTTTTTAATTTTAAATAATTTTTTAAATAAAATTATTTTAAAGGTTGATTTTGATCGGACATCTCATTTGAGTATTAGAAAGATTACTCAACGAAAATTGCGTCGAATGTGCCTTGAATACGAGCGAGATAAACAAGAACAAAAGAAAATGGATGAAAGCAAAAGGCTAGAGGAAATGATTAGAGAAGAGAAGGAAAAACGAGATAGAGACGAACGTGAACGTGTTATGCGTGCCTTACTTAGGGCTGAGAGAAGACAACGAATGGTATTAGTTTAATTAATCTTTGAATTTAAAATATTTTTTAATTAAATTTTCAGAGAGAGAAACGAGATTTTGAACAATTACTGCGAAAAAAATTAAAACATCGACTTACTCATAAATTGGAAAAGATTTGGAAGGAACGTCAAAAAGGAGCAAAAGCACTTCTTCGACATGTTGCGGAAATTTATAGAGTACTTGAATTATCAGATTTGTTACTTTTTAATTTTAAGGAAAAACAACAATTAGAAAAACAACGTTTAGAGGAACAAAAAGCTTTAGAAGCACCAATTCATGAACTAGCATCTGCCTTTGTTCGTGAACAAGGACTTCCAATGGAAGAAGAAATACGTCAAAGAATATTGCGAAAACAAGAATTAAAGATGAGAACAAGGGTAGGGGAGATTTTTAAATATAAAATTTTTATAAAAATATTTAATTAGATAACAAGTCGAATGATAACTGAATGTGCAGCAGAAACAAAAAGAAAAGGTTATAAAAGGAGTCAAATGAAAATAGTTTTTGAAAGATGATGGAAAGCTTTTTTGGAATTAAATTACACTGCCGAAATACGGGTCTTTTTGTTTGTTTGTATATTTTTACTTGATAAAAATTAAAAAAAATAATAATTTTAAATTATCAATAGATTATTGACGTTAATTCGTTATTATCTTTTAAATGATGTTTTTAGTTTATTAATTTAAAATTAAAAGTATTTAATTAAAAATGGAAGGCAACAAATTTGGATTAAAAATACAAAAGAAACCAGACGAGGACAAACAAACATTAAAACCAGCATCAGTTTTTGATACAAATTCTGATGATGATAACGATGAAAAGGAAACAAATGATGAAAAATTTCAAAGAAAATATGCAGTACCGACAAAATTGTAAGTTATGATAGGGTGGGGATTATTTTGTCTGATAAACATAAAAATTTTAGAAAAGACAAAAAAATATTGGAAAAAGCAATAGCCGAGGACCCAACAATTTTTGATTACGACAGCCAATATGAGGAAATGCAGAAAGTCCGTGATCAAAAAATAATTGAACAGAAAGAAGCGGACAAAGAGAAAAAGGTAAAGAATATTTAAAATTAATTTTAAAAAATTATTTGTTTAGCCAAAATATGCCCACAAATTAATTGAAACACACAAACGAAGAGAACTTGAAAAACTTTTACACGATGAACGGACTTATAAAAAAGAACGTGAAAAGGAGGCTGGTGAATTTGATGATAAGGAAGTTTTTATAACAGGAGAATATAGAAAACAAATTGAAGAAAGGGAAAGTTTTAGAAAAGAATTGGAGGAATTGGACAAAATGGATGGTAAAAAAATAAAGAAAAAATTATTCTTTTTAATTTTTTGTTTAGAAATTAGAGATGTAAAAAATCAGAAATTGTGGCAACAAGCATTTCATAGAAAAATACTTGAAGATAGGGCAAGAGTATATCCAGATACTTCACAAAAAGAGGAAAATAATATAAAAGAGGAAGAAAATGAAGAGAAAATATTAACTAAAAATAAAAAAGAAAATGAAGAAATTATTAAAGAAGAAATTGAAGAGACGGGGAAAGAAGGGAAAATTAAAGAGAATTACCGAGAAGAAAATGAAGATAAATATGAAAGAGGAAGAAGAGAGCGAAGTAATAGCCCTAAAAAATTTAAAAGAATATCTGACGATTCTAAAAGTGAGAAAAACGAGAGGTCATTACCTTCCTTTATTCCTTCAATTGACGATGAAATTAACGAAGAAATACGCCGAATGGAAAAAATAAGACAAATTTTACGACGTCGTAATGATGAAAATGCGGTGGCAGTAGCTAGATTGAGATATTTTGAACGTAGAGAACAGGGGGAAATTGTACCACCATTTTAATTTGTTTTTACGGAATAAAATATTTTTAACAATTATTCCAAATACAAACAATACTTATATATCACCCAACATATTCCTTTCTTCACCCAGCATTATTGGGCCTTCAGACAACTCCATCATCCATATAGGCGGAATCACCAGGCCTGACTTAAAAAATAAAAAATTTCAAAAAAATTTTTAAAAATCTTTTTTTTTACGTTTTTTCTGTGGCGCCTCCTTTTCAATTCGCACTCCTTTTGACGTGAATCCTGTCTTGAATACGTCCTTTTTGTCAGCAAATTGTAACGTATCATAGTCAGGATGGTCATCAATATCTTCCTCCATTGGAAACTTCTTTTCTGCCTCTTCTGAAAAATTTAAAAATTCTTCAAAATATACTTTTTTTCCTCACTTTTTTCCTTTTCTGCAAACGCTGTTAAAACAGCCGAAACTTTCTTCTCTCCACCAATTTCTCCAATCATCGGCGCCAATGCTGTTGGTGTTGAAGTATCTACAGAACCGGTGAATACTCCAGTCTTTGTTTTTGTCTTTGACTTTAATGGATCTTCCTTGTTAGATTGAGGTTCCGAAGAAATAGCTGTTGGCATTTCTTCTTAAAAAATAAAATTTTATAAAAAAAATTATAAGAAATTTTACTTTCATCTTTATTATTCTCTTTTGACTTGGTCAACGTTGACGGCTTTTGGGCCTTTCCACTGGGACCATTCTTTTTCTTCTTCTTGTTGCCCTTCTTGACTTCTACTTTTTGTTTCTCATTTGCTGACATTTCTCTCCTCTTCAGCACTTTCTTGACTTTCTTCTGTAAAAATAAAATGATAAAAGAAATTATTTTAAGATGCCCCAAACCTTTTTACAACAGCATTGCAGAGCAACAAACACAAACATGTTAACGATGAAGTAAAAGAATGGTAAAAATCCCCAAAACATTGACATTACCCTAAGATTGTTGTGATAACTAAAATGAATGAAGGAATAGAAGACGAGAAAGGTTAGAAAATGCTTTTATAATTTTTGTATTGGGGGGAGGGGGAAAGCAGGAGAGAGAGGAGGATTACTCGAGAACAAATTCGAATTGATGTCAGAATTCTTTCGATTATTTTACTAACTACATATATTTTATTCATTAATTTTAAAGAAAATTTAAAAAATATTCATCTTTTAGGTAAAAATATGTCAAAATTATTTAAAATATCTTTGGAAGGAATATCAAAAAAACTTTGCTGAAGTGCGCTCTTTTCAATTAATTAATTAGAGCAATGCCAATAAAAGAATTTTTGAATGGAATTAATTTATGAAGCAAATCAAAATTCAAAAAAAATTTTAAAATAATTCCATTCAAAAATAGCAAATACAAAGCAATTAAAAAATTATTTTAAGCATTCATTCTCTTCGAAAAAAATTTCTTTTCTTCAAAAAATTAATTAAAGTCCATCATCGACAGGCTTTTTAACATTTTCCTCTATTATAAAAAATATTTTCAAAATATATAATTTATTTTACCTTCTTTTTTGTTTCCTTCCTGTCCAATTTGTCCATCTAGTTTATTAAAAGCAATTGTTCTAATTCCGATACCCTCAACTTGGTCAGCATCGATACCTCTAAAATTTAATTTTAAAGATATTTATTTATTTAAAAACTTCTTACTCTTTATTTTTGTTAAACTCAAAATCCTTTCCAGAATTAAAATCTTTAAATAAAAAATTTAAAAAAAAATCTAGATTAAAAAAACCAATTTTTCCTTTTCCATTATCTCCTCCAAAATCAATCAAATCACTTCCCCCTCCTCCTCCACTTTCTTTTAATTTTTCTTCATTAATATTTATTTTACTTCCACTTTCAACCATTGTAAGGTCAATACCATTAGCATTAAAATTAGCCATACAACGCTCATATTTTTCAAATGTTGCATTAAATTCATCATTTATTGAAAGTAATTCATCTAAATATTTATTGACAAAAATTAAATAATTAATTTTATTTACATGTAACTTCTTCATTTGCAACGACTGGAATTAATTCAAGTACTCGTTTTTGCATTTCTTTACATGTTGAATATAATTCCTAAAAAATTAAAAAAATATTTTTTACACGAGGGATCCTCCTTTTATGTATCCCTCCTTTTTAATGGAGGGATACATTAGTCAATTTATTTAATAAAATATTCCCTCTTTCCTTACATTAATAAAATAAAAATCTTCTGGAGGCTCTTTTCCATTATTTCCAGGTTTCATTTGTGCAATCAATTCACGAAGTACAGTCATATTGACATGAACTAAATCTAATTCTGAACGTAATTTTGCCATTTGATCTTGTACTAATAATTGAAGTGTTGGCTGAGAGGAATTAGTAGAGGAAGAAATTGGGTAATTAGGGAATTGTTGTTGTTGTGGAGGGGCTGTTTGGGAAGATGGAACAAATACTGTCTGAAAAATAATAATTAAAAAATTAGAGGGTCAGAAAGTCTGTTAGTATTTGACACAGAATTATCTTAAAGATTTTACCTGTTTTGGAGTTATAATTGGCGCCATAGAATCCAAATTTGTTGCAGGAAATTCCACTCCTTTACTTTTTAACTCATCATACATTTCAACAACACCAGAAAATGTAGGATTGTCACGAAAAGCATCAGCCCATGACTTAAAAATTTTTTGTTTGTTAAAAATAATTTTAAAAGAAAAACCTGTACAAGCGCCAAAACACGTTCCTGCACAATTTGAGGCGCATCATATTTAACACTAATTAATCGAATCATATCAGCAACAAATTCTTTATGGCAAACCAAAGTTGTAAAACGTTCATCACAATTTTTAACACAAGTCTCCAAAACAGTTAAAGTATACATTACACTAAAAATAAATTATTTTAAAAATTTAATGTTGTTTTTTTGGATATTTTTTAATTTAACAATTTATTTGCATGCAGGGACGGGTAATAGAAATAATTAGAGAGCACGATTTCAAAAAATATTGAACTTGATCCTTGACCTTAATTTTGCTTGGGTATCTTGACCAGACTCTTGACCTTGAGTCAAGGAAAAATCAAGGAACTCTGAAAAATGCCTTATTCTGGACTCTTGATCCAGGAAAAATCAAGGTCTGGATCCAGATCCAGCCCGTTCTCTAGAAATAATATTATAGATAATAATTAAAAGTTAAAACCAAATTTAAAACAAATAAAAAATTAAATATACGTTGCGTTATTCTTTCCCATTTGTGTTTGTAGTCTCTTTTTAATAGCTTTAACAGCATCTCTAGGTCTATAATAAATTATTTAATAATAAATTCTTTAATTTAAAAAATACCCTTCATTCGTTGAATTTATAAAATCACAAATTTCCATATTTAAGCCCCAATTTTCTGTAGCAAGTCTTGTTGCATCTGTTGCAAGTTCTGAATTTTAATTTTTATTTAAAAAATTTAGGAAAAGAATAAACCTATTTTCCTTCCAACAGGAGTGTCAAAAGGATTTCCTTGAAAGAAATCAGAAACTTTTTGTCCAACACTCTGTGCTGCTTCCCCCATACGTTCCATAGCATTTGAAACTTGTTCTTGAACATTACTCATTTTGCCTTGCACGTTTTCCATATTTTTTATTTTCTATTAAAAATAAATTAAAAGTTAAACAAAATAATTAAAAAATAATTAATCAGCAATTATTTAAATAAATATCGTTGAAATAATTGGTAAAATGAAAATTATCATCCTGTTAACAAAATGTATAAAATTATTTGGCATTTTATATAAAATTTTTTAGCAGAATTCAATTTTTGGTCAAAATTAGCCGGCGCAGGAAAGGACTCAGCCCAACAAAATGCTGAGTTTGGAATAGCAGAAACTTTAGATAATTATACATATATTACCAAAATTTGTTTGGAGACAGCATTTTGGTGGGGAAAATTTTTTAAATTTAATTTTACAAATTATTAATGTTTATGTATGAATAAGTTGGACAAAATTATTTTTAATTTTCTCAAAAGCACCAATTTCTTCAGACAAAATTATAAAAATAAATATAAAAATTATATTAAAGGGAAATTCTTTTGTCTTTATTTAATTTTGAGATCAATAGTAATCTTCTTCCGGTTAAGAATGAAAAAATTAGGAGGAGGAACCAGTTTAACTAGGAACCAGACTTTTTTCGAGGGACCCAGTTTAGTTGAACTGATAATGGACAGACATTTCTGGAACCGGAGAACATTTAAATATTTTTTCTATAATTTTTTTGTTAATTTTTTAAAAATTCTTCTTTTCTTATTTCCACTAATTCATTATAAGTAGAATTAAGTAAAATAGGGGAATACCCATGTTCTGCAATTAAAGTTTTCCACCAGTCTGTGTTATCAACATGAGGGAATGGAGAAAAGTTTGGATTATGTTGTGGTTGAATTGCTAATAAATAGGAGAGAATACCTAAAAAAATATTTTTATTTTGGAGGGTATTTTTATTTTAGAATAAATTTATCAAAAAAAACCTGTATAAATATCATCAAATATAAAAATAGCAGTGTGTTGAATGGCAATATAAAATTCATTAATAGACTGTCCAGAAAGTAGAACAGCACCAGCTGTAATATATGGTGGATAGGCATTGAAAGGATATTCTGATATGCTTACCTAAAATTTTTTTTAAAATATTTAGTTAAAAAAGAATAAATTCCTTACTCTAAATTTTCTCCATCTCAATCGAAAGGGAGATGTATCATAACGCCAACCCATATATAACCTTTCATGGGCAACATGTTTTTCAACTTCTGCTGCTAAATTCCAAGGCAAAAGTAAATAATCATCATCCAATAACAAAACAAAAGGAACAGTTCCCCCATTACAATAATTATGTGCAAATTTAATTGAATATATAAACTTTAAATTAAAAATTCTTTAATTAAAAAAATATTTACCTTTAAAGTATTATTAAAATAATTGTCAATAAAATCTCCAATAATTAAATCTTCATATTTTTTATTTTCTACTTCTAAATTATCCATTACAGAATCAACAGGCTTTCCAAAAACAAAAATTATTCGAAAACGAAAACCACCAGTTAAATTCTCATTTTCTAAAGAAGAACCAAAAGTTGAACGAATTGCTTCTCTATTCTTTTTTTTTAAATTAAAATAATTTATTTTTATTTAAAAGAAAACAAACTTTAATTCGCTCAGGAGCACTTTTTACAATAACAAGAATTGAACGTTTTCGAGTTAACCGATTGTTTTTACAAGTTGGGCGATAAAGAAATTGAAATTGTGTCAAAAGATTAATTGGGGGTATTTCTGTTGAATAACCAAGTAATTCTAATGAAACCTTTAAATAATTAAAATTATTTTGTGAGGGGGAGAATTGGAAATTCTTTTACTAGTTTTTGGACATCGACAAATGGAGGCCATTTAAAATCATCAAAATTTATTTCAAAAAAATAATCTGAAAGTCCAGTAATCCAAAATAATGTCAAAGTTAGAGGAATTGAGAGAAGAGCAGCAGGAAGGGAGGAACGGAGTTTAATGAAGGTAAGTCGACAAACAGATACTGAAAAAATAAAATTAGAAAAAATTTTTAACTAAAAAATACCTGCATAATTTTTTATTAAAGCTATTCTCATTTAAAAATCATTTTTGTCTTAAAATCTGCAAAAAATATTAATTATTATTAAAATTTTCTAAATTAATTTTTTTTAAGTAAAATGAAGAACGAACTATTTAAATTTAAATAAATTTTTAATAAAAATACAAAACTTTATTTAAAAAAAATAAATTAGGTAAATTATTTGTCTTCAACATTTTTAATTTCATTTCTCGTTTGTTCATATATCCATTTTAAATATGGCTCACTCCCTTTTTCAATAGGTAAAACAATAAATTCAGGAACATCATAACTTTAAATAAAAAATATTAAAAATTATTTTTTTTCCAAATTTACGGATGTATTTTCTTCACAATTTCTTCCAATTGAATTAAACGATCTGCTTCCGTTTTAATTATTAATAAAGATTCATTTTCTTCCTCAATTTTTCCTTTCCATTCATAAATGCTTGTTAAATGTGGAACAATATTTACACAAGCAGCTAACTTTTTTTGAATAATTTCTTTCGCTATATTTTTACCAATTTCTGTCGACGGAACTGTTACATAAACAACCTTTTAATAAAAAATATATTTTTAAGAAAAAAAAAATATTTATTAAACTTTATATAAAGCTGTAGCCATTCTAGAATTCATTAATTGTATATCAACTAATCCAAATAACCCAACAAAAATATTAAGAGAAAAATAAAAATGTTTGAAATTAATAAAAAACATTTAAAAATAAATTTTCAAAAATTTTTTTAAATAAAATATTTAATTTAAACTAAATAAAATCACAAAAAATATTTATTACTTAAAATTAATAAATTGATTAAATGTCAATTAACAAAATTTTTTTATTTATTTTTAAAATCAATCTTTAATTAATTTATTCTAAAATTTCACATTATAATTTTCCACAACCACTTTAATTATTGTAAATCTACATAAGTTTAGCTGGCATAGCCGAGTCCAATAATAGTTGATAATGTTCACTTAAATTGGCAATTGCACTAAGATGACGTGATTTTAGAGATAACTAGAAAAATTTTTAAAAAATAAAGAGGATTTTAATTTACAGTCAATGTTGCATTTTGTCGTTGCATTTTCAATTCCGATAAAATAAATACTTGATTAGTATATTTAATTGAATGATATAATAATTCTTGTCCATCAACAGTTCGTCTAGCTACAGTAAAAACATTATTTTGCTGTAAAACAGAGCAAATATCATCAGCACTAAGTCCTTTTGTGTTTTGAATTGTAAATTGAATTTCATTTTGTTCAGGAATATCTTTCCATAATTGAAGAAAATCTCTTTTGTCCATTTGTCCACTTTCATCAAAATAAACATTTAATGGAAGAACAACAGCAAAATAGAAGACATCTTTTTAAAAAAGTTTTTTAAATATTTATTTATTCCAAATTTTACCAATATTATTTTTTATTGCAACTTGAAGATTGCTTAATGGTTCCATTTTTTGGACAGGTCCATTAGTTGAACAATTAAGTGTTGTTGAAATTGTTTGATTTGGAAATATAGTTCCAGGATTAAATTGCGAAGAAGGAATAAGACCAAAACTATTCGAGAAAATAAATTTTAAAAAATAAAAAATATTTTACGAATTAGAATTAAATTGAATAGCAAATCCGTCTAATGGTTGAAGTGCTCGATTTGTTAAATTCATTTCAGCAACAATTTGCCCATTACGGCGTAACCATCGGCCCTCCAATTGAAGTCCTTTACTTTTAGAAGCATCTAACCAAATCTAAATAATTAAAATTACAAAAATATTTTTCTTTAAATTTGCCTGGTATGGAGGAATGTATGGACCAACATTTGATGATTGTGTTGTTCCAACACCCATTAAAGAAGTTAAATCTCCAGCACTACTTCCACCAAAACTTAAACCAAAAATATCAGCAGACGATAACTGTTGTGGTGGTTGAGTTGGAATTGTGGCTCCAGTTCCACTACCAAGAAGATCTAAAGGAGATGATGTTGGCGCAGCCGGAGGTGCAAATATTGATGGAGAAGTAGTATCTTTTTTTAAAGAATTTAAATATTCAAATAGTCAACTAACCAAAAATAGATGTAGATGTTGGTGCCGCAGCAGGTGGTGGTGGTGGAGGTGTATCAAAAATACTAGCCAACGCTGGTTGCACAGTTGGAGGAGCAACGGGTTGTGGCGAACCAAAAATGTCACTGATCAAAGCAGATGTTGAAGGTTGTTGTGTTGCTGGAGCTAAAAATTAAAATTTCTTTGAAAATAAAATTTCCAAAAAAAACCAGGTGCAGAAGGAACAGATAAATCTAATGAAAGAAGATCAGCAATAATTGAATCTTGTGGTGGTTGAATTACAGTTGGTTGTTTTTGAACATTTTCAGCAGGCGAAACAATTTGTTGTTCTTGTTGATTGCTAATTTTAATTTTATTATTAAAAAATAAATTTTAATTTTCGTACCTTCCAGGTAATGACGCCGTCTTTACAGGATGCCGAATTGGATCGATGAATGAGGACGGAGGTCGATGATAGACAGAAGCAAGAGAACCAATATGACAAACCTTTAAAAATTAAAAAAATAATTTTAATTAAAATTGAAAAAACAAACCAATTGATTCAAAAGCGAAGGTTCAAGTAAATCAGTCTCTTCAGAAATTAATGGTTTTTCAGCCAAAACTACTTCCTTTGCTGCTTGAGGGTCAGCACTCAATAAACGCCAATAAATGTATCCACGATCACGTAAATCAGGATTGTCACTATCCTTTAAAGAAAAGAAATATTTTTTTTAATTTTTAACCAAACCTGTGTAGCCAAAGTCAAGACTTTTTGTACCAATTGCTGTGTATCGTTTGGTCTTTTCAGAAATAATTTAACAACAGCAGTTAGTAATTGTAATTGAACTTGGGTATTTTCATCATGAAAACCATCAACAAAAGACTCTAATAATTCATCAGCATTATCAATACGTTCAGCATATTCACCAACAATCCATCTAAAAATTTTTTAAATGTAGGGAAAATATAAAAATAAATTTTACATCATAGAAGCTCTAGCTTCAGGTTCATCAAGTGTATCCAAATTTTCACAAAGTGTTGAAATTATGCCTTCATAACGATTTGGGTATTTTCGAAAAATATCCTAAAATATTTGAAAATAAAAATTTTCATTCCCACATCCATACTTTTATAACAACAACAGCTTCCTGTACTACATAATTAACTTTTGTTTGAATTAATTCTAAAAGAGTATTTACACATCTTTCAGCACTTTGTTCTACTTTAATTGCACAACGACCAATTGCTCTAACAGCTTTTCGACTAAAAGAATTTAGAATTTCTTTAAAACAATTCCAAAAAAAAACAAACACAAAATCAACATCTACTTCAGCTGCATATTCTTTTAACTCAGAAAGTACTTGTGCAATATTACTTTGCTGGGATAAACGAATCATTATATCTAATTTCTCCATTTTTACATAAATTGGATCATTGTATTTAACGAAAAAAACTTTCATTTCTTGTTTTAAAATGTCCGGTCTGAAATTTAAAATTAAAAGAGATATTTTTCTAATTAAAAAACCTTTTTTGAACAATTAAATTAATATTTCTAAGCGCAACATATTGAATTTCTGGTTCCGCAGACAACAAAGTAACCATTGGTGGTGCTAATTTTTTAATCAATTGAGTAGAAAAATCAGAATTTTCGGAGAGCATATTCAACAATTTCATCAAAACTTTAACAGTAGAAAGTACAACAGCTGCATTCGCATGAGCAAGTCTTGGACTTATTCTTTCACAAATACTTTAAAAAAATTCCTTTTAAATAAAAAATAAAATTTAAACTTTTGTGCTTCCCGTTCATCCTTTGGCTGATAATTTGCAAGAGCGTCTAAAATAAATACTTGACCCCATTCGGTACATTCGTCTAAAAAAATTAAAAAATTTTTTATTTCTATAATCAAAACTCACTCAAAGCAGTTAGTAATTTATTAACAGTTTGGGCATTTATCTCAATAAGAGTATGAGACTCATTTATTTCTGTTATAGCAGCAACAGCATTTGCAACAACCTAAGAAACAAACGAATAGATAGAACAATAATAATTATGAAAAATTTCCAATAAAAAGCCTTCAAATTAAAAACAAAACCATAGGATTAGCATCACTCAACAAATCAGTCAGCATTTCAACAAAACCTTGATCAACAACCATTTGTGCGTTAATATCATGTAATTTAGCAACACAAATTGCTGCAGTTTTTCTCACATAAGGGTCTTCATCTTTCATACATTTTCTGAGTGGTTCACACAAATATTCAGTAATTTTGTCAACTCGAATACATCCTTTTTAACAAAAATTATTTGTAAAAAATATATTTAAAAAACCCATAGTTCGAACAGCTAATGCTCTAATTAATGGATTAGGATCTTCACAATCCTTAACAAAAGTATTTACAGCCATAATAGCCAATTCTGGTTGACTTTTTGCATAATTCATTAAATAAAGGTAAACTAATTTCTTTAATTCAACATTATCTGTCTGCATACAATTAACAACATCAGGGAAAAGAGCACTTTAAAAATAAATATTTTTTAAATGAAACATAAAATAAAAACAAACCTAACATCTTTCCCAACAGTCATACTTGCAATAACTTTTTTGACGGCTTCCCGTTTCTTCTCTTTCTTGTCAGAATTTAGTTCATTCTTTAATTCAAATATTTCACCTAAAATAATTTTTCAATAAATAAAATACTTTATGGAAATTTTGAACCTTTCTTTGTTGTTGTAAAATATTTTGCGTCGGTCATTTATTATATTTTGATCTGAAAAATCTATCAATTTATAATTAGCCTGAAATTAAAAAAATAAAAACGGCAAGAAATTAAAAATTGTCAATAATAGTCTCAGGGACTAAAACGTCCTTGTGTATACTCTAATGTATATTTTTGAAAAACCGCCTTTTGGCATAATTTAACACTTTGGCGTTTTTTAATTTTTACATTTTTGTTAATATTTAAAGTTGATTCTTTCATTTATTCTTTCATTTGTGATAGTTTTTGGAATTTTCGGTTCTGTTAAGTCTTTTTTTTTGAGATTAGCTTAAAGTGTTGATAATCTCAATTGTTAATTACTTTGAGTAACTAATGAGTTACTTTATTTGTAATTAACTTTATAATCTATTGTTATTATTTCGTTTTATTTGTTTCACTAATTTTTTATTTAGTGAAATTTCGAAAGACCTATTTCGTATATTTATAATTATTTAATAATGTCTAAAGGCGGTGATGAATCAATAGCCTCCGGGCCGGCTTTAAGCTCGCTTCGTCCTGCAAATGTGTTAGAGATTCAGGCTCGCGAGTACCTCAAGGAAAAGGAGGTAGAATTTGTCTTCCTTTTAATGCATTTCTAATCATTTTTTGCAATTAAGATTGAAGTTGGCTTACCTATCATGGCTGAGCGTAAGGGACCTGTTCGTGAGGGAGACGTCGAGTTGACTACAAACATCTATCCGTTGATTTTCCAAAGCAACATTCGTGTTTGTCGCTACGATGTTGAAGTTTCTGGAACGAAGAGAAGCGGGCGGACCGTCGAGTTCACTAAGAAGTTCAAGGACGAGTGAGTTTTACTTTTGATATTTGTTGAGGGTTAACGTGAGGGTTTGACCTTATAGTCTACTGTTTGAACATCTTTCTGTTTTCTATCTTAACATTAAAAAGGGGTTAACAAATTACACCGTGTTTTTTTAAATTTTAACTAATGGTCTTGCCTTTCAGTTTTACCAAAACTGAGCGTCGCTTTCGTACGCGGGATGTGCTTGTTACTTTTATGAATAAACATAAGGATATGGCCAAAGCTGCTGGTTGCATCTACAACGATCTCCAGTCAATCATGTATTCTTTGACTCCTATGTCTCCACAGGTTATTTTCTTTTATTTATACTTTTTAATTTTTTTTCAAGGAGAATCATATCCAATTCAGTTTTAATCCTTCTGAACTTCACAATGCCAAAGAGTTTGAACGTTTCAAATTGGACAGCATCACTTTGGAGTTTAATCCCACCAATCCTTTTCAGTTGAGCTTAGAACAGATACAGGGACAGCGGGATTTGGTTTATGCGAACAGAGTGAGGAAATATATTTTCTTAAGTCGTTTTTTGTTAATAGGATCTTGCTCAATTTCTTGACATTGCTACCAGCCAAGATGTTTTCTTTCGAGAGTATGTTCATCTTAAAGATAAAAGTTGGAAATTTTAATATTTTAGAGGAGAGCACGTTCATTTCTCTACATCTAATTCTTATATGTATAGTCCTGAAATGTTTGGTTTCAAATCTGATGACACTATTTCTTTTGAGGAGAACCTTACCTATCTTGGTATAGGGTGTGACAAAGCAATTCACAATGTTCAAGGAGGCAAACCTGGAAGTGGTGGCTTACAATCAGTTGTTGTTCAACGTGGGACAAAATATTTTTTATTTTAAAACCTTATTTTAGCAAAGAAAACTCCATTCCATGCGGATGATCTTCTTGTTAATAAAGTGGATGCTATGTTACGTTCGATGCCGCGAATTTCATTTGATGCTAAAGTGGCACACTTGGATAAATATCTCAAAGGTTTTTGCTTTACAAATCTAGTTAAGAAATTGATACTTTATAAGGTCTAATGGTTTGCACTACTCATAATAAAAACAATGTGCAGTACTTGCTGATAAAAGGATTTGCACGCGAAAGCGCCTCTCAAAAAGAAATATCCATCAATGGGCAACCAACTTCAGTGGCTACATATTTCAACCAGAAATATGGGGTTTCGCTCAGGTGATTTTGATTTTAATAGGTTTTAGGTGAAGATGTTTAAGTACTGTGAGACTATATTTTTTCATTGTTTTCGGTATTGGCTCCGGGTCGTTTTTAAAAAAACTATTTTTAAAAGAGCACTTGTTTTGGCATTCCTATGAATTTTATTGATGCATTTGTTCCCCTAATTACACTACTCTTTTCAATGAAACTAGTAATACTTTATTTTCCAGTCGAATGGATTTGCCTTTAGTTATAAGCAGTACAACCGACAAGGACGGGAAGAAGCAGCAAAATTATTACCCAATTGAAGTTCTCCAAGTTTGTGACAATCAACGTGTTAAGACTAATCAATTGACTTCGCAAATGACTCAACTAGCAATTAGGGTCTAATTTTTGTTTTTATTCTCTCTTGTCCTTATATCCATTATTATGGGGAAGGGAGATGTCATCTGTTTTTTCCTCAACATTTTGCTCACAATAGTATCGTTTTCATTTTAGAAGTGTGCTGTTCCTCCAGCTATTTTACGCGCGCAAATGGAAAAGGTTGCAAAATCATTGCATCTTTGGGACAGTACTTATTTGAATGCTGCCAGAATTAAAGTGCTTGATAGACCTCTCGAATTGGTGAGTAAATTAATTTTATCTTTTCATTTTGTATAATTTATTCAGCGTGCAAATGAACTTAATCATCCTGAACTTCAAACAGGTGATGGTAGTGTTTATCCAATGAAAGATACTGCTGGTTGGAGGATGAATAAAGTATTGTCTCCCCAAGCACTCGTGGGTAAGCAATATGGATGGGCTTCTTTTGTTTTTTGGACAAAAAATTCTGGGCATGGATGCTTAACGCAAAATGAGATGGAGTGATTTTTTATTTAAAATGCTATAAGTTAAAAAACATTTTTAGTGATTTTCTGCGTCGTTATCAACAACAAGCAAATTTCAGAGGCATTAGATTAGAAAATCCTGAAAGAAAGGAAATTGTTACGCTGAATAAACTGGTTTTTTTAATTCAGCTTTAAATTTAATATTTTTGAATTAAAGGATGACATGGCTCAATTTTATGAATGGGCTTCAAAAAATGACATTGCCTTTTTGCTTTGTTTTCATGGAGATAGTGGTGATGCGGAACAAGTTCATCATGAGATTAAAGCAAATGAGAGGCGTTTCTTTGTAATTACGCAATGTGTAAGAACTGGGACTGTTAAGAATGTTATACAAAAGGGTCAAAAACTCACAATTGACAACATTTTGAATAAAACCAATGTAAAGTTGGGTGGAGTGAACTATACATTGTCGCGTTCAAGGTTTGTTTTTAAATTTTTGTATTATGTGGCATTTTATTCTGCCCCCCCCCCCCCCACCCGAAACCGACTCCCTGGATACGCCCTCGGTGCACAGGGTTACCTTGTAGTCTGGGAAAACTCATTAAAAATTTTGCATTTTGGTCTATTAATTAAACAGGATTGCTGCTGACACGTCAACGTTGATTATTGGGTTTAGTGCAAACCATCCTGGTGGTGGTATTGGTACGGTAGATGACACTGCTTCTAATCCAAACAAAGCACCTTCTTTTGTTAGTGGACCACCTACAGCTGTCGGGGTACATTTTTTCAAATTTTGATAATTTAGTTTTTATCTGAGGTTTTTCAGTTTGCTGCAAATGTTGGTCCTACGAAAATGCCATATGATTTTATTGGTGACTTTCTCTATCAGCAAGCATATCGTGAGGAAAAAGTTAACGTCATTGAATCGATTGTTCAACGATGTGTTGCTTTCTTTCAATCAACAAGGGATGGACGTCTTCCTCAACGTGTTATTCTTTTCCGTAATGGATGTAGTGAAGGATTATACCCAAAGGTCGTCTAATATTCAATTATCTAAAACTTCTTATTTTTCAGATTCTTAAGTATGAAGTTCCACTTCTGCGAAAGGCATTGCAGGTTGAAGGGATTCAGGAACCAAAATTAACTTTAATTGTTTGCAATAAACTCCAAAGCGTTCGATTCTTCCACAAAAATGTCTTTTAATATTTTTATAAAAAATAAGAATATTTTTGCAGATTAATCAAAATGCCAAGGCACCAGATCAAAATCTGAAACCTGGCACAATTATTGACACAGCGGCGGTGCATCCGGAATTTGCAGAATTCTTTTTGACTTCACATCGCGCTTTACAAGTTTGGATATTTTTACTCTTGAATAATGTATAAACATAAATTTAATTGTTTAGGGAACTGCTCGGACTCCAAAGTATACGGTAGTATACGATGATTGCGAACATGACTTGGATGAATTGGAACGTATCACTTATGATCTTTGTTTTGGACATCAAATTGTGTCATCACCGATTTCTTTGCCAGCACCAGTCTTAGTTGCTTCAGAATATGCCAAACGAGGAAGGAATCTTTACAATTCTTTATTGTAAGAAATTTTTTTCTTTAAATGCTTAATTTTTAAATTTAGTGACGAATTGAAGCAGAAAAATCCGGATATTACCTATACCAACTTGAATGACGACATCACTTTTTACGGACGTACTGGGACGGAGTGCTGGATTTCTGAATACCGGTTGAATGCTTGAGGACAAGAGGATATTTTTAAAATTATTTCTTAATTTAATGCATTTAAGATAATTTAAGTTAAATAATTCCAAGTCCCAAATTTAATAAGAGACGAATTTAATGATCTAATATAATTTGGATTTTAAAAATAAGTTAAGGAATGGGAAAGGTGTTTTACTAGATCATTTAAAATCATCTAAAGCAATTGTTAAAGCCCAAAATTTTTAATTAAGTCCCCAATCCTATTTAATTTCTAAATTGTTTAAATTTATTTAGACTAGGGTTGGTCCCCGAGCCTTCGGGGTTGGAAAAGTCGGGGGTCGGGGTTTTCGGGGTTGACAAAGTCGGGGTCGGGGTCGGGGTTGCTCAAATTGTTCGGGGTCGGGGTCGGGGCTGAAAATAATGTCGGGGTTCGGGGTCGGGGTCGGGGGTCGGGGTTGAAGTGAAAATTTACAAAATCCAGCATTTTTATCCAAAATTACTGTTCAAAATCAACATTTTTATTAAAAAATCAACTTAATCTTCATTATCTTCACTTTCTGTATCTAATTCGTGATTAGTTGAAGGCGCAAGAAGTACTTTATCCAAGTTATCCTTCATAATCCCCAAAATCCCCAAACCCACAAGGTAACTCTTACTCCACCTCTTATGTAAAGGGATTGAGGGGATATGAAGGCATATCAGAGGAAAAAGATGGATATAATGGGATTTAGAGGGATTTGACGGGATATCGGGGAGTTGCAAGGATAACGGGAGAAATCCATCTATCCATCAATTTCTCCTAAAGCCTCTGTATCCCTTCATTGTGTCTAGCGCCGCAGGCAAAATTTTGAGAATTTTGGAAGGTCAAGAGCCAGATTTCTTCCATTTTCGGCGCCGCAGGCAAAAATTTTTAGAATTTTGGAAGGCCAAGAGACAGGTTTCTTCAATTTTCTGCGCCGCAGGCGAAAATTTTGGAAAATTCATGACTAGTTTAAAATTTCTAATATTGTTTCAAGTTTAAAATATTTAAAAAAATAAATTTACAAATTTAAAATCAAGATCATAGTTTAAAAATATTTATTTTTGAGAAGAAAAATTTTCTCAGCCTTATTTCCATCCCTGGATTCGAACAACATTCCTATCAAAATAGCTAAATGGCTGAAGTCAGTTAACCTAACCACTCAACCATCGACCAACAAAGGGAAACAGGAGAAAATATAAATATTCCTTTCCCTTTTCCTTCATATATTTAGCATCAAAGTCCCGATCCCGTTCCGATCTCTAGTTAATTAATGCAGTTTTAGTCGGGGGCATAAAAATTTTTCGGGGTTCGGGGTCGTCGGGGTCGAACTTTCGGGGGTCGGGGTTTTCGGGGTTGGGAATGTCGGGGTCGGGGTCGGGGTTTTAGGTCAAAAAATGTCGGGGTTCGGGGTCGGGGTTAGTCGGGGTCGGGGACCAACCCTAATTTAGACTATAATATGTCTTTTTGTTAAAAATTCGCACTTTTTTAAAAATAAAAACTACGAAAATGTTATGGTAGGTTTTGAATTTTATATAAGGTTGAAGTAATATGTTTGTTTTGGTAAAGTTGGGGAGAATATTTTTAAAATTATTCATTTTATTTTTTTTATTACTGTTTCCTCTAAAAAAATAGTGGTCCGAAATGAGAACTGTCCCCTACTAACGACAAATATCTAGAGACTTTTTTCTTGTTCTGCACTTTTTTAATTATTTCGATTGACGATTGTTCTAAAAGATTGTGAAATAGAACGAAAATAAATAGATATTAACACTATAGTTTAAATTTCTCGGAGAGATTATTTCGCAAGAGAAATTTTTACCATTAAAATATATTTGCGTACAAGTCTTAATTCTAATTTTGGATCGTGTGAATGTTGGATTCGTGCCAGTTGTCGATGTAGTCTTTTAAAAGTTTTGGAATTAATAGGATATATAAAAATTATTATTATTCACCACCCTTAAAATAATAAAATGCTCCAATTCCCATATTTGTTTCCAAGAATAAGTTATAACAGAATGACGTGTAAAAGATAATGTTGCGAATGCAACGAAAAGAATTTATTTTTTAAAATTTAAAAAATGATTAATCATAAAACAATAATAATTTTGGTTTATTTTTATTTTTGAACCGCCTTAAAAATGTTTGTTTAAAAAGACAAGAAAAAGTCCAAAAACAATCATCCATTCCTTCTAAAAATCATCTTCATCTTCAATTTTTTACTTTCCATTCTTTATAAGATTTTTACTCTCTAAAAAAAGGGCTTTTTCTGGTTTTTAAATTTTACTTTGGAAGAAATAAATTTTAATAAATCTGATTCTTTATTTTTGAGAATTTACCCGGGAAATTCTCTATTTTTGGCTGTACTTTAGCCGGTGGCCCACTCAGAAACGGGTCAAAATATATACCATTCGATTCGTCTCGGCGAGCTGAGTCGAATGGTACCATTCTTTTTTTGCGGAAATTCCTACGAGCCGAGATATGGGTACTTAAAAATCGAAAAACCATAGGGGGGACCAAGCACTTTTTTGGGGTGAAAAATTCGAATATGCAAATAATAGCTCATTCGAAAGAGCTCGTCGAGCTGAGTCGATTGACACCAAAATCAACGAAATCCGACTTGATTTGACAAAGTTATGAGCATTTGTTTTAGCTCCTTACCTATGGCATCTGTTGAGATTTTTGCTGCTACGGAGGCCCCAAATACGTCCAGAGCAAGGGAGATAGGAATAGGGTTATGTTACAAGCCCAGACCCATCGCCCGTAGACTCCCCGCGAGGCGCGTGCCGCAAAACTCCGCGCGAAGCGCGGAGTTTTGCACAAGCGCCTCGCCGACGCCCCATAGGTTTACATTGTTTGTTTTTTGTGTTGTAACTTTGTCTAAACTTGTTTAATCCCGGTGATTTTGGTGTCATTCGACTCAGCTTGTCGAGCTCTTTCAAATGAGCTATAATATGGTTAAAAAAATTTTAATTCCAAAAATCTCCCCTTTGGATTAACAGTTTTCAGAAGCTTATATCTCGGTCCAATCAAGTCGGATTTCGTTGATTTTGGTGTCAATCGACTCAGCTCGACGAGCTCTTTCGAATGAGCTATTATTTACATATTCGAATTTTTCACCCCAAAAAAGTGCTTGGTCCCCCCTATGGTTTTTCGATTTTTAAGTACCTATATCTCGGCTCGTAGGAATTTCCGCAAAAAAAGAATGGTACCATTCGACTCAGCTCGCCGAGACGAATCGAATGGTATATATTTTGACCCGTTTCTGAGTGGGCCACCGGCTAAAGTATATCCCTATTTTTTATTGTTCCTTACTGAATTTAGATTCAGTACAGAAGGTGAAAAAGGGTTAAATATATTGTAGGTGAAAGTATATATTTCCTTTCCTTTTCCACAATTGGTGCCACGACAATTTTAATTTATTTTTGGGCACAATTGGTGCCACGAAATTAATTTACTTTTAGGCACAGAAGGTGTCACGAGTATTATTTAAAGGACCAATTTATTTTTTATCGGAAGGAATCCGATTATTTTTTTGTTTGATATAGTAGAGAAGCTTTATCGGTGTTTTGATAAGGTAGGAAAGCCTTATCGTTATTTTTTGATAAAGTAGGGAAGCTTTATCGTTATTTTTTGACTTGCTTGAGTTTTAATTTTAATTTGGAATTGTAAAAATGTCTGTTGTTTTAAGGTCGACAATAAAGCCTGCTATTAAAAGATTAAGAGAGTATTTGGACGAATTGCGTCCGTTGGTAAATGCCCAGGAAAGAACCCAAGAAGGGGTTGAGAAATTAAGGGCCGATGTGATTAAAGTTAAGCGTGTTTTATCATTTTTGGATTTAAAAATTGATCATTGGCAGAAAATTATTAAAGCGTTACCAGCTGACGAAAGGGCAGCTGAGGAAGAAATATTTAGTAATTTCTCGGAGGGAGAAAGACATATTGCTGAATGGATAGATTCAGGCAGAGAAATTGTTGACGAAATTGAAATACTTTTAGCGAACGATGAAGATAGTTCAGGTTCTTCGTATTCTGATGAAATAGGGGTTAGGCCAAGAAACAACGTAAGGAATGAAGCTATGAATGGAACAAGGAATGAAGCAGAAAATGAGATAAAAAACGATAATTTTGTTAATTTAGGTGTTCCTAGTCATTTACCAAAAACACGACTCCCTGAGTTCTGGGGCGATCAGTTAAGATGGCCAGAATTTTGGCAGGGGTTTGAAAGAACCGTTGATTGTTTGAGGATTGATGATGGATTAAAAGCGCATTATTTATTGCAATGCGTAAGGGGAAAGGCCAAGAGGGCCGTTTGGGGCTATAGGCCAATTTCGGAACATTATTTACCTTTAAAAGAAGCTTTGTTCAGGCAGTTTGGAAATGAAAAAGCAATTAGGGAAACACTACACGCGGAATTGATAGGGCTACCAATGGCTAATGAGTCAGTAGTCTCTTTACGCAATTACTTGGAAGAAGTAGAGCGTATTTGTCGTTCTTTGGATGCCATGGGGCATTTAGAAGATAAAGATATTGTTTTAATGGCTATTAAAAATAAATTACCGCGCAATGTAGTTTTGGAATTGCTAAGAATGGAAAGAGCAGAAAATATAGAATGGAATGTAGGAAATTTAAGGAAAGGCCTAGCCGATTTGGTCCAGTTGAGAGAAGAGGCACACAGGTGCACACAAACTTTAAGCTCGCGTATGGGCAATCAAAAATTTAATAATTGGAATAACCAAAAGAATTTTAATCAGAAAAAGGATTTTAGTGGTAGAATAGAACAAGGAAGGGTTTTTTCGGTGCAAAATCAGAATAATTTTAAAAGAAAACAGGTACTTTCTTGTTGGTTTTGTCAAAAACCGCATTGGGCAACGAATTGTGAACAGATAAAGTCTCCGTTTCAAAGGATGAAAATTTTATCGGAGCAGAATCGGTGTTTATTATGTCTTAAAAAAGGTCATGTAAAATCGAATTGTAATTTCAAAATTAGTTGTAATTTATGTAAAGGCAGCCATAATA